ACTGAGACGGGAAGTATTGGTGCCAAGGAAAATACGGCGGGTATGGCTTTGGGAGATGAGCAGAAGGTTATCAAGGTTACTTATCAAAGACAGTAAGTTTTGAAGGAGTGTTTCTACATGAAAATATCACAAGGAGCGTTCAGATTGCGTGCCCATTTTTATGGAAAGCTATTGCAATGATGGACGAAATGCTTCAGAGATTCCTTTTCACAAATGAGTATAGCTAAATAGAGAAAGCAATGCTCAATTTTAATTACAGTATTCGCTAATGCTACATGATATTTATTCGAGTTGATGACCCGATTGGTGAAACTTAAAACAAGTAAAATGGCATTCGTGAGGCATCAGAAAATGACATCCGCATCTTCTTCATCACCTAGAATATCTCCAGTATGGGTAGAGTTCTCCTTATCACTGCTACCTTCGGCCTTCTCCTTCTCTGCTGCCGCTTCTTTCTTCGCCTTCATCTCTGCATCTTGAGCAGCTGTATCCCTCTGCTTCTTGTTTTGAACCTTTTTCAAGCGGAAGAATTCTTCTCTATCCAATTCATCGAGCTCTGAGTTGATGTATTTGATGGTGTTTTCTGTACGTGGAATAATCACATGTTCACTGTTATTTGGTTAGTATGAATTAATGGGGGGTTGTGATGTAATGGTAGAAAGACTAACATTGCGTTTACTATATCAAATTAGTACATGTAATGTGCTTTACATCTAGAATTGAACTTACCTCTCCTGTTCACAACCTTGATAACCTCATCCAAAATAACGAAAGCAGTCTAATCACGACATATCAGCCCTATTCGACACATCTCCCCTCCCCTGGTTCGGGTTGATGCTATTCTAAACATACCTGCAAACTGGCTAATTCCACCAATGTCTCCACAGCTCTCGCATAAGTCTCCCTACATCTTTGTACCTGTTGACCACCCTTTCCCAAACCCGTCAAGCCAAAATCATTATTGCCTTCCGTTGTATAGCTTTCAAAAGCTGGTAAGAATACACCAGATACATTCTCTTGCTTCGTCCGTACACGGAATCGTGCTGATTTCGCGGATTCTTGTACTTGGTAACCAATATCTCCTCCTACCGCATAGGTTACTTCTGCCAGAGAAAAGGCGGCTATTTGCATTACTCGACCCATCTTTCGTTTGGCTTCATCGATTCTGCGGGTAATTTCTGGAGTAGAGTTAGGAATCTTTGGGAGAATACTGGTATGAGTGCAGTGGAAATACCTCGGAAACGTCTGCGCAATGAAAGTCAGTAAGGTAAAGAGCTTGTTTGGTTGGGGGTAAACATACTTAGTTAAAGCTTCACTTTTTCTCTTCAATAAATCATGACCAGTTTGCGCTCCCTTCAACTTCGACTTCATCAATCCCAAGGACTGTCGTGTTGGAAAAACAGCTTCTCGATTCTATATTATGTTAGTTATGAAGTTGTATGATCCATTGGAATTGGTTGCTTTGTCTTACCCCGGCTCCAGACATTTCGGTAGCTTTTCGATTTGACTAGATGATTGGCAATGTAATATTCCTGTGAGTTCAACTCCTTTCTGTCAATTCAAGCGTAAAAGGGAACTCTCAAACTATAAAGAGAGGGCTGTTGTAGAGTGGAAAGAGAAGGCTGATAAGAAGTTGTTGATTAAGCTCTCGCTCCCACTTCATGGTTGTAACTGCCCAAGTCCAAGCTCTTGGGGGTGTGAGCTTAGCGCTTCTCAAACAAAATACGCTGGCTCGGCTGGTTACTATTGTATCTCAATTCTTTTCACGTGATTCAAGTAGATCTCAATCTTCGGATATTGTATCTTTGGTTAGGAAAAGGAAGAGAGATTGGTTATCATTATTCACTCCTCGAGTGGATATCAGACATTTTTAGTAGTTTTCCTAGACACCAGACCCTTTCCATCTTTTGTCTCTTCCTTTACTGATTCTTATTCTCCTCGGGTAGAAGAGGATTACATTTCCCCCAATACTGTCGCTTAGTCTCCCGTAGTGCTAATGACCCTGGAGTAGCATTAAGTAGCAAAGTCGGTTGATTGTTGGTACGGAAAAAAAAGAGGTCGAACGACCAGACCAGACCAACCCAACATCCTCGACGTCTTTTAAGACGGTCTTCCAAATATTTCTTCCTCTTGGGACTGATCGCATTCTCTGTTTTCCAGGCAGAGAATGCCTGGAGAGTTGCTCCCTATAATGGCTGCTCCCAGCGTCCCCGAAATAAAATCCGCCTTAACCTTATCGATTCGAGGAAAGCCAGATTTATATCTTATTGTACGTCTATTCCCTCAGATACCTACAATCTCCTTAAACGATCACGTTGACTGATTAAATCGATAGTCTGAAGAAGATACCATCTATGAGCAGGATATCCTTCGCGATCCAGGCAGTACGAAGCCTTGGTTGGCATACATCGAGTTCAAATTTCAGCATGGCACAAAACTCGAGCAAGCTTTCGTTTTGGAACGAGCTTGTTTACAATTACCCAGATCTTACAAGTTATGGAAAATGGTATACATCTATGCGCGCAAACCCCGCTTTAATATCCGCTGACGAAAAATAGTACCTTACATTACGAATGAAGCATTTGGGGAAGTTGAATCCTGCAGCTTTTGCCCCCGAATATGCCAAAGTCAACGCGCTTTACGAAAGAGCCTTGATTCTTTTGAATAAGATGCCAAAAATCTGGGAGATGTACCTTCAATTTTTGCTACTCCAACCCCTCGTTACCCTCACGCGCCGAACTTTCGATCGAGCACTTCGAGCTTTACCCATTACACAACATAACAGAATATGGGCCCTTTACCGTCCTTTCGCGAATTCCGCGTCAGGTTCTACAGCTGTCAAGATATGGCGACGTTACATGCAGATCCATCCGGAGGATGCCGAAGATTTTATTGAACTCTTAATTGAGATGAAACTTTATACAGAGGCCGTCAAGAAATATATGGATATACTTAACAACCCAAAATTTCGGAGTAAACATGGAAAGGGCCATTATCAATTATGGAGTGAGATGGTAGATCTTCTTGTGGAGCACGCCAAGGAAGTTGAAACCGGAGATGAAATCGGAATTGATGTCGAAAGAATTATTCGAAGTGGCATTGATAGATTTGCGGATCAGAGAGGAAAATTGTGGTCTGGTTTAGCAACATACTGGATCAATCGGGGTAGTTTTGAACGTGCACGAGATGTATTTGAAGAGGGAATCACTACAGTTATGACCGTTCGGGATTTCACACTGATATTCGATTCTTATGCCGAATTCGAGGAATCGATTACTGGGGTTCTAATGGAAGCGGCTGCAGTTAGATCAGAGAAGGGTATTGTGGACGAAAATGCAGACTTTGATTTGGATATTCGAATGATGAGATTCGAGCAACTTATGGATGGTCGGCCATTCTTACTGAACGACGTATTATTGCGGCAAAATCCAAGCAATGTACCCGAATGGATGAAACGTATTTCTCTGTGGGGGGACAACAAAGTTGAAGTGGTTAAAGCATACACAGATGCGATTGCTGCTATTCAGCCGAAGAAAGCTGTTGGACAGTTCCACGAGTTATGGTCAAATTACGCCAAGTTCTACGAGGAGGGTGGGGATTTACGTAATGCTCGTGTTATTTTCGAAAAGGCAGTGAAAGTACCTTTCAAATCTGTGGCGGAACTTGCTGATACTTGGATTGAATGGGCGGAGATGGAATTAAGAAACGAAAACTTCGATGAAGCTGTAAAGATTATGGCAAAGGCAGTTCAGGCACCGAAGCGATCCAATGTTGATTATTTCGACGAGACTCTCTCACCTCAACAAAGAGTTCACAAGAGCTGGAAGTTGTGGAGTTTCTATGTAGACTTGGTGGAGAGTGTTAGCACATTGGAAGAAACCAAGAAGATATACGAACGAATATTCGAACTTCGAATTGCAACGCCACAAACCGTTGTCAATTACGCCAATTTACTGGAGGAGAACAAATATTTCGAAGAGTCATTCAAAATTTACGAGAGAGGACTGGATCTATTCAGCTACCCGGTAGCATTCGAACTCTGGAATTTATACTTGACCAAGGCAGTTGATAGAAAAATTGGTATCGAACGCCTTCGAGATTTATTCGAGCAGGCAGTGGAAGGATGTCCTCCTAGATTTGCCAAAGTATTGTATCTTATGTATGGAAATCTTGAGGAGGAGCGGGGTCTTGCAAGACATGCCATGAGGATTTACGAAAGAGCAACCAGGGCCGTCTCTGATGAGGATCGCGCAGATATGTTCAACTTTTACATCACCAAGTCTGCCTCCAATTTCGGTTTACCTTCGACACGACCAATTTATGAAAGAGCTATTGCGGCACTACCCGACAAAGATGCCAGAGATATGTGTTTGAAATTCGCCGATATGGAGAAACGATTGGGCGAGATCGATCGTGCAAGAGCGATTTACGGACACGCATCACAATTTTGCGACCCTCGAACAAGTCCAACCTTTTGGTCAAAATGGGAATCTTTCGAGGTCCAACATGGAAACGAAGATACGTTCAAAGAGATGCTTCGTATCAAGAGAAGTGTTCAAGCACAATATAATACTGATGTCAATTTTATTGCTTCTCAAGCTCTTGCTCGCAGTCAAGCGAAACCTGATGAAGATGGAGAAGAAGCTGCGGATGCAATGGCAGCATTAGAACGCGAGGCAAGGGCTCCTGTTGGATTCGTACCAGCAAGCACAGGTCCTCAAGGAGGAAATATCAAGCAACCAGAAATAGTTGTTACTGAAAATCCTGATGCTATCGAATTAGATGGTATGGATGATGATTGAGGGAGTGGTTTGACTGGGGTTTCATCGGTGGGGGAGGTTTAAATACGGGAACGTCAATCAAAGGGAGTTTGGACATAGTGGGAATTTGAGATCTCAAGGATTCTTCTCAATGCATAGGACGGCGTTTTCAATCGGGTTTACAAACGATCAAGACACTGTTGTCTGCAAATGTATATGTATGTTATTGGTATCATAGGTACAGGCGGTGGAAATATTAAAGATTGCTTCGCTAAATGATGGAAATTGTATTTTCCAAACTTTTCTTCATATCTCTCCTTATACAAACTTCCCTCTGGAATCATTTTTACATAATTCGTCAACACTACCTAGGTATTTATATGTCAAATTTCTTTTCTTCTTGGATGAAATTTCTTTGTCCTCTTTCCAACTTCACAGTCTCGCCCTCTCCTATCCAAATCACTCGCTTTTGCTAGCTCTCCTTCCACCCTGATTTCCTCCCTCCTTGTTGCGACTCCCACCAAGACCGAAAATTCCCATGTATCCTTTCTCCGCATGTGTTGCATGAAAAACGGCATCACGATCGATATGCTTATCAACATGACCATCGCGAGAACTTGGTGTTGCGTAGATTGAACCTTTCCGTTTTTGGAAACGAGAAGGGGGTGTTTTTGAAGCGTCTGGATGATTGGGTGACTTGTGTTAGTGTTGTTTATCGATTTTGGCGGGAGGATACAGGAGAAAGAGAATTGGAATTATAGGGGGAGGAAACAAGAGATGAAGAGAGTGCAGCTTGGTATGTTGGGGGATGTGATGAATGGGGCAGAGTAAAAGGAGATGGTGATGAGGAGGGAAGGGATGGTAATAACAATGGTGACGAGGAGGGATGAGATGAACGACGACTGAGAGGGAAAACCAACGAACCCCATTCATCAGAACTCAATCTTCGATCTTGATTTGGTGATCCGGAATGTGGGTCTGTTGCGTTTGGGAAACTGGGCGTAGGAATGTTCATGGGACTTGTGCCCTGGGTTTTGGAAGCGAATGGGTTGTTGTTTGCGGGGTCTTTGCGTTGGGCGGCGAAGGGATCATCGTGAGAGAGACCCATAGGAGAGGTTGGAGAAGTGGGTGAGGTGGGAGATGGGCTGTGGTGAGCTGAAGAAATGGGAGAACGGTATTAGTTGAATCATTTGGAACTTGAAGTTTGGATGAGAACGAACTTTGTGTTTGTGGTGAGGCCATCTTTATTCTGATGGATATTTCGCCTGTGTGATGATAATCTGTCTTGCCGATGTCTTGGGTTATCGTTTCTGCAGCTTCATGTAATTTGATACAGAACTTTTGTTTCTCAAAATAAAAATGCAGATATATTATTGCGACAAGTTTGGTTTGTTCAAAATTGAAGAGTTCCAATTGATATTAATTAATTGCATGAACACAAAGACCAAGATCAAGCCAAGAGGAAGGACGGCTGCTCCTCTGTTATTTAAAGCTTCCAGGTATGACGGACCACGACGCACATCTCCGTTGAGACGGCAAGAATAAGAGGTAAACTCTATCATAATCACAAAATTTGTCATGCCACGATTCTCTGTTTTCTTTGTAGCTTGCCAGACGAGAGTGCAAGATGGAGGATTCCCCGCATGTTCATTTCTGCATTGTGGAAAGAGTGAGCTAATAATGTGAGAGATGGATCGAGAGGAATAAAATTGAAGAAACTTACTCCATCTCACTGGATGATGTGTGCTTGTCTTACACAAATGGTAAAGGCAATGCACTTGGCGAGACAAGAGTGGCTTTGTGTAACGTGAGGGATGAGAATTAATTGGAGGGGACGACAAAGGACTCGGAGAAACCAAGCTCGCTTAGACGAATCGGAGAAGGGATATGAAGGCGGGGATTTGATGACGTATAAATTATCTGGATTGATCAAAAAGATTGTGGTGTGTAAAGAAATAAGTCTTGCGATTGTGGACGGAAATTTTGGATAGACTTGGTAGTTTATTATGCTCAGATATTACAAGGAAGTTAAACAACGTATTGCTGTTTAGCTCATGATCACTTGGTCTTTTGACATATATTGTTTTGCGCTCAGCCCGTGGGGAAATGGGGTTTAGGGGCTCATGAAGGAATGAAAGTTCGCCACCTAGTATCGTGGGAAATGCTGTGTTAAGGACAGAGTGGCTGTGATATGGTTGGCAGCAGTCATTGAAATACCAATAAAGTAGGAAGAAGGTGAAGGATCGACAAATCTTGTGACTTATTTTGGTGAAATGTGGTGAGTGGGTTGTGTAAGTGACGGGTTTGATGGTTGGAGGTCACAACATGATAGGTATGGATGTGGAGATGAAAATGAAGTCGCTTGTACTCAGAATGCGATGAATATTGAGGGGGGTTGTGGAACTCGAAGTTTTATTTTGTCTTTGTTTAGGCTTTAAATCTGGGGATTTATCGTGGAAGTACTTCGATAGTGTCGTTTACATGCAAAGTTTCTGGATCATACAATCAAGCTGATTTATTGCCGCGCTCATCAAAGGACTGTTCTCTTGACTAAGTCAACTACCCCACTTTCCGACCACCCCCTATTTCCGACCACCTAAAAAAATCATATTATTTACACTTAAAACTTTAATAATTCAATAACTATTGAACTTCAATAAAATCACCTGTAAAATCATTTTCTATAGTATTAAAGCTATTATCTCCCTTAATTTTATAATCTTTCATTTCAATTTGTGTATATCTTATAACTCTAATCTTTATAAACTTTGAATTTGAAAATATTATAATCTTTTATTTTTTTTTAAATAATATTTTATTTAATTAATATTTTAGCTTTCTAATCTTATTCTTTATTTCTAAAAGTTTATAATTCTTAATATCGAATCCTTTTATAATTTTATGAAATAGTAATCTTTATATTGATAAATCAATCTTTTTTTCTTAAATTATTATATTTCTATATTTTCTGATATTAATTTCTTTTTAAGAGATTTTCTATTAAATAAATAATGAATATATATTCTATTAAAAAATAGAATTATTATTAGATTTAGAATTAAATAATAAAATCTTTTTATTATTATTATTTTCAAGCAAAAATCAACTTATAAGAAATTTAGCTATATTTTTGAGCCAAAGATTACTAGCTTGCTACCCAGACTTGATATTTTGAATAATTAAATTTTCTATTCTAATTTTCTAATAATAAAAAAGAAAATTGCACTTTTCAATTAATAAGGAATTAGATAATAGACTTAATTTATTAAGTTTAATTCAATATATACTTTTTAGGAATAAAAATATAAATAAATCGAATAGTTATAGTATGTGTAATATATATAGTGAGAGAAATAAGAAATATATATTATTATTAAAGTATTCTAACATAAATACTATAGTTTTATAGCTTCTATATTCATTCAAAATAAGGAGTTTTGAATTTTCCAGTTAAATAAAAGTAATTTGAGGAATATAGATCTTTTTCAATTATTTTAAAACTATAATATCTATAATTTATCTATTTTCTATAGTAATAAAGTTCCAATTTTTAAATAAAATCAAATCAATTAAAAACCATTATTATTAAACTGATTTTCCCTTATATATTATAAAGAGAATAATACTTTTTCTATTAATTGAAATATATTTTATAAAAAAGGTTCAAATTTGAGATTCAGGTTGCTTTTTTTGAATAAATCTTTAATTAATGCTTTTTATTATTAGTTTATTAAAACCCTAATTCTCTATTATACCTACTTTATCTATATTCTATTTATTAATTGACTTAATAGTCTTAATTTCAGGAATTATAAGGTTTCGGAATTACTTTTTAATAATATTAGATATAGCATCTGAAATTCGTGTAGAATCGATTTGATATTGCTTTTTAATTCTAATATTAGAATATTTTTAAAAAAAGCTATATATTTATTTCTTTCCAAATGAGGGATCCTTTTTTTATATAATAAGGAGGTATTTTGTTATCTTTTTAATTTGATAATATATAGAACTAATATTAAGAGCTTTTTATATTAATATTTATTCTATTAATTAATTCTCCTGAATTAGAGATAACTTTTAAAGTATTTAAACACCTTTTTGATATAAAACTTTATTATATATTCGATTGTAAAGTATAATATATAGAATATTATAATTCAAATTAGTTTTTTGTATACTTACTTTATTTGTAATTACTCTAAAAATCTCTATAATATCTTTTTTGATATATTTATTCTTTATATTACAATTATAATAATATCAAAATTTCAAATCAATTGATTAAAGTATTATTAAACTATTTAAAATGTAAATTTTATAATTATTTAAAGTAATGTGGTTTTCGAGATGGTCGAAAAGAGGGGGTGGTCGGAAAGTGGGGTAGTTGACTTACTACATTAAAAACCCTGGCTAATGTAGTTTGTCTAGCTTGATTACAGTTTATTCTGGTAATTACTTGAGGAAATCCACGCAGAGCTCTCTATTCATCAAGAATCAAATCCCAATCCAGCACATTTATTTGTCTGAATCATCAGACCTTTCTTTCCATTCTAAGTTCAAGACACTCCTTCACTCTTTATGTTGAAAACAAACTTGCATGGGTATTGTATTCATATACTGACCTGTATGGTACCTCCTGTTATAGTTATAGAGTACGGACACTCAGAATGAAGTACAATTGGTATCAGCGAAGAAGCATTAGATATTATATTGCTCAAAGTTGCAAAAGCGGAGGTAGATGATGCTCCACCAGATTCGTCAAACGACTTTGGACTAAAGCTTCCGTCAAATCCACGTGAGAGTAGCTTATCCTTACTTCCAACTACTCTTACCGATATCTAGAAGTTGAAGGCAGCCAGCTTGTTAAGACAATGGCCTGATACTATTATTTAATTTGTACCTTCGTCTTTACTTCACAAAATGCCCACATCACCAGAGATGATTCTCTTCAGTCACCCATTGGCGTTTGTAAAGAAAATCATGTTCGGGTGTTAACCTACACATCTATATCATCCAAGAATCAGTGAAGACAGAATCTAGTTCTGGGTTCGAAACTTATCATTTCAAGATGAAGGGTCTCTAAATGTATGAATTTCAGGTGTTCGTGGTCTCTTTTTCCTCCACCTCTATCCTTGTGGCCATCTCATGAAAATCTCTCGACACAAACAAGAGGGATTATCATAATGATTCATCTAAGAGAAGTTGGGCATGAAGTTCTACTCAAGTAACCATTTTAAATACACCTGGGGCCAAATCTATGACGGTCCATCTATCTTGTTCTCAATAGTTAATACATGGCCATTTTTGGCCCTCATAACACCTTGAAAGGTCTCCGAATGCAAATTTGAGGAATTTTTGCAGTACGCAACTAGTTAAATGCCAGCTCAAAGTTCTTGTCGGGACATCGATCATGTGATCAAAGAGGGCACTGTATTAGCTAGCGTCGCGCTAGCGCTACCTTATATTAAATACTAGCTTCCTATAGATAATAATGATCAAAAACGAATACAACCATATAGATCTAAATACTTACATTTATCAATTAAGTTGATACCAACAGTTCTATACTGAGCTTGCAAGTAAATAAATCGGTTTCTTCTGAATACTTTGGTATTCAAACTTCGTTTATATACAAAAGATCCACCACATGTTCTAAAATTCCAAATGAAATAGTAGAAATGATAGAAGTAGCATATTAAAGAAGATAAGCGGGTAAATTATAAATAAACATCAACGATATTCAAGCAGCATCTTTATCATCTCCATTCTCGAAAGAGAATTGACGCAAAGCAGTTACTCGTGCAACTCCTGGGGCACCTCCTTGATCTGATACACTGGCAATAGCACCTTCATCTTGAATTGTGTGAGGTATATCACGAGCTTCATTTTCTTCGCGTTGAGCGATATTTCTAAAAGGTGCTTGAACACTCCCTACGTCCTCATTGCGATACTTAAACATATCGGTTCCCAGCCGTTCCATTCTCTCAAGTTCCTGTCTATGGGCCAGTCGAAGTGCCTGAAATTGATTCTCGCGGATCTCTTCTTCGTGAGCTAATGCTTGACGATGTAATTCTTCCTCGTGTGCTTGTCTTTCCACATCGCGGCGATGCCACTCATTTATTTGTGCGTCTTGGCTCATAGTAGTTGGGGAGAATGGATTTGGAGGTTGAACACCTGAAGGCATCGCTCCGGCAAAAACAAAATTACTAGGCCCTGGGGATCTACTGCTAGTAGAAGAAGCGGATTGATTTAGTGGCTGGTCGCCAGAAAGTAAACCTCCAGCAAAATCGTAGTTGTTAGGTTTTGCAAGAGCGTATGTAGGAGGAGGACTCATGCGGTGCTGAATTTCGGCTATAGGCGAAAATCCATCGGGCCGCAATCGTGTCTCGGAGGAAATAGGCAATACTCGATCTACCAAAATAGAAGAGCGAGTAGGCGCTACGAGAATGGATCCTTTCTCGAAAGATGGCTCTGCAGAACTAGTGGCGATAGCATTCATTGATGGCCGTGAGCCTGAATGTGAAGCAGAAATAGGACTGATGGTAGGACTGGCAATAGGAGTATTATCGACGGTAATCCTCCCATGAACAAATTCTGCTGGAGCTTCTGTTGGTAGCTCAACTGCGGTTTCTGCGGAGAGTTCTTTTGGAATCACAGCCGCAAGTTCTAAACGTCGGTGCGGGACTTCGGAGCTAACTTCCGTTGGCTGTGCAGTGTCTGAACTTATCTCAACCGGGTGACTGATATCACCAGGAGCTTCTGAAGGATAAGTCCCCAATGCCGGAGGACTATCAAATTGTTGAAGATTAATACCGGCTTCAGACTCAGATGTAGAGTTCTTGAGAGCAAGCGCAAGTTTCTTTGGCTTATAATATTTAATATAGGAAAAGTATAGGGTAGCCAGTAAAGTGGCTATTGTCCCGAGTACACCAATGACTATGCCAGAAATTTGCCCCTTGGTTAAACGAGTATTCTGATCGGATGACGCTGTACCAGTTTCTTGTTCAGTAGTACTATCTCCACTTGGAATAGAAATGATGCTCTTGTTGTTTAGCGTATCCGATACATGAACGGCTTGGTAAAGAGCAAATTGATTGGTCTCGTACGAGGTGATGATGTATGCCTCCTGTAAAAATGCTCGACCGATAGTGTACTGACTACTATTTGCTGATCTGGCCAATGGAAAGTAAAATTTTGATGCTTCATCTGTTCCATATTCGGTGTTGGGAATGTATGGGTAAGATAATAATAAATCAAAAGCTGCATATGGTAAATCGATCTCGACAAAATCCGAGGCTGAGGGTTTGTCTTTGAATCTAAACGTAAAAGTTGTCGTTGTAGATGAGTCCGATAGATTATTATGCTGATTCGGGTTTTCGTCAAAGGTGTAAAGGTTCAAGGACTCGTTATAATTTAGTCCTAGAGCATCCGCGAAACGATCACACACTGTTTCCGGAAGCCATAGGTAAGGAGTTGAGCTATCAACCAAGGCATTGATGTTCTCCTCGGATGACGCAAGCTGTATGGACGTATTCGATCCATTTGAGGATATTACAGAAATACTCTCAATGAAGACTTGAGGTACAGGGGGATCTTGCGTAAGAGTGAACGAGACGTTGTGAGGTATGAATCGATTTTCGTCATATCCTCCCAATGTCAAAGACATTGGTTCTCCCTTTTGCTCTAAGCTGGGTTAGTTGACCGTACTAAAAAAAACTCAAAATTGTCTAATACTTACGATATATAGCCCCAGCAGTGTATCCATACCCTGCACCTAATATCTCACCCAGCGCTTCTAGCTGTGCATATGTGACATTTGAGGTAACATAACTGAAGTTTCCAGTACTAGCACCCAAACCAAAGCTTCCAACCCAGTACTCTGTAGCATTGATCATCGCGATTGTCGCGTTGGGAACGGTTGGCCCGTCTGGCCCAAATGCGAGATTATCGAGTCCATACTCTCCATAAGGTGGCCATTGCAGCGAGTTTCCCATACCAAGACGCCAATAGGGAGAAGACTCTAGTGTCATCAAAGGCTCCCATGTGGAAGATTGGGTTGCGTTAAAAATTGAACCTCGGCTGTCCAAGCATGTTGAATCTTTAAAGGTGTCATTAGTATGTGAGGGTTACAGAATATTTCAGCTTGAACTTTAAACGAGACAAGAATGTATATATGCGCGATATGAAACCATTGATCTACAATCAAGGAACCCATATTCTCAGATCCCAACCCTGACTACTGGAAATATTGATACACGATGATGAGTTGCTGAGGATGATCACTTGATGTACGGTTCTAATGGCTAACTGTAACTTGATTTTTAGTTTAAAAGGGTTGGTTTATGAGAGAAAAAAGCTTAAATAACGTAATCAACAACCTTGAACCAAATACTATGATCTAACCTCGAAAAGATGTCTAATCAAATAAAGACAAAAATACGAACAGTAATTCCCCGATTGCGATATGTCATTCATGACAACTCTTCAATTGTTGAGGCACTCGATGGAAGGGATATGATGTTAAGAATTGTTGTCATGGTATAAACGATAAACTAAAACATTTGATATGGAAGTATGATCCATCAATTAGCACTTGATGTTGAATAGATAAAGTTTGCTTCATTATGCGATTCAAAAATCGCATTCCATCAACTATGGTTCGGTATGAAATATGTAGAATTTGAATTATTCTGATCAAAGGCAGTGATTCAAACACTTTCATCTGGCCACATAAAAGAAGAATGTTTCCAGTTTCCGAGAAACAATGAAGTAGAAAGTACCGGTTGACATCGATTCAAGACTTTAAGTCTCTAGAACAAGTATAATACAAAGAAAAATGACATACCACCATCTTGACAGCCATATGGCCCTATCGCCCAGGTTTCAGCGCTGAGTGTATTTGGAAAGAGATTGACCCATTGTTTGGGAGTTCCCAATCTGATCGACACAGCAGACCAAGATCCATCGTCTCCATACCTTTGACTATATCAGCACCTGGTCAAACAAACGGGATATTGTTCACTATACCATTCAGTAGAAGGCGTTAGACTCAAGGCTGTAGCAGCCTCCACACCAGTAACATATCTTCCCAGGATCAAGAGAAGAAGTGGTTGTGTAAGAGCACACATTCCTATAACAGAGATCATAGTCTTGATTTTTGTATCGAAGACACAAAATCTAATCAATTAACTATGCTAATTAATTGAGGAATTGGATATATGTATGATGAAGATAAGTCGACAGTTGCAACAAAGGTCCAATGGGACATACGCGCAAGGTTATCAGGCTGAGCCTCAGGCTGAAGGGCAGGTTTGAAAGGTAATCAGCCAATTAGATGTTTAGAAACAAAAGAAATAAAGGAAAAATTATCAATGAGTGAAGCAGTCAACGATTATTGGATTGGTGCTGTAATTAATATTGCCTCTTATTGTTTTGTTGTAGGGAAAAGAGAGAACTTAGAGTTGGTGTGGGGGAACCGAACTAGGAGAATGAAAAAATAACTATATTGGGCAAAGGAAAGGGGCCACTTAGCATCAACTAAGCGAAAGCATACGATTGAAAAAAAGAAAGCTTTTAACATTATAAAAAGCTCACAATCATACATTTCCATATTAATTATTTCTATCTGTCGATAATATGAGATAAATCAACTTATGAATTTGAAAGGTTCGGGTCTTGCCGAAAGCCATCACGGCGCTCTCGAGCTGCCAAGAAGAACTCTCAATCTGGGAACAGTAGAACGGTTGCTGATTTTTAGAATGCCAATTGAGTTGAGGGCAAGGGAAAGAGGGAAATCGGACCGTGGTTCATAATTTAACAGAAAGGTTAGACATAGTGGAGTCTCTTCCCAATTTTAGAAGTCAGTGGATGGTGGAAACAATTTAGATCAGATCAGCACGGTCAGTTGACCAGGAACATGGCCTTGAAGCAGAACTATCGGCTAATTTACTTCATATGGAAAGGACATGATATATATCTATATTTTTCTATTTCTGGAAGGACTTATCAACTTTCCTTACCAGAATTATTATACCATATCAGTACTTCTCTGAGGCAATGGTTCCAAATAGAGAATTTAGTCACATATTTACCGACAGTGAATGAAGATACTGGCTAGACTTTTCACTGCCATCCGCTAAATTCTACATGGAGAGATGGAAGAAATCCATAGCGTTGAACTTGATCACAATAGGCTTTCACTTTTGGTTAGCATTTTGCCACAATGATATTGTGGCTTCGCCAAGTTGTCAGGCTATCTTGGAGCCATTAACAAATTTTTCATACGTGCTACCAACTTTTGAATAAAGCACGGAAACTATCTTTGTGGTAGTTCAAAAGCACAAGTATAATCCACATTGAAGATACCCACTACAGCCTTGAATGTAGCAAGTGTTTGATCTAGGTATCTTCCAGGAATCCTTTTGGGTGTGAGAGTACCCAATCAACTGTCTGTTCTCAATATTTTGTTAATTCAGGATTCAAGGCTCCATTTCTCTTTTCCGAAATTTCAGTTCGGAGCGTAAAAGTTTATTTTGCGGAACGTTTGTCGCTTAGCCATATCTGGATTGGACTTGCACTAAAAGGTACCTACATTTACGACATGAGTCTACTTTAGCGTTCTGACGATCTCCCCGTAACCGACATCCGACAACCCTATTTATTACAGTGAGCAAAAAAGCATTTGAAGGAGGCGATCATACGAATTTACATTGTAAAGAGCCGTGATGTTACCAACAATCTCTGGTAACATGCTGCGTTCCATAAACGAAATATGCTATATGCTTAGCATGCTATATCCTGATTGATTCAAGCATAGTTTGTTCAAAGATAGTAGCAGGTTTGATGAAAGCATTGTAAGCCACTAGCTGTACCCTGAAGATATCATAGCCGGCACGTCTCCTTTTTCACACTTCAAATACCGTGGACGAGTCACTTGCTATCCGTTAGTACAAGCAGCCCTAGAGTCAAGATCAAAGCACTACCTTTTCTATCTTTACATCTTTATTATTATGTTGGCAAAATAATGAAGCCGTTCAGATAAGAATGATTTTTCATACCAGTTGCTCGACATTCAGCAATTTGACATTGTTTCCTGTACATTGGTTTTTTGAAATGTTTTACTTTGATTTTCTTCTACCTATTACTTACGTGGGTTGGTTCTGAAAACACTCTCATTCCTATATTATAATCTCATGAACAGTCAGGCAAGCTTTGACTGTTGTATAGTGCATTAGGCATCACAAGACCAACTATTTTCTGAGTTTCTCTGGGACAATGCTTTATCATGGATCAATTTTCATATGGGTTTTCATTCTTACTAAATGCTCTGAAGTTTTTGCTCAAGGTACGCTTGAATCCATCTGCCCAAGGACCATATCACTAATATAAGCAAGCAAAATTCCAACAATTTTCGAATTCTAGCATAACTTCTACGTCTTATACTACACAATCTAACCAATCTTCGATCTTCAATTCGAAGAGTGTACTAGTTGAATCATCAGCAGTATCTTCATCGATTTATAATGATGTCGAGACAACTAATTGTCCATCGCCGACGTTGAGCCTTCATACTACTTCTTGGACCAGTATAGGTACCTCAAGAAATGAAAGCTCTGCCAATCCTCCTGCCATCACTACCAAGCCTCAATGGCCTGGGAGATTTAGCGGCGCTACATATGACACAGTCCCGGTCAGCAATCCTACATCTCAATGGCCAAGCAATAACATAAGCGTGACTTCTATCCTTACATCCACCCTTAATTCTACCTTACGGTCTCAAAGCTACATTACTTCAATAACTTTCGAACTCAACACAAACTTCGGTTATCCAATTGCGCCCACCAACTCGAGACAATTGATCGATAATCCAAACACGACTACATTGTCTTTTCATCATCAAACGGTTACTAGTGTTGGGCACAGTGAGACGGGAACTTTCAACAATACAGTATTCAACGCATCCGTCACATCTCCTGAATTAGATCCCGAGACAGATCCGTGCATTGCTCTTGATTCGCCTGACGACGACTATTATGAATTCATTCTAGTACCCAACACGAAAACAATTTCACTTGCTAGCAATGCAACATACACCCCAATACCAGAGTTTACACCTCCAACTTATTGTCCGCCGGGGACATCGCCAGCATATGAGCTACCATTATTTCCATTTGGCAATGACACCGATCCGAATCTGATAGAGTCAAATTAAACAAGTACAAGAGAATATCTAACATTGTCGCCATCAGCGTCTCCCAGTTATTCACAAATAAGGACGACAACCGTTGTTGTTACAAGCAAGAACCCACAGGTTGTTTTTGTCTCTTATACTCCACCACGTTTCCCGGGAATTCCAGTAACGAGAATTGGCAAGCCATCTACACCAAGTTTTCCGTCAACTTCTACACCAGGCTCTTCAACTAAAGCAGTTAGCCCTGAAACAAACAGTGTAGAGAATCCTGATGCAGCATCTAACGATGATGTTGGATCACCTTCACTTTCTAAAATTACAGTGGTTGTCCTTGGAGTACCGATTATTTTGACACCGAGCAATGTTATTATAAATGGACATACGATTCAAAGGCAGAATTCGTCTTTAACCATTAAGCAGAAGGGGCATATATTCACGGTTAATCCATATCAAGTGATAGGCCCAGGAACAACATTGACATTACCAAGTTCATATAGAGCTATCAAATCCACCAATTCAGGGGCAACGAGTATGCAGTCGCAACCAAACCCAACTTCAGCTTCCAGGGCAGGTAGCCAGGAGAAATCACCAACTTTGAATACCAATTCAGGAGATCCAGGGGCAACGGGTGTGCAACCACAACCAAATCCAACTCATAGTTCAGGTGGAGGGAATGTCGAAATGTCAGCAATTTCAACTCTGGTGGATAACATTTCGGTAAGAATAGGAGAATCTGTTGCCGTCGTGGATGGCAAGAGCTATGCAATAGGTTCGGGAGCTCCTCAAGTCGTAACTGTTATAAACACCCAGACAATCACGATTGGTGTTGCCGGAATCCAATTTGGACACACGACTCTGGCGCCTCTACTTGTTGAACCTACGAACCATGTGATTATCGGTGGTGAGCCCATCAGTGCTGGAAACTCCTTGGCATATATTGAGTCTTCAACGTTTACCTACGGATCAGGTTTGGCCGTTCAAACTGATGTATTCAATGGACAAACAATACTCATTTACCCCAGTGGAGTGGTCTTTGCGCAAACAACTTTAGGAGGCAACTCAAGATCAGGAAATCAAATTGGAGTAGTTGGCGGTCTCTCGGTTACGGAAATAGGTTCATCAATCGCAATTATATCTAGCATTACGTTCAATGTTGGGCCTGGTGCTACTCCTACCAAGACAGTGATCAGTGGAGAAAGTATATCTGCAGATCAAAGCGGCCTGGTACTTGCTGGTACAACTTTAACATACCCTCTCATTCTTGCGACACATCCTGTTACAATTTTAAATGTCATATTCACGCAAATTGGATCAAGTCTAGCAGTTATAGACGGAACAACCTTTACTTTTGGACCAGGAGCAACACATACTAGCCATACATTCAATCAACAAACTATAAAAATTGGAAGTAATGGCGTTGAGTTCTCAAAGACCACATTTAAAAGTGTCTCGGAACCTTCCTCGATGCAAGCTATGTCTACAATTAAAAGTAAAGGATCGAGGCTCGAAACTACTGGCGAAGACTCAGCATACACGTCTTCATCTGCAGCGGCGACGTCTGCAGTGATGGCATCTACAGACCAAGAGAGCGACGCTGAAAGGATCAACGGTCGATTTGAAATATACAGATGCATCACTCTTGGTCTCATTATGTTGATGACTTAGTTGATAGATGAGATAATGTTTCAACATGGAGTTCTAGGAGTTATGCAAAAGTCAGGTAGAAAATTGGGTGGGATGGGTACATTATTACGTTTCTTGGAAATGTACTTATGTGATATATAAAGACTTCTTAGAGTTATTAAAATAATAATGAATGATTCACCAATTCATGTTGTCTAGATTTAATGTGGTTGTAAAATTGAGGGGCTGTCGATGAGGTGGGGTGTATTTATCAAAACCTCAGGCATACATAGTAAGGACGTCACCTTGCACATGGAAATTGCATGACTCCGATTTTATGTGATAGATACCGAAACGAGAAACATACATACCCCCCCCCCATCATTCAGTAAGATTCAATTCCAAAACGAAAGAAAACTACAAAATCCACACAAACGTTCGAAACATCACGACGCCCTCGACTACTCAACTCTACAATAGACTGACCGGATATACTGGCTCAGTCAAACCCTCATACCTCACCCCTTCACGTTCAATTTTATGCAGCCATCGCCTCCCGATAATTTTAACAACATTCTTACCTTCGAAAGCCCGTCAGATTTATCCAATACCTCTAATCATGGCATTCACTCTTCGCAAATCCAGTCCAGCGAGCTGGTCAGTCCTCGAAATGGACTTGATGGCTCAACGGCAAGCTCAACCCCTTCAACAACTTCGTCAAGAGCAGGATCAGGATGGCGATCGCCACTCAATGGTGTGGATGAGGCACTGCGTGGGTTGAACTTGGACACCAACCTCGAGAATCGCCCAAGACCATCTTATCAACGAATTGCCGAGTATGAAAACGCACTTGCTCCTAGTCCACCCAAGAAACAACCAGAGGGACCTGGATTCAAGGTGGTGAAGAAGAAAGGCAGTACGGGCGAGGAAGGTCCGCAACTAGAGAATTTTCCAAATGGTACTTTCAATTCTGACCCTGATATAAATTGACTCTCTAACACAATTTCTATTACAGAGGTTCTAACTCATATTTTATCGCATTTGCCTGCGTCGTCTCTATCTTCAGTCTCACTTGTATCGCGTCGATTTTACAATTTGGTTACTACACCTCATGCATGGCGCGTTGCATTTTCGAGATTCTTCCCAGGCCAAGATGTTACGGAGACGTCGCCGAATGGATCAGATCATATTGGAGATGATGAAGAAAGAGAACAATTTCGCGAACAACGATTTTTTACGCGGTTGACAGGTTTGGCAAGTTGGAGGAGCGAATATGTGCTTCGAACACGGCTCTTGCGAAGTCTTGGAAGGGGAAAGCCTGCCCAAGGAGTTGAACAAAGTAACTCAAGTCGAACAAATGGTACGGGAAATACAAGTGCTGTGACTACGTATACCTCGGAATTATTCACATCCATCAATCACATTCATGGTACATTCGGACAAGGAAAGAAATATCCACGCTTTATCCATGGTACTGATGAAACTGGGTCTGCTGGTAGTAGTGATCCTAAACTTGGAAGAATCGATCCTTGGGGCTTGACTGATCCACAACCAATGCCTCAATTCGCAGATCTGTTTCCAGGCGATGCTCCATTTGGTTTTGGAAATGGGCCTGCTGGTCTTCCAAATGTTATGGATGTCAGTCAACCTTTCGGAATGGTGTACGGAGAAGGGTTTCCAGGAGGTTCGGCTTACTACAGAGCGCCAAATGAAATGCGTGGTCGCTTTTTAGAACATTCGCCACCAAGTTTGGCCGATGCAGAATCTGGTATCCCAAACATACCTCCCCTCACCGAGGCAATATCATCTATTTGGATCGCCAAGTCTTCATCTGTACCCAAAGTTACCAATGGTGTTATTGGAATCATGACTGGCTCGACACTTGGCGTGATCACTGCTTATGGTCTCGGTACTGAACACCCTAAAGCTAAGGCTGGTCAGGTGATGGCACGATGGATTCCTTCCCCTGGTGTACCTATAGTTGCAATAAGCGTGGATGATTCTTATAGTACCTCACGCAAAACATCACGTCGAACTTGGGCTGTTGCACTCAACGCTTTAGGCGAAGTATTTTACTTAACAGAAGTACCTACACATCCTCCATCTGATGCATCTTCAAATGAAGACGTTTTGGGTAGGGAAGCATGGATTGCTGGCCGTACAGTATATTGGCAGGTTGTGGAAGCTTCCCGCCGTGTAGCACGCGATGATCCATGGCAACAAGCCGAAATCCACGGCAGCTACTCTCCTAAATCCTCTTGCACTTCTATGAATCTCTCTAAACAACAGCTCAAGGCAGAAACTCGTGAAATCGAAAAGTTTCTAAGGTATCGTCCATCACATTTTCGAACTGTTTGTGATGGTTGGGATATGCGTCGAAGACTTGAGGTTGACTTCAGTGGTGATGATGGTAATGGAGCAGGTGAGAGTGTTTTTGTCATTGGTTGTGGAATCAGTCCAGGGGAACAAGCCGAAATAAAGCGATACACAAGATGTAAAGTCGAACAATCGTCACTTGACGGATTCACATTACCAAGAACTGCTCCTGCAACACCACCAGTATCATCCGAGCCAACTCAAATACCTTCGATCTTTGGAAATGTATCAAAAATCAAATCAGAGGAGCTCACTTCTCCAAATTCACCAATATCACCCATGACAAATGTTTCTCAACCATCTGAGAATGCGGAGGCTCCCATGGACGAAGAATGGCGGAGTTCCTTGCTATCTTTGAAGTCATATCCTGGCATTGAGATTACCACTTCTGCTATAGATCTATCAACATATGCCCTGCTCACCATTGCCGAAGATCCATTACATACTGTAAATGGGAAAACAACTTTTACTACCTTTCCAGATACACCATCTGATGAAACTTCCTCGACTAGCATCCCCGGTTATCGCGCAAGATATCTGGCAATTGGTACCAAGATAGGCCAAATCATTTTGTGGAACATGCGAGGTCCTCAATCTGCAAATCCTCGGGTGGTCAATGAGCTACATCCAATCCGTACTATTGTTACAGAATCGCCTCAAACATCATGTTTGGCAATTTCCGCATTGTTTGTTGTTCATGGTGGTAATGATGGCCTCGTGCAGGCGTGGGATCCTCTTGCATCATCTAATCAACCTGTCCGCACGCTCCACTCTCGCTTTTCTTCGCGTGCTCGACGTCGGTTGATCCAAGCAGAGGCAAGAATTCATGGAGTTGGCATCAATCTTTACGCAGCTGGCGCTGTCATTCTTGATCCTGATCCAACCATCCTGCGTGGTATGGTTTCACTTGGTACTCATCTTCGATATTGGCACTACAGTTCCTCTGCTGCAGATCAGTTTCAAACTAAAAAGCGAAGGCTTCGCCGTGGCGAACGTGGTAGTAATGGAGCAACCGATCGATTTAGTAATACTGGTAGAGGAGCTTTGTTGAGTCAAATTGCATTAGAACAACAAGAACTCGACCAAGAAAAGAAAGAAAGAGCTAAAGAGGCAGCAAGATTCGCTGGTCGATTTGGTGTTGGGTTTGGTGGTCTTAGTGAAGAAGAAGCTTTACAATATGCGGAAATGGTGTCTGCTCAGGCTCTTATAGATGATGAAGAACGCCGTATAAGTGAGGCTGGATATTTTGCAGATACTGGCGAGAATTCTCCTACTAAAGGTGAGAATAGTTTCGGAACTATCACACCTGAAGCTAGCACAAGAAGTCATTCCACGGTACCAACTTCAGCCATAGAGCCTCAACCTAACTATGACCATGATCTCGAGGAAGCTATACGTCTTTCTTTGATGGAAGGTCAAGCAATTGGAGATAATGGCTATTCGCCAAGTGTTGGTGATTATGATGTCAATTTCACTTACAAACAGAAAAAGACAAGACGGTCAGAGTCCACTTCGCCATCAACCAGTCAAGTATCCAAGAATAGATTTAGTTATGAAGGGTTACATTCTATGGATAAGAATGCTCAATTGTCAGACGATCTTGAGTTTGCTTTGCAACTCAGTCTAGCGGAGGAACGTAGTAAACAAGAGGCTGAGGCTGAGTCCTTCCCAGGCTTGGGGTTTGCAGGAAAGGGGAAGGGGAAGGGTCGTGCGATTTAGGTAGAGGAGGTGCTTTGGGAGCAGTTTCCTTTTCTAGTGGTTGATGATTATCTTTTGCTTCTTTGCTGGCGTGTGTTTTTCTGAATGAGCTTAAGCTGTTTGAACCGACTTTTATACTTCTCGAAGACGCTTTTAATGATAGATAGACATTTAGTGCCTGGTTTAGATGTCTCAATGGCTTCTCAACGTCAAATATTGCCGTCTTTTGTGATACCCTGATTGGTATCAAATCATTCTTGTTGATGCTTTATTGTAGAAACTATTCCCTCGGAAGCGCTCCCGAACGTCTATGTATTACGGTATATATACATATATATCGGCAACTTAAAGTTGAAATTATGTAGGCAATGGTGCTCGCTTCAAAAGGTCTATATAATCCGACCTACCCTTGTCTAAACAGGATAAAAGAACAATGAACCTGCAATATCACTCGCTTTATATCAAAGCATCGATTGCCTCAATAGAGGAGCGACCTGCTTTCTACTATGCTCAATCCTTTCTTGCCACCAACAATGTCTTATTTCTTTTTCCCCTTCAATATTCAATATGCCTTCACCCCAAATCTTTAACCCAAATCTTTTCTCTCCTTCCCCCTTAAATTTCCTCAAACATTCTACCCCTCTATTTCCCAAACCCCATACCAAAAGCTCCCTCCTGAATACTCCATCCTTATTACTCGTCGTCATCACCGCGCAGATATCCAAAGTTCTTTCCTTTGCCCACTCACCAAGTACCTCGAGCAGCTTATCACTGCTCCCCGCTTTCGCGAGAAGAAAGTCGAAATCCTGAACTACGGCACTTATACCCAGGTTCAGACCTCCTTCATGCCATTCTTTGTAATCTTTTCGTAATATATCTCGTAATTCCATATTTCCTATATCTTCTTTTGCGGCAGTGATTGTGGAGAAATATTCGTCGCGGTTCCAGGGTGATTGTGATGTATTGGGATCCTTTGCGATTAGGTCTTCGAGGAATCGGACCGCCACTCGGTCGCTTTCGCAGGTCTTCTCGGCGGATTGGAGATTGTTGGTGTCTATTAGGATTGGGCCTAGCGCTAGGTATGCTAGTTCTCCGTTCCATTGACTGTAAACCCGAGTGTTAGTGTGATGAGGTAAGATTCTGGATAAGAGCGAGAACGGTATGAGATATGTCAATTATCCAGATAGAACTGGATATTGTGGACCGCAAACTTACCTAGCATCTCCATCCACTCCATCTCCTCTCCTCATATCTGCCCAACCATCTCTCGCCCATGCGACGACCAAACTCGCACAGCTTCCACTCTTCTCCACAATCCTCATCTCCCCCTCCTTCTCACAGATTTCCTTTGCGGGAACCTTTCCCTCTTCATCATGATGGTCTATACAACCCCCTACTCTCCCCCCATAAACTCTGCCCAGTTCCCCTTGTAGCGCATTGTGATCTACCAATATCCATCTCGTATCATCTGGTTTCAATTTCGTCAACTGCGATGATTTTGTGCCGTGTCCTCTCAAATCATCCAGACTGATTAATTCTCCCACCTTGACTCTAGCTTTCTTTAAAATAGGATTTAATTCCGGCCTCAATCCTAAATCCGCACGAGGGAGATTCGACAAAGGGATGTAGAGAGATTTGCTATGGTTGAGAGGGGAATATGTGCGTAGATAGGCTAGGAGTATGGCGCTACAGAGGGAATCGAGATCTAATTACTGTGGGTGTTAGTTATGTGGACGATCATACGCTAGTCACAAATTGTATCAAGCTGCTCCCGCTAATATGTTTCCCCGGAGTATTACAAGAAGGGGTAAAATGGTACATACCAGCCGATTCATTACCCACGACAAAATTAACTTGTCCCCCGCTTTTCAATGCGCCGTTTAGAGCAGTTTTGGCGGAGGATAGAAATGAGGAGAGGGATACGCGTGGGAGAGACATTTTTGTTTTATCCCGCCAAACTAGAATATGCGGCTGAGAACGCGTATTGATGTTGTTTCTTGAGCGGAATTAGGAGGAGGTGAGGGGGACGCGATTAGAAACCCCACTTACGCGAGCTACGTCATTGGGTGGGAGCTTCTGTATCAATATACGTATTCTCTAAGAAACATATGTCTCTTTCTTTTCAATGATCACGATGGAGACAGTATCATTCTATCACAGCAAGTGCTTTGTGCCTCTATAACTCGTATGCGCACTTGAGAGATTCCTCCATCGCTCTTCTAATCCCATTTGCTGGATACGATATGACGGCTACAGTTTCCTCAAATTGTATTGATATCCAAGTCTTCTGCTTCGCGCGAGACATACAAATTTTGGAAGTTTAATAAGCTTTTGAGGTAGCTTCTGGGAAGACAATTGTTGTTGAAGGGCTAGTCTTGAAAGGAATTTTGATAATTGAGCATGCAGCCCGACAATCAGAAGCTTTCAATAGTTTGATGTGCAACCTGATGATTGAAGGCTCTCGATATTTTGGAATACAATCCAACAATCAAAAGCTTTCGATAGTTTAGAATGCAGTCCGGCAATGAAATGCTTTCAAATAGTTGGAGATACAATACGGCAATTAGAAGCCTTCAATAGTTTGAAACATCGGTAAACAATCAAAAGCTTCCAATATTTTGAACTGCAGTCTGACAATCAGAAGCTCTCGATTTCCGAGTTGAACCAAAATTCTTCAAATACTTTGGAATTCTGAATTCAGTATGTGTATTGTAATTCCTCCAAACTTTGAGAGTTGAATCCCATCGAGTCTGTCAGTACCACTTTAGACATCTTTACCTAGGATACCTAGGTAGTATATATTCCTGAAGAAGTCGGAAGTTTTCGACAAAGAAATTATGACCAGAATTCATTGGATAACGATGCTTCGTTTCTTCAGGGGTTTTCGGGTATACTTTACCATAGTTGGGTTTATCGGCCATTTAATATTAATTTGACTAGCGCCTCATGATTCACAACATTTCCTTCATGGTAGTGTCAAGGTCGAATATTCCATCACTATTGAAGTTCCCATTCCACTCCAGCAATGACCCCTATCCCTGTTTTGTTCTTAGTCGCGGATACCAAACATTTAGTTTGCGCCCCTCGAAGAAGGTCCTTTCCCACCTCCACCCCACCCCACTCCGCAGAAAATCTCTTCAATGCGTCGCCCACCACAAGAATATATAGATAGACAGCTCATGGTATTACATCAAACAAGCAATCCTCCCATGGTGTAATGGTTAGCACACTAGATTTTGATTCTGGAGATATTGGTTCGATTCCTATTGGGAGGTATTTTCTGTCTTAATAGGTCCATTATTAGGATCTATGTGGATGAATAGATATTTTTTTTTTCGCAGGGTTTGCTGATTGAATCTATTGGGGGCAAGCCCCCAAACCCCCAAATCCTTTGACGTCGACCCCATCATGTTCTTGCTACCAATGCGGATGATTAATATATCCTCAGAAAGTCAGAATATCTCTTTACAAAGACTGATTATCTCGACTCAAACTATGTTACTCATGTGAACAACTGAGAATTCAATATCGATGTACGGCAGCAATGCGTTGACGGCACAGTTGGTGGAAGATAGCGAAGCTTTCATGAAGTTTTTACCTTCAGGTCGAGAAACTTTTAAAGGAGAGTGTTGTTTAGTATCTATAATGATAATGACAGGGTATTCGTCAGTCCGGACTGCAGTCCAACAACATAAAGTTTTGAGTATCTGAAACAGTTAGAAATTCGAAAACAGTCCAACATCTCAGATAATTTGAATGTTCTGATTGGTTTGGGGATTGGATAATCTTCATTGTTGGACTGGAGTCCTGACTATTGAACACTCTGATTGACACATGTATTTTCTTTATGAATTTTCTTCCTGGCCTTCATCATCGCTCAGTTTCCTACCATCCACATCAATCTTTATGAAGATCGTAGATAAACCAGCCAGGAAATAACATATCTGTTGTTGCTGGTCAGCACATTTATTTTACATCTTGTTCTTATTTGCAAAGGTAAGAAGTAAAAGAGTACCTACAGCAGCCACGAAAAAGGGCAACGCGTGCCAGAAAGATGGTAAGCGTAAGGTTACCGCGAATATATGTTGCATGGAAGGATCATTGATAGCATGGCCGAGATTCTCTAGCACAGCTATTGAGGCGTAGAGAGTAGCGAGGGAGGAGGGGGGGATAAAATGGGATATTAGTGAGAGAGTTGAGACTCGGGATCCGACTAAGGATGGTTATCAGTTGTGGTTTGAAGAATGGTGTGGATGGCAGAAACGAGGGAATCTGGAAGAGAATAGTACGCACAGCCTGCGGCAAAGATAGAAACACCTATTTCAAGTTAGACATTTAATTTCTTCTCATGGAGGGAGACATCATACCAATTGGAATCCACCCACTCGTCGGTGCCAATCCAATAGCAAGAGAGCCAACCAACAGAAAACATAGACTAATCCTCATCAGTTCTAAATCAATCTTCTCGGATTTCACATGGTATCTCGATTTTATCCAAATGCTTATCCTAGGGATAAGAAATAAGAATAGAAAGATATTGATAATAGCTGTTTCGGTGTAGAACATTGCTCCCTTGGATATCTTGGTGCCGAAACGAACCGAGGTATATTGGATTAGGATGCTGAGAGTCGTATATCTAAGGGTACCGACCAGGAAAACTGGAACACAGAGGAGAACATTGGGTTGTAACAAGGCGTGGCGGATGGTAGCGAGGATGGTAGTCTTGGGAATGAGTGTAAGATGCCTTGATTGTAGTCCTGTTGAGGATGTTGAAGGAGGTGATGGTTCTGGTCGCGGCGATGATTGAGTTAATGGTACCAGCCACAACAAAAGCAATCCTAGGATCACTGATCCCATGGCCATACTACAGGCAATCCAAGGAGAAATATCTATAGTGATAGAAGCTACATATGATCCGATAAGTTCTGCAATATAGAATGCCGAGAAGATATAGTAAAAAGCATAGCTTCTATTACCAACCAACCGTTAGTCTAGAACATTTACCCAATTATGCACACTCTTTACCTTTTATCTTCCGGTATCAGCGAGGAAGCCATGGCCCACATAAACGCCGCACTTGAGTATAAACCTCCTCCACATAGAAGGAACAGTGACGACAACCAGACCCAACGCAAGTCGAAGATCTTTGGATATGCGCCTTGTCAGACCTCTAATTAGCGATACATCTTGGCGAAGATATCATGGATAGCAAGTCAACGAAGTACATACAAACAACAAAAATTTCTACCAGAGACAATCCAACTCCTATCAAGGATAACGCCATGATCTTTCTCCTTCCATATCGATCCCCCAGATTGCCAATCGGAATCGCTACTAGTAGAACTATATATCCTCAGCATTATCCCCCTTTTAAAAAAACGAAAGTTATACCAGGCACCGTATCCCCAAAACTTTTCCACCCCCTAATCGTCGCCAACGGTCCCTGGATCTCAGGTATCTTACACATTTCTGAAATGACGTCCCGATTATCTAATCTTAAGCTTGGCTCTGGAAAATTGTAATAAGAGTGACAGAGGGAAGATTCGAAGAGGGAAATGAGGGGGGCTACAAGAACCATTTCGCAGAAGGCGATGAGGAAGTGGAGAGTCATGAAGCAGAGGATGAGGGTTTGGAGGGAGGGAGTGGTGGGCGGAGGAGTGGGGTCATGGGGATGATGGTGGGCGGAGATAAGGGGAGAGGTTTCGTGGGGCAGAATGATGGATGGGGAGTTTTGCTTTGGAGGGGGAGAGGAAGAGTGAGGCATGGCTTGTATGATATCTTGTAGGGTGTGACGTGTGATACGTGAGAAGGTGATTATCTTCGTTTGCGCCACAATGTGGCTCTGGTTGTGGCGCTGAGTGCACAGGTTACCTACCTACCTAGGTACTGCTATATTGTAGATCGTCCGGAACTGATTTCAGATATTCACAACTCGTGAGTGATCGCGTTGATTCTGCCGAATTACGGGATAATCGTTTAGTGGAGATGGATTTTCAAAAGCACTTGAGTCCGCGAGGGAGGTAAAGTATTATCCAGGTACCTATTCAAGGGTAACCGAGAGCTCACCGGGAAGTGGGCACAATACTGACCAACATTAGCCAACAACACCAACAATAGCTTGAAAAACAATCATTACAATTGCTCTTCATAAGAACAGAAATACAACAAGTAACGCGATGTAAATTTCACATATTGTTATATTATGTTCGCTTCGATCACCACGATTTTGAGAATGTCGAAAAGTTTGAAATCATGCCGTAGATATATGTGCATACTATTTTGGTCGTCACTACACACAGGCTTAAGATTGTGCAATTCTTCTAACATGATCAGTACATATCATCTCCAACTGTTTGATTACTACGTCCCACTATCCTGCATCAAAGTGTAAACAAAACCTACTTATATACTCCCTTGTAACTCTCCACGTATCTTTCCTCCAAGTTCTTTCTCTCCAGAAGCCCTGACTACCTATTTTTATTTCCTTTCTCACGCAACATCCATCTAAGCATCAAAAAAGAAAATGAATACCTCAAAGATTTACGACTTCAGTGTCGTAGGAGGTGGTACATCAGGTCTCGTAGTCGCCAATCGACTATCCGAGAATCCTGAAATCCAAGTTCTCGTTCTCGAGGCTGGTGGAAATTATTTAGATAATCCACAGATAAATATCCCAGCACTTTGGCCCTCTTTGCTTGGTACAGAGCTTGATTGGGCATTTAAAACTGTTCCCCAGGTATTTCTCATCACATCTTCCCTGGATCTGATGGTCCTATTCAAACGTCGTATCCTCCAAAAATGGATGCTGTCGGAAAGGCATGGATTGACACCTTCAATTCCTTGAAGTATGAAATGTCTGGGAATGCATTTTCAGGATCTTCAGTTGGCGGTTTTGTAAACAATTCGACATTCAATGGCATTACAAAGGAGTGGAGCTATTCAGCAAATGCTTACTTTTAAGCCTGTGCAAAATAGATACAATTTCCATCTTGTTACTGATGCTCTAGTTGAGAAAATCATTCTTGAAAAAGCATCTGGGGAGGCCGTTGCCAAAGGTGTGAAAGTCACTATCAAGGGTGTCGAACATACCTTTCAAGCCGGGAAGGAGGTTATCGTTGCAGCCGGTGCTTTGAATTCTACAAAGATTCTAGAACTTTCGGGAATCGGGGATGCTAAAGTTCTCAGCTCCCTTGGAATCGATGTATATGTCGAGAACTCTAACGTAGGAGAAAATTTCCAAGATCATACATCAAGCGGAATGAGCTTCGAGGTGATTGATGAAATTCAGACACTGGATCCTCTCAATCGTCAAGAATCAAAAGCTATCGTAGCCGCTGTGTCTGCATATCAAACCGAGAGAACTGGGCCATTTGCTGGTGCAGCGATTTCGTCGTTTGCTTACATGCCAGTTCCAGACTTCCAAACACCCAAAGGCAAAGCCGAATTAGAGCATTTGCTGCTTACTCACAACCCTGTGAAAGAGAGTGTAACGACTGAATTCGCACGATCTGTCCTCTCTAGCGCGGATAAGAGTTCTGCTTTCTATTTCGTCTATGCAGCCCATGGAAACTTTGGATCCAACGCAAGCTCTGCAAAGAACATCACCATCAGTCACGAGTCTGGCAATTTTCTTACAATTGCTTGTGAACTTGGATATACACTCTCTCGTGGCAGTGTTCATATTCAATCTTCTTCGGCATTAGATAGTCCTATCATTGATCCCAAATACTTCAGCAATCCTATTGATCTTGATATCCACGCCCGATTCATACGATACATACACAACATTGCTGCGACTGGGCCAATGGCTTCAATTCTAAAACCTGGTGGACATATCAGTCCAAGCTTTGCTGTATTTGGTACAGAATTAGAAGCTGCCAAATACTATGTTCGAAGAACTATGATTTTCCGCGTGGCATCCGCGTGGCACTTGTGCAATGTTACCTTTGGCAGATGGTGGCGTTTTGAACTAAAAGCTGATCGTTTATGGCACCAAAAACATCAGGGTTGTCGATGCAAGTATGATACCTTTGACTCCGAGAAGAAATCTTCAGTCTACTGTCTATGCTGTAGCTGAAAGAGCGGCCGATTTGATCAAACTGGATCATAACATCTAGAGATGCTTTAGCAATCTTGACTGCTCACATTTAGTTGTACCATGCAGATGGATGATAGTATACTTTTCGACGAATGAATAGCCGGTTGCCTTTTGAATTTGAGAAAATCTTCGCATCCTAAACACACTATTTTGCTCTGAGACCTTCGTACAGTGACGATGCGGCTCTGTTCAAGCAAGCTACCTTAAGTAGACCTTAGAAGCAGCTTGTAGCCCTTGACATAGTCATCTCAGCAACAGCACAGCGTTGCCAAGTGAAATAACAAGATTCAACAGTAGATTTCAGTTCATACGTTTATTAAATCGATTCTTTACATCTTTTGGAAATGTTGTATAAAGTTTGGTCCATCTAGTACGGCTTCTGGAAATTTGACAACTTGCCCTGCGACTAACAGCGTGTAGTTGAGAGTTCCTGAATCACATTTGACATCGATCGAAGGGGCTTCAATCATTGTGTCAAGTGTTCAACTATTCGAGAATCGAGTCTTAATTTTGATTAGAAGCAATACCGCAATGAATTGATATTGAATTTGGATAATGTTGACGGACGGAATAAGGTTGCCGATACGATGTAGGGACAAACCGAGGAAATGACACAATTCCGCCCTATCACCGAGATGTGGGGTAAGCTTATAGCTATCAAACCCCCACCCCTCCATTCATACTATTAATCATCCATCTCCCCCTCTCTTTTGCCTTATCTCTGACTCTTTTCTAACTGTCCTTTTCTCAATTGGTCCATAAATATATTTACTGCTATTCTGCTACGTATGCCAATCCTACAAAGATCATACTTAGTCCTACCAACTCTTAAATCCTTCTTCAAACATCCATCTCGTTATCAGTCCCCTCTTCCACAACTCTACAAACGAACCATGTCCTCCGCAATGTCCAAACGTCTCGAGGGCAAAACCATTGTTATAACTGGTGCCTCGTCTGGGATTGGCAGAAGTACCGCTTTAGAATTTGCGAGAACTTCTCCTAAAGATTTGAGATTGATCTTGACAGCTAGAAGAATTGATGTTCTGGAAGAAGTAAAGAAAGATATTGAGAAGGAATGTGGTGAGGGAGTTAAAGTTTTGGCTGTGAAATTGGATGTTAGTAAACCTGAGGAGGTGAAAGGTTTTGTTGGTGGATTACCGGAAGAATGGAGGGAGATTGATGTTTTGGTCAATAATGCGTGAGTGTTTCTAAACTTTGAGGGAAGGGAAACTAACTCTTTAATTCAGTGGTCTAGTCAAAGGTGTAGCACAAGCTCCATCTATCGCTGAAGAAGATATCAATATCATGTTCGCAACAAACGTAACTGGTCTCATCTACATGACCCAAGCTGTCCTCCCAATTTTCAAAGCGAGACCCGATGGCGGAAAGGGTGATATTATAAACATTGGCAGTATTGCAGGAAGAGAACCATATCAAGGAGGAAGTATCTATTGTGCCACTAAAGCAGCCATTAGAAGTTTTGGAGATTCGTTAAGGAGGGAGTTGATTGCTACAAGAATAAGAGTCATTGAAATCGATCCTGGACAAGTCGAGACCGAATTCAGTGTCGTTCGATTCTATGGCGATAAAAAGAAGGCAGATGCTGTCTATGCCGGATGCGAACCATTGACTCCGGACGACATCGCCGAGGTTATTGTTTTTGCAGCTGGAAGAAGAGAGAACGTCGTTCTTGCCGATACTCTAATTTTCCCCAATCATCAGGTATGTTTGTAATTCTTCTGGTGCGAAAACAGGAATTAATAGAGGTATTGGCAGGCTGCTGCCACAGTAATGCATAAAAAGTCATAAACTGACCATAGATAGGCTGGCGCTGGAGGTGCCATGTATAAGAAGAGCTGAGATCTCCTTTGTACATTTCATATTTATGCCCATCAAATAGACAGACAGAACAAGCGATGAAAAACACAATTTATCGCAGAGATGCAATAGATACTCCTATGTTGTGCATCAGAATTCAGAAGCTTTAGCGTACATTTTTAGAAAACTCGTTTGCAATCATTACCGTTCAGCGTTTCCTCTACTTTCGTTGTTTCCCATACTCTTCGTCTTAGTAAGGGTTTTGGCTTGCTATATAGAATTATTGAAGAATTTCTTTCTGTATCCTACTAGGTAGTGAACATGAATGTTTCAGGAGAAGTCAATGCTTTCCGAAGTATCGCACATGTATTTTTGTCGGATAACAAGCAGTTTTGGTCCCATTCATTATCAATACGAACGCGAAATAAAAGTTGGACCTGTAATTTCAGAGGCTGTCACGAAGATTGACGGCGTAAACTTTCCAATGTTGACCACAAGTTTGTCTGAGCTAAACTTTCTCTTCGAAGCTTTCTTTGAATTATTGGGAGCGGAGAGAGACATCCGTCGCTGGTCCAGCTCGTCAACGATATATGTAATCTTCAACGCAGAGATCGCCAAAAATTGTTAGCCATATCATGAACTCATTGGAGAGTTTCGCCTGAAAGCCTCGCTGACTGGGCTGAACTACACTCCACGATGTAGATTATGCAGGCACACGAGGCTTTTGAATATTACTTACACTTGATGCGAACCAAGTTAGAAACTCCCCCTTGTTTGTGTTTTCAATGTGCCCTGGAAAGGCCTCACTCATGATAGTGACAATGCCGGGCGAGCCTGGGTCTGTCAAGCTGGGAGCAATGTGTTGTTTTATCATAGAATTGAAGAGTTTCAAATTTATACCAATCAAAGAAATTTTTTATCGCTTGTATAAATACTTGGATGCCACATCTTTTGGGACAATTAAAAGGCCGACATTCATGACGGTGCTTTGCTTCTGGAAGTACGGGCTCATTGCACTGAACTCATTCTCACGCCTGACTCTCCGCACGCCTGAACGAAGCCAGGTAGCTGGTAACCTCAAAAGGCTTCATGATCTGAGCTAGCAGAAAGCGGTGGCACCAAGGCTGTGAGAACTAATTGCATTTTTCGGTCGAACGGATGTTTATCGTTGATCTCTACAAGGTAAAGCATCCAGACATGCAAGTAGTCCAACCTAAGTTAGTTTTTGCAGAACAATTCCATCTTCCCGCAATTTCACCTCATCTCGAGCGTAAAGCGGACTGACAAAAAGTATTTGAGAAGTATGTGTCAATCGAAAACAATTCTTATCCCCAAAGCCCCTGCACACAAATATGCAAAAATTTACAACCATGTTATCCCAGCTTCAAACTGAGTATGGATGGTAAGAGTGCTCTTTTACAAGAACCTTCTAATAGGAATCGAACCAATATCTCCAGAATCAAAATCTAGTGTGCTAACCATTACACCATAGAAGGGTTACTGAATTGATGTCAAAGAGACCGATTTTTTGATATATAATACAAGTAGTAAAGTGGGACGAAAAGAGTTTTCAAATGCTTTTGCTCTTGGTGGGGCATTAGCGAGTCATGGACACTACTTAGGAGAAAAAATAAGCCAAAATTGATCACCTTAATAATTTCTATGATCAGTCGACCTATAATAAAACTACAAAAGTTAATGACATTCAATAAATCCTTGGATAATCTTCAATTACAAAAATCATTTGAACGATTAATTCTCTGAATTGGAATGGAACAATTGGATTGTTGAAGGGCTTTGCCAGTGGCCAATTCCGGCCTGTTTTTGCTCCTACGAAGAGACACCCGAGCCCACTCTGAACGAAAAAAAAAACAGCACACCAAAAAACGGCATTGCTTTCAAAATTCTCTTTCTCAATCAAAAATGAATATTTCGATTGAGAAATAAAACCTTATATTTATAAGCTTAGAACTTATAATATCCCTAGAACTTATTTAATCTATCATACCTTTTTAAATTGTTGTTCAATGTTGAAATAATAGTGTTTTGAAGAAAGTCTTGATTGCAGCGGCTTTGGTATGCTGTTTTTTTCGTCCAGAATGAGTTAAATTAGTATTGAAATCCCGGGTAATTGCTTCGGAGCATGCTTTTCATGGATTCAGTGATATCACATCTACATCGCTCGCTCAGTGCTTGGTAACCACCTGCCTGTAGAAGTCCTTCTATATTCTGGTGCTCGGCGACGAATCCCACGTCCTGGATGGGGGCAAGATTCAAGAGAGAATTGAGAGGAGTTTGGTTTGGTTCGGTGGGTATCTAAGATGGATTTGAAGGTGTTAAGGAATCTTTTGATTTGGGGAATGGGATTCTTATGGGTAGGTAGTGTGGAAGTGGGAAGGAGAGAAAAGAGAAAGCGGTTGGCTTGAGAAATTCGAGTAGGAGTAACAAATTCTGGTAATTTATACGATTGATATACTCGTGCGCAATGCATGTCGAATTGGTGGAATGGTGATTTCACCTCGGGAAAGAGTTTTCAAGTTTTTTGGGGGATTGGGAGTGTGTTTTCCGAGAGCTATAATTGTTCTTAAATAGTGGAGGTTGTGAGATGGGCAGTCAAATTTCATGAAATACTAGGTAGATGACAAGCTGGAGGGGTTCTTTGATTATAGATTCTGATTCTGATCCTGATTCGAGTTCGAGTTCAGGTTCATGATCGTTCATAATAGTCTTTGTTTTTGGAGTGGGATGATACTACTGGTGCTGTGATTCTTTATAGAGATTAGCAAGTCTTAGGTCTTCCCCCATGCATAAGGATTTTTAGTTTCAGTGGTGGACTCTGCAAACTTCAAAGCAAGACATTAAAAAAAATATTCTTATTACAGCATACATTTACCGAGCGGTTTTTGTTTCCTGCCTATGATAGGTTATTATCCTGAGAACCGTAGGCAGAATCATAGGGTTCGTAATGTAAAGGATATGTCTGGAGACAACGCGTCGAAAAAGGCAGACGAGGCTTTATTGTAGATAGCAGTGTGTAGGAAAGAGCAGTACAATAGAGATACTAACACCAATGTTTCCCGACATCATCTCTGCTGGATCATCTTACAATATGATACGTGTAAGATTCAGTCCGAATCACATATCCAAGTCTGCAGCAACTTTTCCCTTCCGCCAAGAAGACTAGAACGCCTGGTCGATTATTGGATCCAACCCTGCACCCATTTCTCCACCCACGCCCCCTCAATGCCCTGTAGCCCACGCAACTTGTCACTTGCCTGCACCGTCCTCTTATTCTCTAGAATGCTTGTGCCTCTTCCCTTCGCCAATCCTTCGTAGAAAGACAGCAGTTTGATTGCCGGATTTTTCTCCAACATTTCTTCGAAATTGGTCTTGGAATGGAGGTCCTCTGCATCCTTTCGAACGCGCTCAATCCATTTTGCAAAAGGCACAGTGGTCATTTTGTTCCTTTTTCCGAACGTTGCAGTCTCAATTATCGTGGGTAGAAGTGATTTCCACGAAACGAGAACAGGGTTGACGGGATGATAGACTTTGGCTCCATCAATCTGATCCGATCTAGCGTGGAACGTAAGCTCCACGAGTATATCAGCAACAAGATCAATTGGGACCCAGTCTATCTCACTATGGTCCGTTGAATCAAGCGATTCGGGGATGATTCCCAAGTGAATGGAGCTAAGCACAAGACTTGGGAACCACTCATGTTTATTCCATATCCCTTTGGTAGAGACAGGACCTGCGATTTGCCCAACCCGAGCGATAATGATCGGTACATGGGGCAATTTATCCGCAGCATAGGCAAGAAGGTTTTCCGCGATGAATTTGGATTCAGAGTACCCCATTGGAAGAGATACGGTGACATCATTGATGACAATTTCAGGGACATCTCCTTCGAAGTTACCGACGGAACTTAGGGATGACAAAAACATGAGTGAAGGTTTGTGAGATGCAGTCGCTGCGAGCTCAATCAAGTTGATAATCCCTCTGATATTGGGGTAGAAAGTGGATAATGGAATGTTGAAGTTCACAGGCCAAGCATTGTGGATAATATCTGTGGCGGAGGATTTGATCTTGGCGAATAGGACGGGATCAAGACCGAAAGATTCTTGGGAGAGATCAGCATGGAGAAAGGTAACTCGATCTTCGGAAAATTCGGTAGGAAGACCATGAGCCTGACTCCGTTCCATCTGCAGTTCTTTCCCGACAACTCTATTGAGGCAGAAAATGTGCGCAACAGAGCTCGTTTGCAAGAGAGTTTCCAAGATGTATGAGCCAAGAGCGCCAGTAGAGCCCGTGAGAATAACCGATTTTTTGTTTTCATCATGCACGCCGTTCACACCATTTGATTGTGCTCCATTAGCATTTGCACAATTGAGTGTGGTCTTGTATTCGGCCAAACTGTCATTGATGACTTGCTGTCTAGAACCAATACTTGATGCCTTTGATGACTCGTGTAATGAAGAGAGACGAATTATTGCGGCAGTGAGAGATGCGACTGAGGGATTAGTGTATAGAGTGGTGATTTCCAACTCTGGGATTGCAAAGGTATGTTTCAAAGTTCTCGTCAATCTAAGTGCCTGCAAAGAGTCCAGCATTCCTCGAACGAAAAGGTCATCCTCATCTTGAAATGCAACTGGACCTACAAGCTGAGACACAGCACCATGAACAAATTGACTTATAGAGCTGCTGTCCTTCAAATCAATCTTGGCATCAGGAACAGAAATGTCTAGTGGAGTTGATGTGGACATTTTCTCTGCGTCTGCGTACAGATTGTCGATTTCTTTTGCATAGAGATCGAATGTTGGCTGTCTTTGAATCGTTCCTTTACCAGCTCTTGCCATAGGTTTATCAGGACTGGTGAAGAATACATGTGATTTGGCAACCTTAGCGTGGCGTGGACATTCCTGATTTGCCTCCTGAATGATCGGCCATATACGTTCAATCGCTTCAGCCCGTTCTGATGTTGAAAGGGTTTGAGGAGAAATCAATTCAATCAACAACGCAGTTTGAAAGCGGTGAGTACCGACAACAAGAGCGCCTCGTACTTCAGGATGATGTGAAATTTGTTGCTCCATACTTACAGGATTCGTTTTTTCACCGGTCAAAAGAACAATGATATCATCACTTCGTCCAGTGTATAGCCACATATCTGGAATAGAAGGATGTGGAGCATAAAGATCATGAGTTCCCCATTCGTTCAGTGACGGAAAGACTGAGAAGATCGGTTCTACTTTCTCCGGGTCAAGATTGCGTGTCAAAACCGCTTCATAGCGACCTTCAGAGTGAGGCCTCAGTTCAATGCCAGCGTTTGGATTGAAATGAAAGTATTTCCAGTCATCAGATGGCCATTTATGGCTGGGGAAGAGGGTAGGGTAAACACCGCTTTCTGTAGATCCTATGAGCATGGATAGCTTGAGCCGCTTGGAAATCTTGTTGCCTGTAGCCTGTGACACATCTCCGCCGCCATATATAAGTACATCGATATTCTCAACTAAGAAGTCTAGCATTTCTGGGTTCTTACCAACCTCCTCGACGAAAGATGGTGGGAAAAAAGCGCTGTCTGCTTTGACATATTTCAACGCCTCTAGTGCAACCTGGGTCGAGAGAGGTACACCGGCCAAAGGATATATAAGTGGTGTCTGATTGAACACTGCATTCAATAGTGTCATAAAGATTCCACCAGCCTTTATAAGATTGTCAGTCCAAGCAGAATGTATTGAGATAGGGAAGATTGATATAAATGCAGAAAGTTCTGTTGAATAGGGGGTCAAGAGAAGCTTAGGCTACTCACATGAAAGGGAGGTAAAGTATTCAAAAGTCTCGTCCTATCAAAATAAACATTAGATAACTCTTTCGATTATATGATCCAGGTATGCATACGAAGTCCACAACGCAGTCTGTCTTGTATATCCGTCAGGAGGAGCGATGGCAAGCCAATCACTCCAACTAGCAACCCAATCATGATTCCAAACTATCGGCTTTGGGAAACCAGTTGTACCAGAAGTGTGTAACACAACCAGTGGTTCCTTTCTTGCTTGCTCGAACGTCTTGTTGAATGGATAATGTGGGTAAACGTTGTCAAGCAGTTCGTCAACGTCTGGACATTCGATGGAACTTACGCCGGTGGCTTCGATGATGGCGGGCACCATGGGTAGCGTTGGGCTGGCTGTGATTAGGACCTTGCAGTCAAGAATCTTGAAGAGATTGGCATGAGCTGGTATACTGTTCCGAGGGGAACTAAAGAACATCTAATTTCAATTTCGTTAGAGTATTTCATCCATATGAGCCGTTAGCTTATGACCAACCTTATACCCCGCTTTTACAGCTGCCAACATTAAAGCATTATAGCGGAAGTCATTTGGGCCAATATAAGCTACAGTTGGGAAGTTTTCCACGTGACCAAGAGTGTCGTGTAGCCAATGTGCGAGACCATTAATGGCATTGGCAAAGTTGGCATAGCTGATCTTGCGATATCCTTCCTCGTAGCTGGTTGCGGATCGTGGAATCTCCGCGTAGACGGTCCCGGGGCGAACTTTCGCCAAACCATCAACTATGTTATTGAGAAGTTGCTTTCGGCGTATAGGAGCCAAGCTAACTTCTTCAAACAGAATAGATGCCATTTTCTCAAGTGTGTATAGGATACAGGGAAGAGGGGAGATTATGGCAAACTATTTTGAGTGGAGGATCAACGATAGAAAATTTAAGAATGGATATGTAGTCAGAAGGAATATGGGGACGGGAGTACTAACAAAGAGAAGTGAGAGATAAAGTATTCATCAAAAAGTGTAGAGGTGGGCTCACTAGACTGTAGTAATACCATGATAAAAGCTTGGAGGGGTGGAATGTGAGGCTCACTCTGTGCCGTGAACATGAGGACTAACTTTATCCTGTCCTACCACCCACCAATGTGCGGTACTTATCTGGGGGCGACGATGCATCATTGTCCGTACAAGGAATCGTGTTTCTCGCATAATAGATAAAAATGTGCGTTTGCCTTCAATACCAGTGTGCACCTGAGTACTTTTGATCACACCAACTTTGTGGTGTAGCAAATAGCGTAGCACCTTTGACAATAGTGGTGAACAATCATCGCTATAGGATTGAGCTACTTTGTCTTGAACCAACAGTTACACTCCGTGTGTGTAGATCGTTAATATGGATACAACAATTCTAGATCTATGGTGGTGCACTAAATCGAATGCGGCACAGATGGGATCCACCCACTGCAACCCTACCCGCAACGGATCGGCCTACCCATTCCCCATACCCCTCCATCCCACATCTATATGCGATTTCACATCGTCTTACCAAGGATTTCTGTCTGTGTCCGAAAGACATGTACATTCGATACAGGTTTACTCCGAGAACTTGTCTATCGAGTCCCCTATGCTTCTTTCCATTTTCTTCAACCGGACGGTGTCGCACGAAAGTGCTGCGCTGCCGCTATTACAAGGCAACCTTAAGGCTGTGCTGGATTTATCAGGGCAAAACGCCGCAATCGCACATGTTGTAAAGTATAGCCTTGATTTGTTGCGGCTAATTTGAACAGTGGTTAAATTGACCCTTGAAGGGATATTGGTTCTGATCGCAATAGTTCAGGCCAAGCAGAGTACTCTCTTCAGATGCACACAGCTCCGAGATTCCAACTTCTTGATACGTTGCATTAAGCCTTTCCACCAAGACAAGAGGTGCGAGGAACAGCCGACGAGCAGGTGCAAGATTCATGAACTTTGTATTATCATTTTCCAGCATTGAGTGATTTATATTTCCCGATCAAAAAAGAAAGACCTACAAATAATACCAAATTTGGAGATAGCATCAGTTACAGAAATTCTAAAATTGCATCATGACTGAAGTAGAAAGACTAAGATGTATGTGTAAGATAGTTGTAGTAATGATAAACCCCGCGAGTCAGCCATTTCATGCCACATTGATGTTCTCTCTCCACTGTGAAGCCTCCCTCGGAATATTAACTTCTTTCCCGATTTCCCAATAAAAAGCTTGTATCGCACATATGAACGATGCTGTCAAACCCTCCGAGACTATGGACTATGCTTTCGGGGCTTCAACGACAGTTGCGTTCTATAGCTTGGTAAATATTGCACGTCTTCGTAAAAGAGAATCGATCTTGATTCACGCTGGTGCTGGTGGATATGGACAAGCAGTAATTCAACTTTCTAAACTTTTCCGGGCAGAGATTTACGTCACCGTCAGCCCAGAAGCCAGAAAGAAAGTGCCCATAGACTTATATGATATGCGAGAAGATCATTTCATTTCGAGTCGATCCTTGACTTTCAAAGATGGAATTCTTTGTCAGGTGAAGCATTGCGTTGCTCTTGGGAAGGGCATCCAACAATTCGGGCGGCAGTCCAACAATATAAGATTTTGAATCTCTAAAAGAAATCGAACGCCTGAACCTGGTTTAATGTTCCAATCAAAGTCAACATGTCAAATAATTTAAATGTTCTAATTGATTTCGGGAGATCTACTAATCTTCATCGATGGACTGCCGTCCGAACTATGGAGTACCCTGCTCTTGAGAATGCGTTGCAATTCTTGGTCTTTTCGTTAAAGTTGAAAACCGAGACATACTTTCGAACTCGATATCAGCACTTGATGGATTGCCTATGCAAAGATTTGCCCGAAATACAAGCTTCTCTTGCGTGGACTTGACAAGTATGCTCAAAACAAGTCCTGCTTTAGCTGAAGAGTTGTTAGGGGCCTTGATGGTTCTTGCAGGGGCAGGTGAAATCTCGCCGCCTAGACGCTTACAATTATTTGATAGGCCACATATCGAAGCTGGATCTCGGTCTACGTAGAGTGGAAAGCATACTGGGAGATTCGTCATCAGCTTCGGTCAAGATACTCTAGTCCCCATAACGCCACAAGCTAAGTTCACTGCAATCTTGGACACTCAGGCGACGTACAAAATTGCGGAAAGGCTAGGAAGAGTCGGTAGGAGTATTGCTAAGTAGATGGTTCATTAGCATGCAAGATATTTGATTCTCTTATCTCGCGAGACTATTCATTCCGAAGAACCTACAACGTTCCTAGAAGATCTGAGAGCAAAAGGGGCAAAGGTTCTCGCTCCATTATACGATGTCACAGATGAGAAGGTCCTTGAAATATCATCGGAGAGTGTAGAGACACCATGCCGCCAGTGCGAGGGTCTATGCAAACGTCGATGGTTCTGAAGGTAAACAAATCATGCGATTTTCCCCATAGTTACTATCAATCAACTGAAAGAATTCAAAGCGCAATATTTGCGAATGTGTCCCGAGAAGACCTTGAAGCATCGGTACAGCCTAAAGTCAAAGGATCTTGGAACCTGCATCGAATACTTCCTAGCGGGTTGGACTTTTCATAATGCTCTCTTCTTACGCTGCTGGCAAAACTCATCAAGACGGGTTAGCGCTAGATCGAATTTCGATTGGCGAGAAGGTTGTCTCGGTAGATCTTGGCATAAGCCAAGGAAAAATTCAAATCAATTTTCCATTTATTCAACATCCACATTCGACATCAAACATCAAACACCCTCTCCCCCCTTTCAATATCGATATAAGAAATTCTCTCTCCTCTCCTCCTCTCCTCCTCTATCAATCTATCAAACCAATAAATAATCTCGTCTCATTCCCTCATTTCATTTCGTCATTCCCAAGAACTAAAAAACCACAAATCACAAACTACAAACCACAAAGCATCATGTAATCAATCAATCACTCACTCATCTTCTCAATTAAGATCATCTCTCTATATATACCTACCTACCTACTTTTCTACATACGTACCTTTCTACCTATAACAAATGCCTTTGATACACATCAAATCCTTCTCATTCATCTCAAATTCCTCTCACACAGCCCAAATTCTCCAGAAATTCTCTATTCAAGAGATTCTCCAGAGATTCTCCCTCCAAGCAATTGATTTAATACGATTTGATCCCAACACAGAATGGAATGTAAGAGAAATGGAGGGAAGAAAGGAATTTTGTTTTTCCTTCCCTCTTTCTCTTTCTTATCCTAGGGCGTGAACATATTTAAATAGCCTTTTTTTTGGAGGGGTGGGGGGCAGAAGGGATAGAAGGAGGAGATGGGTGAGTGTAAGTATAAGAATAAGAACAAGATACTAGAGATAGTATGGATATAGATATGTATCAACTATCCATACACCTAACGTAACAAATCCAACAAATCTAACATAAATTACCAATAAATACCCAGAAAAGCAGCATTACCTTCACCACAAACCCACCAGAAAACTCCCTACAAAACTCACTACTCACCACAATATCCACAACCCAGCTTATCAACCACCCCTACTTCCCCCTCACTCAAAGGCTCAGAAATCATTTATATTCATATTCACATTCATACCCATACCCATGTTCCCAGGATCAATCCAAAATTCCTAAAATCCAACATACAGAATGACTCTCTCTTCATACCTACCTAAATATCTATTTAAAGAAGATGTTTTCATAAATATTAATATTAATTACACTGCATTCCCATCCCCATTCTCCCACCGATATCAGTACCGAGACCGATACGTAGAATCCTCTAAACAAAACCTCCTCCTTATCTTCCCTGCATATCTACAAATCTACAAATCTTCAGATCTTCAAATCTTCAACTCTTCCCTTCTCTTCTCTTCTCTTCTCTTCTCGTCTCTTCTATTATAGAATAGATAACCCTCCCAGTAATCTATATTCCTCTACAATACGAGTAGATGTGCTAACAAAATCCTCAGATCCTAGTATCCTAACCATTTCAGCAATATCTAATACAAAAGAATCGGGGGATCTTTTGCTTATACCCTTCATACCCGTGGGTCTGTCTATGTGACATTTTGAATACATATGATATATCAGCTAGATAAATTCTTAATTTCTAACAAACAATTCAAATATAACTCTCTATAATGTATAGCAAGAAGCATAGGCTAGAACATGAGGATATACAGAGATTGATGTTATTCATTGTACTAATCAAATATAAGGACGAGAGTTCTGATATACATCACAGCTCCTGCGAGATCGGGTTGGGAAGCTTCCCCTGCTCTAGTACCACATGAATCATATCTCTTGATAATGGATTTGGAAAACTCTTATCTTAACTCGTCCATTGAGTTCTAAATAGACATATGAGAAGAGCTGGATTGGGTGAGGAGAGGTGAACAACCACTATAATTGCACTTGATAGTCTTCGTTGACCTTACTGGGAAAAAAAAAGATTTTAGATTTTGAGGAAAGGGATGATAAAATCGTACAAGTTTCAAGCTTTGAAATAGGAAATCCATGATTTCAATAAAAAAATCTTTAGTTCTCCTTCCAAAGTAAGACAAACACTTGTTCGTTGGTTCTCGAATACGTGAAGACTATCTCGGAAAACTAGCATACTTGTTTGAGATCTTCAGCAGGATACAAATATTCAAATTTCGAGGCAATTAGTGGTGAAGCTTAAATAGCCAACTAAAACAGATTTTGGCATTATTTTGCGACCCGGCAGTAAGCTAGATATCAAAAACCTGACACCACAAGCTTCGACATCATCTCGGTCTCACAGCAACATTTAATACACACGCGGTTACAAAAAGATGATGCAGGAGATAGGTGATGCACTGAGTACACTTAGTCCATACCGATGATAACTCAATCTATTGTTGAGATGAGATATAAGATATAGTGTTCATAGATGAATGAGATCTTGTGGTATTGAGATAATGGAGATGAAGTCATGGGGCAATGCAGTGCCAGGAATGAATATGTTGACAATTAAGGAGATGGGTAGATTGATGTGTAGGTGGAAGATCTCTGTGGAATACAGGGAGAACTGTAACTCTTAGATTTCCAATTTCATAGCTGTAGACCAATAATTGCGCGTTGAAACTATACAACTTGACAAAAAATGAAGTTGTAAAACAACAGAAACTGGTTTCAACTCATCCAATTCAAGCAAATGATCGGAATTGACGTGGAGCAGATTTGCTACGATATTGAGATTGATGGAACTTACTACGATATCAAGATTGATGATTGAGATGAGATAATGCAGGTCAGAGTGACGTAATAGCGAATGTGATGAGATCTTGATTGCAGTCGTGGCTCCATAAACTGTATTCGAATGTGATGTGTATCCAAGATTGATGAACGATGAAATGTTGTGTTGGATTGAGACGATATTATCAAGATTTCTTGAGATATCATAGGAGAAATATCAAACAAATCATCGGAGTGTGATCAGATAGATGAAAGATTTAGATCATGCATCATGAATATTTGATCTGACGATACTAAATCGAAGAGATTGATGATCTACTCGGATGTTGTGATATTGTCAAAGAGATCAAAATGTTTGTTCTGATGTTGTGATATCGAGAATTGTCAATATAATTATCTTATGATGACCTTGAAGAGATCTCTGTCTGCACAATCAATATAATGTACAACGTTCTATTACTCAACAGAAGATTATTATATGCAGGAAGATACATGGAAGAATGCGGAATGATAATGTATATGTGCCATGATGAAAAATCAAAACAATCGAGAGGCAAATAAAAGTACTGTACGTCGCAAACAAAACACAACTCAATCCTAGTACAGCTGGGGCATGACGTAGTGCGACTCGGTAATTTCTCAGACACCATACGAAAGTCCCAAGTGTCATATGATAGGGGAAAAGAGATGACTTGGCGGGGTAATTGACGGAGATAGAATTCCTTGAGAAAATCATGAATGTCCGAGATGTTGAGAAACATTCAATCAATGGTTCTCGATGCAAATAAAATCGTACGAGATGTAATGTCGAAAGGATTGTCGGAGAAGTTCACAATGTGATAGATTATGCGATCATGTTAGGCGAGGGGAAAGATTCAGAGGCCATACAGTAGCAGATCCCCTCAATCTATGGAATGCATCCATGATGTCTTGCAGCTCTTGGAATTTTTGGAATCCGGGTTAACGGGGATTCCACTTTCTGCTGGTAGTGGTGGGGAAAATGAACTATCATGGCCCAAAGGAGCTGGATGAAGCATATGAGATGTTGTGTTGTGTGGTTTGGGTAAAAGAAAAGAAAGTTTGGAATGAATTGTCGAATATTGATGGATGGTGAGAAAAGTGCCATGGTGGGAAGTATCGTACGTGGTGCTGCATTTGCATGAGGATGGGTAACCACTCATTGATTCTTTCTGCATATGAAGATATATGTATGGTAGGAATTGTATGAGATGTCGTGGTTGTCAGACTGCAGAAGTGCAAAACTACTGCGTGCTGTGTATTATTTCTTTCCTTTCTTCCGACATTTGGAAAGCGAGAATGCTGTATTCAGCGCACCAAGGGTTATTAATATGATGATTGGATAGATGATGGACGGATGATGGATGGATGAAGTTCTAGACAAGAAAAGATTGACGAAGAACAGGTCGTATGCGAATTTTCACGATACTGTATCAACAAATAATTGGATGTTGTGTTTTGATAGTGTGTATGTGAAAGCAGCAGTAGTGAGCGAGTGAACTTTGAAGGGTGGAAAATACTACTAGGTAGCTACTAGATCAATCCCGACTTCTCTTGCATCTAGAGTGCATGGTGCATTTGAAGTAAGTCTTACATGGAGTGGAGTTGCTTTTGAGTCCTTGATGATCGCTCGTTACCAAGTACCAAAAGATAGGAATTTGGGATATGCAAGTGCGTGTCAAGTACCTTGTAGTTAGCTAGTCATTTATGTATATGTGGATGCAGGTGGGATGGTATAGATGGTATGATTGAATGAATATATATAATTATAATTGGTGATAGATAGCAAAGAATAAGAAAGTAATGTGAGGCTCAAGATATCTATCTACCTTGGTATTGATGTGTGGGTTATGTACTCATAGATAGTGCATGAAGTATGGTGTAGGTAGGTATTATATATTATATGTTATTCAAAGTCAAGGATCGAATACGAGATTTATATATACATACATACATACATATATACATACATAGATAACATAACGTAGTTTAACACCGAGTGGCCTATATCACTGAATGACCCACTTCAAATATATACAAAATTCGTTTATATATAACTATACACTTTTTTTATTTATTGATAGAATTTTTTGAAAATTGAATATATAAAATTTAATTATAAAAGTATTATAAAAATCTAATCTTTTTTTGAAAATTTGAATTAATATAAGAATTATTATTAAAATAGATTTTTTATAATAAAAATCATAATATTTTTAATTTTTTATTGAATATAATAGAAATATTTATAAAAAAAATAGATTTCTAAAAAATTGAATTTTTATTATTATTTTATATTCTTTTGTTTTGCAAAAATAATGATTAGTTATTAAAATAGGAATATTCAAAAATAATCTATTTTGGTCTATTTTGAAGTGGGCCATTTGGTGATATGGGCTATTCGGTGTTAAACTACGTTAACAATTACAATGTTATATAATCTCTTGTCAGCACGCCGAGTTGTCATGACCATTGATCAACCCAAGTCGGCCAATACTTTCCGTGGTGAAATCTGTTCGAATCCCCTCTTCTGCCTACCAGATAACCATTGCTTCGTCGAGAGCCTTGTCTTGATTTGCCTTTCGCCGTTGGAATTTCTCTGTACGTATTGTATAGTTGGTAGTAATGAGTCAATCAAAAAAAAACAAAAAACAATGGGTCTGTTTGAGGCGATTGTAAACGTTTTGACTCTTGGCCCTTGTTGAGCTGAATGCACTCTGCCTCTTGATGCTGCTGACCAAGGCTAGCATGTATTTCGGTCTTGGAATGGTTCACCAACAATAGCATTTATTACCCTACGTAAGGGATAGTTCTCTTTTCGCCTTTGGTGGTGGTTAATCGGATCTAGTACCAATACCAGTCAGTACCAATGCCAGTATCAATGCCAGTATCAATGCCAGTATCAATGCCAGTATCAATGCCAGTATCAATGCCAGTATCAATGCCAGTATCAATGCCAGTATCAATGCCAGTATCAATGCCAGTATCAATGCCAGTATCAATGCCAGTATCAATGCCAGTATCAATGCCAGTATCAATGCCAGTATCAATGCCAGTATCAATGCCAGTATCAATGCCAGTACCAAATGCCAGTATCAATGCCAGTACCAATACCAGTACCAGTACCAACACCAGTACCGATAGTATTGATGGTTGTAATTCCTGGCAATCAATTCCCAGTCATCATTCGATCGATCCCCTTCACAAGAGCCGTCGGTAGTGTATTGAGTAGGAGTAGAGGAATAGTATCGAGTAGTCTCCCAGGTAATGACCTGCTGTAAGATATTGTATATTACATGAGAAGAGGGACGAGGTGGATATGATTTACATATAGAGATAAGAGTAGGATATGAAGAGAACCAAGAAAAAATGTTTTATTCCCTTGATTCTTTTCTTCTTCTTTCTTTTGCATTTAAATGTCATGGAGCTTTCTGGTGACTTTGTCCTTCTCGTACATATTATATTGTCTGCCGACGCTCAGCCTCGTTGTGAAGCGTGTTGTAGGTGATGGGGAGGGGAATCCCAAGGATCTTTAACCTTATCACTTCACTCCTCACTCTCCTCTCACCCTCAAATGCAGGGAAACAGGGTTCTTTGATTCGTTGACCATCAACCATCACCCAATGAAAATCAATGAAATCACATTTCGAGATACACATCACATCAATTCAATCACCATCCATCCTCACTGATACCCAGACAGGTGATATATAAATATTACCTCAATTGCACTAGGGAGTCTTTGGTCACAACGACGACAAGCTTCAAAAGGCAAATAAAGCAAAAACTCTCCTCTTCTCAGGTTGGTGATGGATGCACCATTTGAACGCTTGAACGCTTGAACTGCCACTCATTCCATCTTACCACGCATTTTATCACTCTTTCGTACGCTTATTACCCAGCAGTATTACATGCATGACCGTCACACCGATGGAGAAACGACTAGCTAGCTACCTGCTACCTACTGACTATTTATGAAAAGGATTCACTTCCCCAGCTGCGCTCATTTTCTATTTGAAGGAGAGGAATTCCCGACGTGAGAAAGGACTTCTATACTGATTCGCATCTATTGCAATCAATACTTCACATACTTCACTCACTACATCCATCCATTCAGCTACCAATTCTACATTCTATCTACTTACATGTTCCCTTGACACTTCCCTTCACCACTTTGCTATTGCTTTTGATTGAGAACTCATCATTTGACTTGACCTCCAACCTTCCTGTCACCAATTCGCGGATATCAAGGCGACCTGCAGCAGCTGAAACAAAGTAATAATTCACGAGGTAAGTGTCTGATGATCAATCTACCCGTCAGCAAACAATCCACCTGGTGATTGGTAGCCGTGCAAGAGTTACACTTCATTTCTCTAACATACGGCTACTACCACCGTCTGCAAGTCCCTCCAGCTAGTTTGGTAGTCATCATATACGTCAACAAATCCCTTGCCACAATTAGTGAATTTGCAACATGCGCCCATGCTGAGTCCATGTCAAAAATCAAAGCTAACTCGAGAGGGATCAGCTCAGGTCATTAATTGATTGCGAACATTCGATAGCCCATCTGCAAAAATACGACCTGCCACCTTACAATCCCATATTAGGCAGTCAACCGCACCACCACATTATTCCCAATTGCAGAATAATTCAAATCTTTCAAATTTCTATCCTTCGCCACAGCTACCTTATTAAAGGCAGGAAAGCACAAGCGTTGGCCAAACAAGATGGATACTCCAATTTCAAGCAAAGGTAGTGATCAAGCAACGGAGAGGGAGGAGCCTATAACAGTGGTTGTGGGAGAAGGTTCATCAGCTACACAAATTGAAGCTAAACCACGACAAACTACGGATAAGCACGGCAAAGCCAAGACACCCAAGAAAGATAAGGCCGATAAGAATTGTAAATCCAAGGGGAAGAAAAAGAAAGAACTGGTAGAGTCGGAGTCGGAGAGCGAAGACGATGAGTCTTCCGATTCAGATTCCTCGTCCTCTTCCAGTGATTCTGATTCAGAAACCGAGTCTGAGAAGGAAAAGAAGAAGAGAAAGGCAAAATCCAAGGCTAAACAAAAGTTAAAGGCGAAGCGTAAGGCTAAAGCGAAGAAGAGAGCTAAGAAAGATGTGGGTATCAGTCCAGTCTATTTTCGAATCCACTAATGCTAACAACTTTCTAGGATACTTCTGATTCCGATTCACCTTCCGATTCGGATTCTGAGGATGAAGATGAAGAAGCCGAAAATGATTCTGGTGATGCCGATGCCGACGATGATGCCGAAGAAGTCGCCGAAGCTACCAATGCTCAAATTCTAGCGCAAGTGATGCAGCTTCAAGCGATGCAGATCCAAGCAAGCCAAAGAGCTCAGATATCTCACCCAGGTACACAATTACCACCTGCCACAATATGGAATTTACCACCCCCACCCCCACCAGCAAACCCTCTTCATCCTGATGCAAGACGTCAAGCTTTGCGTAGAAAGCTCTTGATGGATGGCAGGAAGGAAGCTGTAAAGAGTAAGAAGGACAAGGGCAAGAAGAAGAGGGGAAGTAAGTTGGAATTCAAGAGAGTAGATCAACTGTGGGATAGTACAATCCATAATTACAAACTCACCGACACGGCCGAGGATGAAGAGAGTTCAGAATATGATCAATATCTTTTCAATGTTCGCAGAACATTTGATTGGGAGGGAAAATACAAGGTATGTCTTTGAGATCCATTGCTAGATTGTCTGCTAACATTCTCAAGGCTACTGTCGTTGATATCAAGAGCAAACTTTTGAAAGAAGCTCTGACTGAAGCCATGGATGGTGTTAAAGGTGTTAGTTTTGTCGAAGAGACCCCATGCATCGATCCTAATCTTCTCTTCCTCTACCTTGAGGATCTTCGACAATCTTGCAAAAAATTGAAAAATAAGAAGGTTACTGAAAAGAAAGGTAAAAAAAAGATTAAGAAGAGAAATGAGACCAAGAGAAAACATCTCAAAGTCCTCTTGAAATATCTCGACAAGGATTATGCTTCTACTAAAAAGGCTCTTTATCCTATGTTGGAGAATGGAATTATTACATTTGATTTACTCTGGGCCTTGTATAAACCAAATACTTTGGCTTATACCACAACTTATGGGACAGCAGACGAGCCAAGAGCTTTCAAAATCGAGTTGGCCGAAAAGATTGCCAGTTTCATGAAAGGAACGTGGTATAATATTGAGGGTAAATATTTGGAGTATGATGGCAAGACGTGGGGAATGGGTATGTTACATCTTATGTTTCACAAAATCAGTCTACTAACGTCATTGTAGGTACCATGGATTGTGATGTTCCGGCTTTCAAGGGTGCAAGAAAGATTACAAGTCTTAATTGCTATCCTTTGAAATACCACAAGAATGAAGCCAAACTTCGTACTGAACTTATCGAGAGAGGTAAGAAGTTTGTGGCTCTACAAGGCGTTCATTATAAAAGTCACAAGGGAATGGCATATTACAAGAAGCGTAAGGCCATTATCAAAGTAAATATTGATGGTAGAGTTATGGTCGATCCCGCCATTCATCGTCGAATTTTACCCAATTACAACGTCAGTACCGTCAAACCTAATGATCCGGATCTTCTCGGCGATTCAGATAGTGAGGATGACGACTGTGGCTGCTGTGGTGATGAAAGTTCTGATGATGGTCAAGGAGATCATGCTCTAGAGAAGAGAGATGATAGTGATGAACCCAAAACGAAGTTCAAGGTTGTTCTTGATGAAAAGGAGAGGCCTCGTCTTGTTCAGGTTCCTGTCGATGAGGACGGTAACGAAGTCTTAGTTGAAAAACTGGATGAAGTTCCAAGTACAGTTGTCGACAAGGACAACAAAGACAACAAGGATGAAAAAGGACAGGTAGAAGAAGACAAGAAAGCACCTCCCGTCTTTACAGACGAGGAATACTTAATTTCTTCACCTGTTGTTCTCGGATTTGCCTTTGCTGAAAAGCTTTGGCTCGAATTCACAGTTTCAGGAATTAAAGATATTGTCTGGAACGAAGGTGCTTATGATTCCCTTGTCTTGGAAGACAACACCAAAGCCATTGTCAAAGCTTTGGTCGAATCTCACAAATATCACCCAGCCGAAAGTATCGACGATGTTATTCAAGGTAAAGGTAAAGGACTTGTAGCCGTTCTTCATGGCCCACCTGGTACAGGTAAAACTCTTACTGCAGAAGGTATCTCGGAACTCCTCAAATGTCCTCTATATATGGTTTCAGCCGGAGAACTCGGTACCGATCCACGTACTTTGGAGGCAGAACTTCAGAAAATTCTCGATATTGCTCATGCATGGGGTGCAGTTCTTCTTCTTGATGAAGCTGATGTTTTCTTGGAGAAGAGAACTATTCAAGATATTCACCGTAATGCTTTGGTCTCTATCTTCTTGAGACTTTTGGAATATTTCCAAGGTATTCTTTTCTTGACTACAAATCGCGTTGAAACATTTGACGATGCGTTTCAATCAAGAATTCATATCGCATTAAGATATGGTGATTTGAGTCCGAAAGCAAAGAAGAGTGTTTTCAAAATGTTTATTGAGAGAGTCAGGGTCTTGGAAGGTATTGATACAATGCCTTTTACGGAAGAAGATTATAATGCGTTGGCAAGGAATAATTTGAATGGACGACAGGTGTGTTTATCATTTTTACATTTCTTTCCATCACCGAGAATATAACTAACAACTTTCTAGATCAAAAATACAGTCCGTACAGCTCAAGCTCTCGCTGTCAATAATAAAGAACCTCTCTCCATGGAACATATCAAACGTGTTTTGGATGTCTCGAATGCTTTTGATAGGGACTTGAAAGGTGGAACAGGATTTGAGGATGCTATGAGAGGATACTTTTAAAAAAAATTCTATCTCTATTCCTGGCAATGGTAAGAAGCAGAGAGGGTTGGGGGAAGGCAATGGGATTTCTTTGGGCATAAATAAAAGGAAATTTTTGATGGTCTGTCTTTTTCATTTCTTTTACTTTAATTATGTGGTAAGAGGTTGGCTGGGGAATGGTGAGGGTAGGAGAGAGTGAGTTCGTATCGTAATCTTGGGTTATGGCAATGTTCCTACTCTGGTGTCTTTTTTTATGGATTGATTTCATTCAACTTTTGGAGAGGATTTCCGGTTATCAACAATTGAGGTGTGCGGGTGAAGGAACAATGGGGATGGGGAAATGATGCATGTGGAAGCTTACACATGGTAACAAGCATTCCATATTTTATGATTTGATGGGGATGTCGATATTGGATAGCTTGGGTTGGGAGGGATATGAAGGTATGGGATGGGATGAGATGTGTCATGAGCGAGATTTTTTCCACACATACTTACTTACTTACATAGCATAGCATAGCAGCGCTGGTGCTTAGCCAATTACGAATAGCGATGCATTTTGATAATCTTATTTATCTTTTTCTTTGCTATAAATGTTCTGTCTTATCCATCTATACTGACTTACTTACCTATCTCCATCATATCCACCACCCCACCACCTCCCCATCAAATCATCAAATCCATCAAATCCACCAAATCCATCCAACCCAACCCACTCACTCACCCCATCCTCTACGTCACACATCACACAGCACACAAAGTATATATCCTCTCAATCTCCAACCTCTCCTCCAATCATTAAAAGGGGATGTAGTATAGTGGTATTATGTTCGCTTCGCATTCTCCTAACTCGTTTTCTTTAGCTCTAGCGATGAGGTCTAGCGAGTTAATCTCTATCATGTGTGTTTGTGAAAGGTCCCCGGTTCGATCCCGGGCATCTCCAGTGTTTTTTGTTTTTTGTTTTTAGGAGGTTTTTGGGTGGATTTTTGAGAGGAGAGGGGGATTTTGGGGAGGTTTGGGGGGTGAAATTATTGGAGGGGAGAGGGGAGAGGGGAGGGGATGGGCAGATAGATAGATAGATAGATAGATAGATAGATAGATAGATAGATAGATAGATAGATAGATAGATAGATAGATAGGTAAATAGATAGACGGGAAGGAAGTAAGAAAGTAAGGAAGGAAGGAATAAATAAAGAGCGATTGATTCGACTCGATTGATTCAATTGATTTGCATTTGCATTTGCACGTGAATAAATAAATAGAACGAAAGGATCTTTCTCCCTCCTCGAGCCCCGCCTGATACTTTTTGGAATTTTCAAGATTTAAATATTTTAACATTTTAACATTTTGTGCATGTTCCTCCGCTCCAATCTTCAATCTCCACGTCTTCATCCATCATTTATTTCATCATCCATCATTCGCTTCCTTCCCTTCCTTTCCTTCCCTTCCCTTCCCTTCCCTCAGCTCAGCTCAAGACTCAGCTCAGCTCACCCCACCAAGAATATCTATCCACATCCACAATTACAATCACAATCACAATCAAAATCAATTTCCCTCGCCCCCTCGAGCCCCTCTTTCCCGCGCTGTTTCTCCCCCTTTGACCCCACCCACCCACTCACTACCCACCATGGTGCTAAGAGATATGGTATGGGTATGGATAGTGGAGGATGGAGAATTGACAATGATGGATGGAGGGAAGGGAAACAATGGAAGAGAAGTCGGTTACGGCGGGATTCGGAACGGCTGGATGGATGGATGGGCTCATGAGATGGGATGGATCGAGATCGTAGAGAACATAATTGCATAGTCTCTTTTCACCGGAAACTCACATTCAAATACAAAAACCAACAGAAATATATCAATAATAGAGGAGTCATTTCATTATAATTTTACATCGCTTGCATAATACATTGCCTGAAATCAAATAGCTAAAATCATGACCAAACATATCTCCATCGAATTCATCAAAAGATTGAAATCTTATCTATATTCCTTCATTTCATCATATGTGTACACACATGCGAAAAGAAAGCGCTAGTATTGCATTGGAATTGAGGATCTCAAAGATTCATTGTAAAATTCATATCAGGAATTGGGGTTTGTTGAAAGTTGGGTATTTTCGGACTATTTAATCATGGGGATTTTGAGAGATTTTTTGAGTTTAGTTTCCTGGGTTCTTGGCGACGAATTCAACACCCTTTGCGATGTTCTGTGAGAAAGATATGTTAGTATTGAATTCAAATAAAATAGACATAAACCTCAATATCATAGGAAAACGAACCTTCTTCAAATCGGCCAAGCATGCCTCCAACAACTTCTCCTCAGCAGCATCAACCTTTCCAACTTCCAAGATCTTTTGAACACCATCTGGTCCCAACTCAACCTTGCTAGCGAAGAAATCAACACCTTGATCCTTGTACAATGGGCTGTCAACAAAAGTTGGCTCAACAACACCCTTCTCTCCTTGAGAAGCCTTCAACAAAGATTCGGCCATACGGGCACCAGCCATAGCCATGGAGAGGGTAGCAGATCCAGCACCGTCCTTAGCTTGAACAACTTCATCACCACCGAATTGAACACGCTTGAGGAGGTTCTCGTTACCGACGAGATCTGGGTGGGAAGATTGAGAGAAGAGAGGAACAATGGTAACACCAGAGTGTCCACCAACAACAACAATGTTCTCATCGGCTGGGTCGGACTTCTTAATCTCACTAACGAATCTGCTAGCTCTAACAACATCCAAAGTGGTAACACCGAAAAGTCTCTTTGGGTTGTAAACTCCCTTGGCCTTGAAGATCTCGGCAACAATTGGAACAGTTGAGTTAACTGGGTTGGAGATAACGAGAATGTTGGCGTTTGGTGCAGACTCAGCAGCAGCCTTTGCGAGATCGCGAACAATGGATGCGTTGGTGTTGAAGAGATCATCACGAGTCATACCAGGTTTACGTGGAACACCAGCTGGGATCAAGACGATTTCGGCATCTTTGAGAGCAGAGGCGAGACCAGTTGGGGTTGGCTCATATCCGGTAACCTTGGACTTGGTGTTGATGTGGGAAATATCAGCTGCGACACCTATTTATCCAATTGAACATCCTATTAGCATAACTGTGCATCCAATCCCCTCTTGTTCTTGACTGCATCTCCTCATCAATGTATATTCAAGAGAATTTGACGAACCTGGACCTCCACGGATATCGTACAAAGCCAAATCGGTAACGCGGGGGTTCAACTTGAGGAGAAGGGACAATGGTTGTCCAATTCCTCCAGCAGCACCGAGGACGGTAACCTTGGAGAGCTGTATTGTATATAAAATTAGTTGGGATTCACAAAATGACGGAGCCAAGCCAATGAGTTGAATCAAAAACATCAGACGAGAAAACATTATCTTACATCTCTAGCAGAAGCAGAGAAAGCTCTGGTTTGGACTGCTCCAGTCAATGCTCTTCTTGCGGCGAACATGATGTGAAATATATTATTATTTGATGAGGGGGTGGGAAAGGAGAAAGGAAGAAAGAATGTTGGTGTGGATTAAATATTTGATGAGGGACAAGAAAGACTTTCGCATAAGCTGTTGTTTGTGTTGACCAAGGTTTCCGGCTGGTTCCCGATTGTTGAAACTAAACTTAGATAGGAAAGGTCGCATGATTTTGAGATATCACGTGTGGAAAGTGGACCGAGGTCGGCATTCGAGAGATCTTGGGTTATTCTCGGAGAAGAAGAAGGAGGAGGAGGAGGAGAAGGATCACAAGAGAATATAATATATACAAGGAAGTAATCTTTTCGAATGGAGAGAGCTATGAGAGCTTGAGAGCTTATCGTCATCATTAATCGATTGGGATGACGTTCCGCTGGCCCTCTGGGGGCCACTGCCGTGGAGGCAGACTATTTTAACAATGATTGCACATATCCATGCTGATATTATACGGTGCGTATTGTTCAAACTGGATTCAGAATATGGTTATATCTTTAGGCGAAAGTTACTGATATATTGCTACTCGAAAAGCATTCATTCATTGAGAGTAGTCAGGTCAAAAGCTTGGCCTTTTATATTACAAACTCGTCCCATCTTCTACAAAGCCATACCATATACTTCCCATAGTTGGGAGCAAGTTTACCTTCTCTATAACCAGAACAAATCTCCAAGGTGGATGAAATGGTATCATGCCAAAAGTTCAGGTTTCTTATAAATTGAGATACCTACCTAGGTACTCAACTACAATCCAGGGAATTAGCTTGACATTCTCTCGGCAAGCTTTAGATATCGATCAATTACGTCCCGAAGTCCTTCCGTGTTCCATGTATACCCGAGCTTCCAACCGTTCACCCCGAAATACATATCAATATATATGTACACCCTACTCACCACTTGATCCAGCAACAATTCTTTACTTTTGGCAAGTGCTTCAATCTCAAGATCTAGTGGTCTGATTGGCACGCTTGAAAAGTCATGTCGTTGATCAAATTCTACTCTGGGTTCGGATAAAATGGAGGAAACGTGGGGGAGCACAAGGTGGGGTTATACAAGAATAGTAATATTTACAACTTTGAATATCAGCCTAAATGCAAAGATCTTGACTTCAATTACATAAAGTGTATAACTATATAATTTTGAGCTTCAAGACGTACGGACTTTCTCTTTATTCTTATGAGTGGAAGTTTTTGCAGTAGGAAATTTTTTGTTGGCACTTTTCCTATAGTCGTGCGAGTTACCAAGCTTCTTCTCTCCTGTTTACAACATGTCTAACGGCATCCTTCGCGTAAAAGGCGACCAGATCGTCGACAACTCTGGTAAATCAGTCATCCTTCGTGGGGCCGGTCTAGGAGGATGGATGAACATGGAGAACTTCATCACCGGCTTTCCAGCTCAAGAACATCAACATCGAGCTGCCATGTTGAAAGTCCTTAGCAAGGAGAAATACGAGTTCTTCTTTGATAAATTCCTAGAGTATTTCTTTATGGAAGAAGATGCCAAATTCTTTGCTAGCCTGGGTTTGAATTGCCTACGTTTGCCATTCAATTATCGTCACTTTGAAGATGACATGAATCCTAGAGTTTTGAAAGAAAGTGGGTTCAAACATCTGGATCGTGTTGTTGATCTTGTAAGTATATCTCGAACGTCCATGTCTACAGATATTAACATGAATAGTGCGCCAAACATAAAATCTACACAATCCTCGACATGCACACTGTCCCTGGTTCGCAAAATCCAGAATGGCATTCCGATAATCCATCAAACTATGCCTCTTTCTGGGACCACAAAGATCACCAAGATCGTACAATATGGCTGTGGTCGCAAATCGCCGCCCGCTACCGCGACAACCCATGGGTAGCAGGCTATAACCCCATCAACGAGCCCTGCGATCCCGAACATCATCGTCTCCCAGAATTCTACACCCGCTTCGAATCCGAAATTCGCCAAATAGACCCCAACCACATTCTCTGGCTAGACGGAAATACCTTCGCCATGGAATGGAAACACTTTAACACCATTCTTCCCAACTGCGCCTACTCGCTACACGACTATTCATCCATGGGTTTCCCAACCGGCACCCCCTTCACCAATTCCCCCGCCCAAATCGACCAACTCGAATCGAGTTTCCTACGCAAATGCAAATTCATGCATACCCACTCCGTCCCCAGCTGGAACGGCGAATTCGGTCCCGTCTACGCCGACCCATCTCTCGAACCCAACGCCGCGGAAGTAAACGCCCAGCGCTACTCTCTCCTGGGCGCCCAACTACAAATCTACGATAAATACCAAATCCCCTGGAGTATCTGGCTCTACAAAGATCTCGGTCTCCAAGGCATGGTAACCACATCTCCATCCTCCCCATACAACTCCCTCATATCCTCCTTCGTTGAGAAGAAACGCGCTCTCCAGCTCGATCTATGGGGACCCCCCGCTTCCGAATCGTTAGACAAAGCATTAGATCCGCTCGTAAAGTGGATCGAAGAAAATGCCCCAAAAGCCAAAGATGAATACCCAACAAATTGGGGCGTTCAAAGACAAATTCTGAGAGCAGTGGTTCAAATGTACGCTGTGAAGACTTTCTCGGATGAGTTTGCGGAGCTTTTTAGAGGGCTGGATGAAAATCAATTGGACGCTTTGGCAAGTAGTTGGAAATTCGAGAATTGCATGCGCAGAGAGGGTTTGAATAAGGTGTTGAGTGATTTTGCGGAAGTGAGGAGGAGAGCCGAGGCAGAGTAAAGAGATTTGGTGATATAGTGCTGTCGGTCGTATATTAGACTGGTCCGATATTCATTTCAATCGCTTTGTCACTCTTATGATGTAATGCCTGTTTCAAGAGTGAAGCTCACTTTCCTAAGTCTCGTATGAACAAATCAAAAATGAATCAAAAGCTATCGCTTCCACCTTTACCACTCCACCCTCTCTCCCTCTCCACAGTCCACTCAGATGTAGACAGAGCTTCAAAGCGGAAAAGAGGTATATGCAATAAAAGCAATGAGACTGCTCTACTACACGATCAGCAGTGAACTTGACAATCATACCATTTCATTATAAAATTGGAACAAAATCAATCATATTATATTTGCACAATCAACCGTTAGAAAAATATCTATCATACGCTTAAACTGTTCCAATTATCCCCAAACCCCGCTATTTACATACAATCCGCTGATCTCTTCTCAAAAAACAAGAAATAAAGACATACAGCTATTCGCCAAACCCAGCCCTGAAGAAAAATCTGCCCAATTATTAGAGATTATACCCCTCTGCTCTTTCTTTTCCTTTACGAGAAGTAAATACCATCTCCAGCTCAATAGTGGGAGCCTCGTCTACTCTGTTATCTTCATTGTCATCTGTATCAGCATGGCCATTGTTAACCATATTATCTTCTTCATCGTGTACATCATCCTCATCATCGTTTTCTGCCTGGCCAATAAGGGACTGGTATTCCTCATCTGATTCAGCAGCATCAAGATTCACTCCTTCACTATTGTCCTCCCTGAGCTCATCTCCCCTCTCATGATCTTCCGTCTCGCTAGCAAGAGGCTCGAATCCCTCGATTATTTCCGCAACTTCCACGTCCGACTCCTCACTACTACTCTTCTCAGGCTCCTCCCCTCCCACATCTTTCTCCAACTCATTCCCACTCGATGCATTCCCACTATCTTCTTCACTAATAACCTCATCAACTGGCGTCTCATCATTCATCGTCGCACCAATAGCATCACCCGTTAAAAGATCAATCGCCCCACCAACATCGCTCTCACTAACAAGCAGAGCCAAAAAGGCTCTCCGGGGCGGAACACCCGTCACCACCACAACCTGATGCAGATCATTCTCCGGATCCACAAGCATATTCCTCATATCTTCCTGTTCGAGCGGATTTTCATCTTGCAGCACTGCAGCCGCACGATCAACATTACCCGCAGTAGCGTTGAGAAGATTAACAGCTTCCACACGCGACGCTCCCAAGTCTCCAAGTCTCTGCATGATTTCTGTTGGAATAGGCTCTTGATATACATAATCCTCATTTTGCTCTCGACAGTTAGGCATGCCGCTTTGCGTAGTTCCGTTATCATCAGTGGTTTTAACACTGGACTCGCATTGAGAAGCTTTGGAAGCAATGTTATTCTTCACCCTCAACACGTCTATCTTCTCAGCGATACTACCCGCATTTCCACCGACGCCACTCCTCGAAGATTCCCCACGCGTTTCACCCCTAAATATTTGACCAGGTTGAGGCGCTGGGAACAAATCCGGAAGCGGAGCCAAGATGAGTGAAGACCTTCTACGAAATAATTGAGTATCAGAAGAAGTTCTCGGGATATCCGCACCCGTCTCGCTAGCATTTCTACCACGCCTAAAATTCTCGCTCGGAGCCGCTGCGAAAGGCCAATTATCCAAGATTCCTGCGCCCCCTGCCGTAACTGAACTGGTCTCGCCAGTATCTGAGGATCTTTCACGCGCGTTAGAGGAAGAAACATCCTGTCTCTTCTGTTGACCTTCTCTTATATACCAAGTATCAAAGATTTCCCGCACGCGGCGTGCCCTTAATAAGTGATTGTTCGCGCGTGTAACCAAGTTGGGGCAAGCAACGGTATCGCGCGGTTCGTTGCTCATACCTACCATTTCCAAACCGTTCTGTACATATTGGCGGATATCGTTTACATTTTCGGCGGTAAGATGTGCTTCGAAGCTGTGCTTGGAACTAGGGGTACCATGTATGATAGCGTTGCGCTTAAACCAGATTTCCTCCTTGAGAGCAAGATATTTCCATAAGATATTTAAAATCTCATTTCTGAAACGCCGTTGCGTCCTATTTTCCGTCTCATTCTCTTCCTGTTGTTCTTCAGGTCGTTGTCTTGAGGCCCGCTCAGGCTCTGAAGGCTTTGGAGACTGAGTGTCTTCAACATTTGCTGCATTTTCTCTCTCCTCTGAAGTATCCGAATCGACCTCTGTAACTGTTTCAATGGTTTCGGCTCCTTCTTCTGAAAGGTTGACGACTCGTCGAGGACTTTCATTTTCTATAGTTTCGTTTCCGACAGTTTCGTTTCCTACAGATTCATCTTCTACAGATTCATCTTTATCTCGATTTTGCCCATCCCCCATCCCTGAAACACCACTGTCATCTCGATGATGTCTTTGCAGTCCGTCTCCAGTGCCAGGCATGACATTTCTCGTTGCCGGTGGAGCAGGTCTCGCTATTGCATCTTCACTTTCTGGGCGGTTTTTTAATAATCGCGCAAACCTCAGTCTGTTTCTTGTAAAAAATCTATTCTCGTTATCATTCCCACTCCCTCCTCGTAGTTGAGTCTTATTCGTCAAGTAAATCATTGTAGGGCCGTAGGTCTTGGGGTTAGGCGATGAACCACGAAATAATTGACTTTGAGCAATTCTTGCCAGATTCATTCTCCTTTGAGTTATTCCCATGGCAAGCTTTGCTTTTAGCATAAAATTGGTGATCAGCTGGTAGCTTGTCTCTGCATTGAGTCTGTTCTCTTTCTTTTGGATTTTATCTTCAGATCCCATCTCACGAGTACCTGTCGGTTTCGATACTTTGACATGACTGCTGGAGTGATCCTCGGTGTAGTCTTTAGAAAGTAGTCCTTCAATAACAGTTGGATCCGGTCCCAACCCTTTTGTCTTTGACGCAAGTTTGAGATAGCTATTAAACTCCGGCCATAGATACTGGTACGCATTTTTCAAGTACGGACCTTCGTTCGTTCTAACAAGTGCGGGGTACCGCTCATATTTCTCAATTTTGTCGTCCAAAGATTTCTCCTCACTCTTGTTTTCCCTTTCTTCCATAGTTTCTAGTAGTCTCTTTAATCCATCGCTAATTCCTTTGCTGCCTTCGTACTCATCACTATCTTCAACCTCTTTGTTTCGGAGTGTTTTCTTATATTTATCGCAAAGCCTATCTTTGATAGACTTCAGAGGAATTCCAACTATAGCACGCAATATATTGCGTATATGAGTAGCATTTGATGATTTTGATGGACTGTTAATCGAAAGTCTCTCAACCGTACTTCTGGTCCCTACTCTCAATTGCTGATCACCTATTTCAAGGTCAGTGTATGAATGTGTAGAATCACTGCTGTTGTTGGGCTTCTGCGTGGAGTCGTGATGATATTCTGATTTAGATTCGGCGCTCAATTTGTCAAGACGATGGCCTTGGGTTGACTTTTCAGGATCGAGCTTGATGATAGATTCGACAGAAGGATTGTTACTTCGAGTGTTGCATTTTGTATCAATTCGACAGATACCACTCGAGTACCTCAAGTCCTCCGTCGGATCATACTCAAGAAACGGTTTCGCAGCCCAGTTAGAACCACCATAACCAAGATCTATATCATTCTGAAAGTTGTAGCGGGAGATTCTCTCGGAGATTCTCTCAAAGTATTGTTTGAAACGGTTTCTGTTTGAATTATCTCCTCCACGAAGATGAGGAAGGCATTCTGAGATAATTGAAGTTGGTTCTTCAACATCTGCTGCGAACGGAGCATTGTAAAAGGTCTCGAAACTTGTGACGCTCCCGAGGCCGGTTGAAGCTGACTGATCCGGGCTTGCCCTGGATGGAGTACTGTCTGGAATGGAAAAAGTCACTCCTTCACTGTCCGACCTGGATTCCACTTCTAAGGTAGGGCTTTCCGCAACAGCAAGCCGTTGCAAAGCTCCATGTAGCTCGGTTTGAACCCATGGCCATTCAAGAATCGTACCAGAGCTTTCATTTTGCAGAGGGTATGAACATGACTTTTTCTTGGTATCTTGTCGTTCCGTTTCAACTTGTTCTACCCAGTCTTTCACCACCTCAAAGCAATCCGGGGTTGGTTTTATATGTATGGAAACTCCACCTTCATCCGAACCATTAGAGGAGTTAATGGCTTCTATAGGATCATCTTTCATAGTGGTTGGCATGTGTGTAGGTATTTGATAGTTTGAATGCTTGGCATTGGCCAGCATCTGCATCTTCTTCATTTGGTGACACTGCATCGTTCGGTCATCAGTTGTTGGCTGTCCTTTAGCAGTAGCTCCCATGCTCTGAGGTATCAGTGATTGCTGCATTTGTTGTTGAGATTGCTTATTGAGCTCTTCGGATAGTTCGGAGAGGGCTGTCTTCACATGGGGGTTTTTTCCAGAGCTATCCTTTGATGTCGAATCCGAACTGGATTCTTGCGCAGATGTTGAGGGTTCATGACGATCTCCACGTAGCTTAATACCACTTAATCGAAGTCCAATTAAAGTATATTGCGCAATTGTTGCATCAGCTTTGCTACAGGAAGTTGAATTCGCATTTGAGGTTTCTGTAGGGCTTAATTGTCGAGCTGAATATCCATTGAATATACGAGGGCGAGGAGTGTAGTGGAGTAGTTCATCGTGCTATCGATACAGTATCAGTGAGCATCTTAAGCTAAGTAATGGGACATTCATCAAATTTCACTTCAGCTGAGACAAAATCTGGACCAAAAAACACTTACATTCACCAATCCACGAACATAAGAGCCACTATCTGGTAGGAACCGGGACGTACCCACGGAAACAGGACAACCTTCGAAATGCCCCAAGTTACAGGCAAAATCTCCCAAAATATCCTTCAATGTTTCGTCAATTAATGGTATATATTCTGCCCCTTCAAAATTTAGCTCAATATTGATGAATTTCCAAGGATGAAGTTTGTGGTTTCTTGGCACTATCTTAAGACTGTTGGATACAGATTGCTGAAACGTTGCATTAGAGAGCTTCTTCTGGTTTATTGTCTTCCTTAGAGTACAAATTGCCCTCGAAATGGACGAAGAGGCGAATGTAAGATGGATAATTATCTCTGATAATTTGGGTTCCGCCAATAAAGCACGAACGGATGATATGGCTGGGTTGTGTCGAAAAACCATATTGAATGAATATTTTAATCTTTGCTAAAAATGATTTTGTAATAACGACAGTGATATTAAAGTAGCTTTCTAGGTATGTAAAGTAAATAAATGTTCGCGAATGTTGAACGAGCGTAATGATTATGTGAATGACAATAATAATGAACAGGTTTGAGCTTTGCAATATTAACTTGAGAAGCCTACCTCTTTCCGTCGTTCGTTCTTACCCTATTTGTCGCTCAAGTAGTGATGAACACCTGAAAGAAGTCATACCTTCGCTCCTTCGCAATCCAGAGATCTTCTCAACAATTCCTAGAATATAAAATCAGTAAGAACATCGTGAAAGATCTATATGATTACAGAACTTGTACAGTTGCCATCAATCCAAATATGTGAATGCGGACTAACAGAGGTACCCGTACGCTCACCTTGCTGTCAAGTCCCCAAGACGGCTTGGGCTTTAGCGTAAGCATATACGATGGACTGTTCCTTTTTGGTATTCATAGTGGACCACAGAAACAAATCACAGCTATCAGAACTTGCAAATATCGATTTTTACCTCATACACTAGCTTATAACCAGCAGACATCATCATACCTAGATAATTTTAGGCAAATACCCATCATAACGACTCTTTGAAGCAACAATTCCCAACATTTGTTTTAAACCCATCTTAGTTGGGCTAAATCCCAGTCATCGCATCCCATAATTCGCTAGTTTTTTGCCCAGATACTCCTAAATAAAACTATACCAGAAGCAAAAATCAGAGACCGTCCGCGCGTCGTGGAAGACCAGTATTATTAAAATTATGTCATATCCGTAAACACCGCCCTAGCAGAAAAAGAATGAAAAAATATCTTACAAAAATACAATGTAGATAGTGGTTTGATGAGCAGCAAGACTAAACTTATAGGCGTCTAGGCGGAAGGAAGCCCAGAAGTTTCGGTCGAAGTAGCTTCGGTAAAGACAGCTTCTGTTGGGGTAACTTCGGCAGGAGGAAGAATAGCAGAAGAAAATTCAGCAGCTGGAGCATCAACATCCATTTTAGAAGATTCCATCTCAGGAACTTCTTGATGCTTTTCAGATTCCTCGTCATTGCTGGTCTCTGTATCCGCGGGACGCTCAGTCTTGACAGCAAGTTCCTCTGCAGCATCATCTCTTTCGGCTCCAACGTTGAGTTCGTCATTCTGGGCTGTACTACCTTCGGTAAGTCCATCGCCCTTTTCAACACCCAATTCTTCAGATTTGACATCCTTCATGGCCTCATCCTCTTTCAAAGATCCAGTCTCTTCGAATTCTTCATCCTTCACGCTGCTGAGAACCTTCTCCGCTTCATCTTTTTCATAGGTCTCCAATGCACGAGCAACTTGCAATCTCATATGACGTTCCCATTTTGGCATTACTTCACCACCAACTTGAGCACCATTGAGGACCTGCAAATAATCTCTGCGCATAAGCAAACAAACTTCGTCGGTCTTGTTGTTCATACTCTCCTCAACTCGTCTACACATCTTATCGAGACTCTTTTTGACTTCATCGCAACTTTCTTTGAACATAGAATTGCGTTTCTGGTCAATAGAAGCTCGCATATGGTCTTTCATGCGCATATACATGCCAGCTCCTTCAAATGATATTAGCACCAAAATGAATGGGTAGGCAACATTTTAACGTACCACTTTCACTAGCACAGTATTGATAGGAAGGTGCCAGGTTCTTAGCAATTACAGGCACAAATTCTCGATTGGCATCACGTTGAAGATTGTTAATAGCTTCGACCATTTCCGTGGTTAAGATCGAGAAAGTTGCTTCATAAGTTCGGAGTTGTTGAGACAGCATTGACAAGCCAGCAATTCCAGAACCGTTTTTGCGGCTTCTACTCTCAACTGCCTGATGAAATTTCTTCAGGATCAGATTGGCATTTGTAGTGAAGGTACGTAATACAGAGGGAAGTCGACGGGAAAAGTTCTTCTCCCAATGGCTTGCCAGATATTTCATGATTGGCTCCGTCAAGTCGCTATTAAAATCATATGTACCTTGGGCCCTTAGTTTTGCATTATTCTGAAAATCATAAGATAGGGCCTTACCACTCCTGTTTCCATAAACACCATCTCTACGAGTAACAGCTAGTAACGTTAGCATGGTAATAGTACTCGTCTGAAGAGAAATTACCCTTGTATGTCTGGAAATGCAAACCGCCAGCTGCACGATCCATTTTGTTGACAGGGGAACCCCATTTCGCAACAATTCCAGGGGCTTGATCCGCAGCCAAAGGGATTACTTCGCTGAACTTTTGGTAGATATTCTCGGTCAGGGCGTCTTTCATTTCCAAAACACACTTTCCTACGGCCTTATCGAGACTTTCCTCTAACTCCTCAACGTTTTTTAGAAGCCAGCGCGCCTCGGCGGCCTTTTGCGAATCTGAAAGGTTAATATTGGTTCCATCATTGTTGGACCATAAAGACAAGGACAACACAAGCTGAAGAAGAGAATTCAGAAATCTACGGCAAGCAGCACTTCGACCAGCTTCGGTAAGTTTCTTGCAGTGCGCTTGAAGTTGTGGGATCTAAAGAATCAATTATCAGTTGTTCATGAATTTGAGGGCTACCAAGTCAAAGTACCTCGGTTTCTTGGACATTGCGAAAGCCCGGGATTTTGGCGTCCTTTTTCAATCTTCCATTCAACTGCTGATAGGCTCTGCTACTAACGCAAAATACTGGAAGACTGCGAGCCACGGCGTCATAATCTCTGATGTCCTCATCCGGGTTGAAATTTTCGGCATCTTCCTCTTCAGCATTTTCCATGTCGAGTTCCTTAATACCAGTCGCAAAATCTTGCTGAATAGCAGTCTTTGAATAATTGTTGCGACCATCAATACAGATGGCTCTCATTCTGGTGTCGATTTCCTTTCTTTCCGCATCGAACCCCTTCGATTCATTTTTGACATCTTTGATTGCAAGTTCAATCGCAACCTTTTCCTTACGAGCTTTCTTTTTGGTGTCCTTGAGCTCGTCAATCTTTTGTTCAATATGTTCGATTGTTAAAGGTTCGCCTCTGTCGAGGTCTTCTTCCTCAATCTCGGTCTCATTATCAGAGACTTCATCTTGTACTTCTCTGCCCTCATCCTCATCATCATCGATGAAATCATCGTCATCGTCATCATCTTCGGATTCGGATTTCTTCGACTTCTTACGCGAAGTCTTTGGTGAAGAAGATCGCTTTCGCTTGGGAGAGTTCTCAGGCTTAGCTTTGGGAGCGTAAACGGTCTTACCCGCATCCAAGTCTCTTCTCAGGTCATCCCAAATGTCTAGGCTCTCGTCTGCATCGTGATAGATATCATTATACACAGCCATACTCTCTTTCAATTCTGCAATTTTTGCGTTAAGTTTATCAACTTGCTTGTCGATTTGATCAATCTTTGCGTAATCTTCAGTCATTACGTCCTCAAGACCCAAAGAATCTGAAGCTTCAAGAACAGAAATATCGTCAGTCTTGGAGCATATAAACGTAATTCTCGAGAATTGCTATTTAATGGTTAGCATCTGCGAGTCGAAAATATTTCTCACATTTTCTTACCCCATCATACTTGAGTTGACGTTTAAACGATTCTCCCAAGAGAGACTTCGCAGCTTTGTCGTCAACTGCACGATTAATAGGCGCACAAACCCATAAACCTGTTATCTTATTAGACAAGTGTTACAAAGGAGCCAAGAAACTGGAGTAATACCGGTGCATTGTTTCATGTAGCCAGCTGCCACAGCGGCGCGAGCTGCGTTTGAGTCGTGAACACCAGGCAAGTCGACAATAACAGCTCCACTAATAATAAATAAGCCTTTTGAAAGAACGCATAATCAAGCTTCAAGTACTCACGTAGAGAGAGCATCGGCTTTTACAAAGATCCTCACAACTTTGATCAAGGGCCAAAATTCCATAGTCTTTTTCTCTTTCTTCTTCTCACTATTTTTGCCTTTCTCTTTAGTAGACTTTTCTTTGCTGTCAACGTAACGTTGAAGTTCCTTGTAGAAGAATTCTGGAGATGACTTCTCAATGGTCTTGGTAGTTCCGAGAACTTTGCGAACATCGAATTCGGCTAGAAGCTCTTCAACGGTTGATTTTGCTAGCATTTCATGCGTTCTATTCGGGTAGACTGATGTACAGGTTTAGAAAGTAAATTGTATAGGGTGTGCTATTTTTACTTACCCGCCTTTATCTTAGCATATGCAATTCCAGCTTCGGTTTCTGCATTAGAACAATCTCGTGATACCTGATAAGAAGTTAGGGATATCATTTAGTAACAGTTAATTACTTCCTTACATTGCCAGAAACATCAATCAACTCGTTCAGAGAAAGTTCAAGGTCTTTCTCCCAGTCAGATTCTTGGATAAATTCAATCTCTGCTCGATATTTCTTGTTCGGATCATCAATAGAGTTCCATGACATTTCTGTAACAACGGCGGTGCATGCACGCATACTAAAGATTTGTAAGCATTTCAATTCCTCAACGGAACAGGAAACATACCAATTGGTAGGCACTAGGCGTTCTTCATCAAGCATGGCATTGATTATACTACTCTTGCCTGCACCGGTGTTTCCAACGACGCCGATAATTGTTGGTGTATCAACAACTTGAGCTTGTAAAGTTTCTGCGAACATGATTAGGATGGAAGAAAGCTGTATTCTGGCACAACTTACCGATTTGTTGCAGCCAATGGCTTGTGTCGTGGTTTCCCTGAGCTTCCGGTACTTGAAGGTACTTCTTTAAACCATTGAGGAAATCGTTTGTTTTCTTTACCTCTTCTTCCAAAACTTCTGGTGAACTATCATCCATGAGTTTCTGAAATCTAAGCTTTGCGAGTTCAACAGTTTGTGGTTCTGGTTCTGGGCTTCCATTTTCACCTTCGGTCGCCAAGTGGTAATCTGCGGAGTCTATCAAAGTTTGATCTTCAGCCATGGAGGCTCGAGGGCTATTGGCTGAGAGACTGGGACTTCCTGGAACGAGCTGGATATTAACGGCACGTTCAGGTGAGGGAGGGCCATAATTTGATATGGGAAGATTCGACTTTTGGGCATCCTTTACCGAATAGTACTCGCGGATTTGAGCTGGCATTTTATCCCAGGTATTGCGCAGGGAAGAGTCAATTTCAGCTACTTAATAGTTAGCATAAGCTGGAATTGGACTTTTAAACCTAGAGCAGAAGTTACCAGGTGTTGCGCTTGAGCTTATGTAGTTTCCACGATGTATTTCAGCAAAGGACTCGAAACCTAAGAGGTGACTCGACGCAGAAGCATTGCCAGATGGGGATGTATTGTTGGCATCTTTTTCGGCTTTCGCCTCCCAAAATTCGCGCGATGCGGGCATCAACACGGTCCATGACTTCTTCAAAGCAGTCTCGATTGCAGCTGTTCGAGGTTAGCCTAGGAATATATAGATTTGACCAGACCATGACCTACCAGGTGTACCTTTGGAAGCCCAATAGTTTTCACGATGAGCGTCAGCAAACAATTTATAACCAGAGGCAGGTTCTGACGTAGGAATACTTAGTTGAGTTGATCCTGATCCTAGAGGTCTAGGATTTGGAACTTTCCCAACATCAGGTAACGAGCGTGAAATGCCAGGCGTCTTGAAGGGGCTGGGAGAGATAGTTGAGACAGCTGGCTCCGCCTTTACCGTAGCCGGCGTCGGTTCAGGGTCGGGCTTGAATTTTGTCGGTGTTTCAGAAGCGGAGTGCATGCGATTTTGTGTTGCACCATCGATTGATTGTAGTGGCGTTCGTCTGGTGTCAGAGACATTGTCTTCAGGCGCAGCTTTTGTACTTGAAAAAATTATAATGTCATCATTAAAGTGGTTGATTTGTTGCATCTGACTTGTCAACGACACCATGCTATGACCTTGGTGAAGTAAAACCATAGCCCCGCATTTCTTGTGAAATGCTTTTTGTACTTTTGCAACAGTGTGCTTGCCTTTAACCTTGAACCAATGCAAATTTTCCGAATTCAAATTCGAGACATTCTTATCAGGCTCAAGTACTAGACACAAACGGATCAATCAGCAACTTAGACATATAACAAACAGCGATATAAGTAGTGACCTACCAGCTGCCCAAAATTCGCCCGGTTCTCTTCCAGCTTTAGGTGCCACTGCCAAAGCTTTTTCATGGAACGCGCGATGTAACGCGAGCTCATGCTCCTCCATTATGGGAAGTTCTTGATGGCGGGTAGTGTGAATCGATGAACTTTTGACAATGTCTTGTCTTGTCTTACGTTGCGGGGTAGCGGGTATCTGGGGTTAGGTCGATGAGGAGGGATCAACCGATGCGAGATACGAGATTGATCTTAACCTTTCATGTCAATGAGGAAACCGATCCGTAAGCAATAAAATCTAAGAGTGCGTGAAGATGAATTAAATTCTGATTTTGATGAGGGGTATAATGAAGAAAGAATTGAATTGAGGATGAGTCCCAATCCCAGTCCAAGTCTTATATTTTTATTCCATTGAGACTTTTTTGTCTTTGATAAGGTTTACGCGACGTGACGTGAACGCGTGAGATGAGGGGCAAGCAAATGAAACTAACAAGGATTATTGATTACGGTATCACGTGATAGTAACAACAATGACTTCATCTCTCGAGCCGCGTTGGTTCTACATTCTTTCACTAACTCGATTTCTCGCATTTAGTAGTTCTCGAACCCCTCTTCATATATTTCCGCCTCGGCTTTATCTTGCAACTAGAGAATCAGCTGAGCACGCGATATCAAACGCGTTGATATTCGAGGTACTGTGAGAAAAGATCGCTAACAATTCTCGATCACCTTGTTTAAGAATCCAAATCTCTCCCACTGTTAACCATAAACTCTATCATCCAGCATGCCACCAAAGAGGAAAGCAGCTAGCAGCAACAGTTCCTCCAAGGCTGCCAAAGCAACTGCCAACGCCACCCCTGCCTCAAGTACCGATATCGAGGGTGGAGATATAAAGTTTTCGAGCGCGAATACTGTAAGATTCCCTATGATTTCTCAGCGGATACTATCTTGCAACGTGGCACTAAAAACCAAGACCCTGGAGCTAATCTGACATGAATTATCCTTCTAGCTGGCTAAAAAAACCCTCCTATATCGTGCTTGATTGGAAGTCCACAGATTACGACGAAGAAGATGAAGAGGACGATGAAGATGAAGATGAAGAGGATGGTGGAGATGGAGATGCTTCCAAGAATGATGGAAATGGCAGGAAGGGTCAGAACGACAAGGGGAGGGGTAAAGATTTGGATCTCCCAAACCCAGGAGAGACGCTCAGCGAAGAATGGTGTAGTAGGGTATCTGACATGGGATTCCCGCTATCTCAAGATGGTGTAGAGTTTGCTCAGAAACTGGACAAAGAACGTGACAAGAGAAACCAAGATCATTATGATGTACACCTTTACAACGACTTCAATGGCTATGGAAGTTCTGAGGCCGTACAAAACTTTGTGAGTCTCCGTGTTGGTGTCGAGAACTGATAGTAGCTCAACGCTGACCCCGGTGTCTATATAGCTTAAAGATTTTAACCGTGATATCTACAAGAAGACTATCAGTCCATACAATAAATGGGCTTATATTGAAGCACTAGCAGTTTTCTTCAAAGCTGGAGGCCCTGCAGAATGGATGAGTACGCAGTATCATTCCTTCTTCGTCAACAAAACTGACAATATTTTAGTGCAGGATAATTCTGATGGACTAAGAGAAGAAGTCGGTATGATCGGAATTATGGTACTCACTTCTTTTGAAATGCTCTCAGAGCACAAGCTTTTCAGTGCGGATTCAGAGATCAAGAACATTCCTATCATTTGCCCCATCATCCTTGAATTCCTCGATTCATATACCACAGATCTATTCGATGGCTCAAGTTGGCAATGTGAGGTCGTTCGATTATGCGACCAGGCAGGGATAGATCTCAGCAAGTCTATCAGAAAACAAGTAGATATAGACGAGGAAAAGTTAACGGCTTGGAGACAAGAATACAAGGAAAAGAAAGAAAATTTCGAAGGGGCAGAAGATGGAGACGGGTATAAGTTTTGGGCCGAGAAGAGTGATTGGCGTCCTGAGGATGATCTGAAAGAAAAAGATCCTGACTCACGATGGATGTTGCCCACGAAAAATTGGTATAGATGGGATTGGAAAACAGAGGTGATTGCAATGTTTACTCTTTCTCTTGCTCGTCATTATCGATGCTAATCCAATGTTACAGTATCAATTCGCAAAGGCCAATCTCAAGGGCGGGAACAAATACGATTTGTCGAAGGTGCCCAAGTCTCAACTAACATTCCATAACCTTAAGTTTCATCCTCTTGCTTAGTATTTTACTAATCACAATTTCAATCATTGTATCCAAGACTTCAGACTACATTGGGTCAAAGAATCGGTCTCATGTTTTGAAGATTGAAAAGATCATAAGAAGAAATGAAGGAGAAAAAATGAGGCGGAGATTATGGCGAGGATCTTGGTGAGGAAAAAAGAGACGGAAGGCGGTAAATTAGAATTAGATCAGTTTCAGGAGAGTTGGAGACGATGCAAGGGGTGGACAGCTATTCAAAGCTCTCTGTGATGTTCCTCCAGTGAACTACCAAGAGCACACTCAAATAATCAAAGATAAGAGATGAAATGATTAGCCACCGACTCGCAGTCAAAACAAGTGTAGTTGTGGACGTTCAGGCAAGGAATTTCAAGATTTTCACCATCCAAGAGCGATATGGCGTCTATATTTCATACTGCAAGTTTCCATCTTTCCCGTGATCTTTCACACAGGTAATTATCTACAATTAAATGCAATTCATCATGCAAATTGAGATGCATTACAAATCGGTCAGGATTTGGGCATTTCGCCGGCTAGTTGGGAAAAAAAACATGTTGAGGGGTTTCCAAGTCCAATGGTTTTCCAGGAAATAACGCATCGACGAGAACCTCGTCAAGAAACAGCCTGGGCCATGCGTAATGACCTGCATACGGCCAAAGCCGCGAGCGAATGGGGTCCTTGTTCAACTTACCTTTCTCACAGGCAATTAGAATTCTACTATACCCTTGCATATTCAAACAGTTTGGTTGGCCATTGGCTGGCAGTGTGCAAAATACTACACTTAATGTGGGTGAGAAGTGGTCTTTCTTTTTACAAGGTAACACTGGTTTTTAGTGTCAGAGAAGTAGATAAGCTTGTTTTTCTCTGGGTGATCAAGAACTTCCACTTCAAAACGACAACACTAATATTTCAGATGCCTCCCAAAGATAAGATCGTGATCGAAATATCCAGTGACTCAGATACCGATGTCACAACTGGCAGTTTCAAAAATGTAGACAACAAGTTGTCTCTCATGGAATTACCAGCTGCAAAGCCGTCTAGCAATCTTCGGATGGGAGACTTCAAGTACTCAAATACTGACACGGTAAACGTGTCCTCATCCGGTGAAAGTTTGTGACTAACGAAAAGTACCATTCTCAGTTATCCAAGAAACCAAATTATCGTACCCTTACTTGGAGCCAAGGCCGGGCAACCAAATTTCGACTCGACTCTGAACCTAACACTGAAAATCATAGAGCACAACTAGCTTCCACAAGTGGTGGTGTGGTTTCCACTTCTGGATTCCTTGTCTCTAAGGATGGAATTAAACTTGCAGAGAACCTGCTCAAAGAACAACAAAAGCGAGAACAAGTTGATGATCATGATTGGTCTGGAAGCGGCATTTTTGAAATTATGCTGAATATGGTATATGAGAACTCCCATCAGTCTTTCCGCAATAGTTCATTAAACACAATCTGATGTTAGCCTTTCTTATAGATGAAGGACTTTGATCGAGATATTTTCCAGAAAACCGTCAGTCCATACAACAAATGGGCATATATTGAAGGACTTGCATCCTTCTTGACTTTTGGAAGCTTAATTGATTGGGCTAGTATGCTTTAATTTCTCTCCCTGGCTAGCCTTTGCGCCTTGGTAATAACTAATCAATAATTAGTGTGCGACGATAGCTCCCGTATTGAAGCTATAGTTAACGAGTTTGGCACTATGCTTCTAACATCTCTCGAAATGCTTTCCGAGCACAATCTTCTCGCCGCAAATTCTACTGTGAAGAACATCCCCGTCATCTTGCTGCTTCTCTTCAAATTTTTGAAAGAATGGGGAGAGCTAGGTTACGAGATCGGATGGCCGTGCGAGATAGTCCGTCAATGTGACGAAGCGGGCATAGACTTGGTCCAAGCTATCCAACATACGAGCGAGAAGATCAAGATACAAGAAGGAAATCTCCACGCGTGGAGACTGCAATACCAGAGGAAACAAAATGGGTGTACTTTCGCCCAATCCCAGCCTTTCAATGGGAACGGGTACATGTACTGGGCTAATAAGCAGGATTGGCAACCAAAGCAAGATGGTTTGCACTTGATCAAAGAATTTTACCAGCCTGATGATCTCGCTAACTACGGTCAAGAGGATGAGGAAAGAAGAAAATGGTTTCGCTGGGATTGGAAAATGGAGGTAGGTCATGCTACTTGTAGTCTTTGGAATAGTGGGAATTACTACTGATTGGTCGTCTCTTTAGTACTCAGAATTCCAGACAAGATATCATGGTGGTAGCCGCTATGTTTTGAACAGAAAAGTTAGAATATAGTAAGGACTTGTTTGCTTGGATGGCTGGGTGAATGATACGGTCAGGACACTTGATCTATTGAAGACATTTCTTAGATACCTGATGGCTTTGAGCATCATAATCTGTATCGGTAGACTTTCACAAGGTAACAACTTATTTACCGGTTGCTTTTTCCACGTTTTCACGCGAAGATCGTTGAAGTTTCTGCTTGAATATCTTTCATTCCTCCTTTCCGAATCAGTCTTATTTGGAAAATATCACTATTCTCCAGCTCTAAAGTCATGCTCAAAGTTCTTTCAATGTCCATTTCGGCTCTGAGCATTTATTTCCCACTTTTAATTCACTTCTAAACATCTCGAACATTGGGTAGCCGATATACAACTCACCTTTGAATACTCTTGGTCGCCAAGGACCGCTTACACATCTTTTCCCATACGTCTCGCGGTGATACATGATTGCAAGGTGCTCGAAACTGCTCGGTTAAGCGAGGCTTCTGAAAGCAGGCCTATCAAGAAGCGCACACTATACGGCTACCAGCAGAGCATGGCTCGGCACGCATTTCGTGGTGGTACAAAAGGTTTTGTAATGCATCTACACCGTTCAGAATGGTACACACTTCCGGGCTGCCTAGAGTGAGTCATGCATGGCGTTCATTGTAGTGCTAGTTGCTGCACGACGGATTACTGGATAGTCTAGGCAACAATTATTTAGGTAGCTTAGTGGCATGATTTCTAAAATTCGTTTGATCTCGTCCAAATAGTTCAGCGTGTTATGCGATGATATAAATGTCTCTTCAAAGTTATGTAATGTTCGGAGAAAAGTCTTCTCCGGGCTGACCACTTTGTTTCAGACGTCGCGATTTCTTGGAGATTCCCTCGTCCCATATAGGCTCATGCATCGGTTGAGTCCAGAACTTTCTCTAGATCGATGAAGTCTTATTCGCCATGAAAGTCCCGCTCAAGCTTCTCTAATTTGACTGTTCTTCGCCCACACCTGGGCCCCTGAAATAATAGCGAGTTTCCGGTAGCGATTTCATTCATTTGTACTCATTCAACTGTATCTGCTACTCTTTCAATCTTGCTTGGCAAAATATTTTTTCTCGAAATTACGACCATGAAGCTCGCTAATCTGGTTCTTTGGCATAGGCCTTGCTTTTATCTGGGCAATTCATAAATGCGGTCGATTCATCGGTCGGATAATGTTTCAAGTATAAGCAATGTCGACACCAGCTCAGATGTTCCGGTTACAAATTGACGGCCAATTTATATCTATCTACTGGTTCTTCACAATGTTGAACTATCGAATCTGTATTCATAACTCATCACGTTTTGATAGATCAGATGTCATTAGATCACTTATGTTTTCAAGGAAACCAGTGACCTCAAGGCTCAATCAAATTCCATAATTTGTAATATTAGAGCAATCTCGGTGGTGGACTAGCACAAGACCTTAGTCCCGGAGCTTTCCATTATTTTGCAGCAATACATCAGTCGAATACATATCTACCAATGCTTAGAGCATCTCTAGTTTCAGCATGATAGCTTTGTGTACCTGGGGAGGTGCAATCTCTTTTTCAAAGCAATTCAACAGCCTCACGACTTTGAAGTAATCTCTAAAGAGATTTTTTGTCAAATCATTTACCAGGGTAACTAAGAACTTGCACATTTGATCATACTTTTATTAATTCGTTAGATCTCTAGCTTTCAGATAAACATCCCAAGACCATAACCTTGGTGGACACCTCCCAACTTTTGTCTTGCTTGTTTGACAACCTTCTTTCTTTCAATTTCCTACCTACAGACATTCTCACAGTGGCAGTAACAATGGCTAGAGGATTTGAAATGCAAAGCTTTCTCTTCATAATTTCCCTTGTACTTATCACAATCAACATAACTGGCGTTCATTCAGCAACAGCATTGTCTCAAGATAAGCCACTTTCCCATTCTCATCATGAGAGATACCACCTAAAAAACATTGATCGCAACAACAATATCAATGAAGCTACAGGCCTGGCTAGTGCAGAGACTATTCTCTTTGAGGGAATGAAATCCATTGTAGTTGCAAACCGACTCAGACTACAAAATCCTCAAAAGAATAGGTACAAGTTTAGAAATGCTTCTAAAATTTTGAGTAATCTAAAGAAGTCACCACCACTAGCTTACGGACATGACACGGCTTCCTCTAACAATGGTTCATCAAGTTATCACAATGTTGCAGATCCTCCAAATAGAAGCCATTCATACACCATTCCTAAGGAACTTGTCGCAGCCGCTCGCATCATGGCGGAATCGAACCCACTGTTACTATCTACATCGGAGTTACCAACCAGTTTAATGTCAATATCTGGGACTAATGATACCAACGTTATGACTCAGGCATTGAAACATCCCGATGGCTTACATGGATGGGCTCCGAGCATACTTCCCTCACTCTACAATGCACGCAAGGCTACACAACACACAAACATCAAACGAGAAAGCTCAACCTTCTGGATGGGAATTATCAAACAGAACGGTCAGAGTCCATTTGCTCCGATTGGTTATAAAGTTTGGAGAAGTGTTATGGAATATGGTGCTGCAGGTATGTGATAGTCTTCGATTTCGTGTTACTCCATTTCACTAATGAACTCTATAGGTGATGGTTTGACAGACGATACCGCAGCTATCAATGCAGCAATATCAGATGGTGGAAGATGCGGTGTCGATTGTAGATCTAGCACAATTTACCCTGCCACTGTTTTCTTTCCACCTGGCGCATATCTTGTTAGCTCTCCAATTATTCAATACTACAACACAGAGATACTCGGAGATGTAAGTTGATGTTTTGCTTATAATTTTCCCCAGTAGCTGATCTTCTATAGCCTACCGAACTGCCAATAATTATTGCTGCATCAAATTTCGTTGGACTTGGTGTTATTACGTCTGACGTCTACATTGGAACTACAGAAGGCTGGTAAGTTGGCATTTTCAACGCGTCTAAAAGCTCTTCTGACCTAAAATGAAGGTATCTAAACACGAACAACTTTCTTAGAAGTATCAAAAACTTCATCATGGATATAACTCACACCCAACTCAATGCTCAGATCTGCGCTATACGCTGGCGGGTTGCACAAGGAACATCACTGGAAAATATTCATTTCATCATGTCGTCAGAGGAGGGTTCAACTCAGCAAGGAGTAAGACACTTTGTCCCCATCCAACTAACAAGACTAACAAGATCTTACAGATATACATGGAAAATGGATCCGGAGGCTGGCTATCTGATTTGACATTTGTCGGTGGCATGTTCGGGTAAGTGATTCACCACACAGTACTTACAACAATCTGATCAATGCAGTGCATATTTTGGTAACCAGCAATTTACATCTCGAAATATGGTCTTTGATGGCTGTAAGACTGCTTTACAAATCTCGTGGAACTGGGCCTGGACAATGCAAGGAATAAGTAAGTTTTGATCCCCTGATTTAGTTCGCTTATTAGTTGCCCCACAGAGTACCAAATTGAGATAGTCATCAACATCAATTATGACAGCTCTTAATCTCTTGGCCAAGAAGACATGCTAATATCAGGATTTATAAGACATCAAAAACTGTGGGACTGGAATTAATATCGTTGGAGAGGTATGTATAGTTATCCGTTACCATTTTGAACATTTCTCTAAGTGATCAATAGGCAGGAGGCTCCCTAGCAACACCCAAAAATGTTGGATCCTTGACTTTACTAGATCTTATCATCGAGAACACACCAATTGGAATCGAAACCTCTCTCTTTTCCACGAATTCGACCTCATTATTGATCGAGAATGCCTATCTTAACAATGTCTCAAAGGTCGTCACAAACAATCAAAATGCCCACACGTTACTAGCTGGCAGCTCCGAAGTCACTACCATTGATTCGTGGGGATTTAGTATAATGAACGATGCTTCTGGTGTTGGGAATTCTGCTAGTGCTCAGAAGATATCACAGATGTCTCGGTCGGCATCATTGGTTGACCAAAATGGAAATCAAACCACCCCATCGCCAAAGTTCTTCACAAGGCGCAGACCAGTCTACAATAATATAGGTTTCAGTCAAATTATTGATGTGGCAACTTATGGGGCAGTAGGAGATGGAAAAACAGACAATTCAGTACGTGCTCTATTCTTCAATTCTTTAGGGCGGTCGAATTTTACGCTCCTCTGGCCACACAGTTATGATTAATACGAGTTTCATGTGACCCAATACTCCCATGAATATGACTGACATTCTTCTTTCTAGGCTGCCTTGAACTCCATTTTTGCCTTAGCGGCCAACATTTCCTCCATAGTTTTCATACCTTTCGGAGTGTACAAGATCTTCGACACAGTGCACATACCAGTCGGGTCGAGAATCGTTGGACAGGCTTGGAGTCAAATTATGGCAACTGGAGACAAGTTTCAAGACATCAATAATCCGAGGGTTGCTGTACAAGTGGGGGATCCCGGAGATGTAGGTGTCATAGAGATTCAAGACATGATTTTTACCGTTTCCGGTCCAACTGCCGGTGCGATATTGGTTGAATGGAATGTTCATGAGATTATCCAGGGATCTGTGGGCATGTGGGGTACGTGTATCTACTATGTTTTCTTCTTTAATACTAACTTCTCCAGATACTCACATTCGCGTTGGCGGTGCAATTGGCAGTGATCTTCAACTAGCAGATTGTCCAAAGCTATCAGGAGAGATCAATTCTCAATGCCTGGCGGCATCACTGTTGTTTCATATGACCCAAAAATCATCTGGATATATCGAGAACTCGTGGATGTGGGTTGCAGATCATGACATGGATGTCGTCACCCAAGATCTGATCGATGTCTATTCAGGTCGTCGACTTCTGATCGAAAGTCAAGGACCAACCTGGCTTTACGGTACCGCCGTTGAACATAACGTTTTATATCAATATCAGGTTTCCGGGGCAAAGGACGTATTGATGGGTGTAATTCAAACAGAGTCGCCATACTTTCAAGTCGCCCCCGCTGCACCAGATCCTTTTACTTCAGGTCTAGGTCTCTTCGCCAATGATCCCACGTTTAATGACTGCAATCCAGACTCTCTGAGCTGTGCAATGTCATGGGCTGTTAGGATAGTTGACTCTGTCGGCATTTATGTCTTGGGAGCGGGCTTGTACAGTTGGTTTCAGCAAAATGAACAAACATGTCTTGCTACCGAAAGTTGTCAAGACAGAATATTTAGTGTAGAGCAGAGTACAGAGATCTGGGTTTACAATCTGGTCACAAAGGGCTCAACTGAAATGGTCAGCCCGGTCAATGGAGTGGCCACGTTCTCCATGCCCAATCAAGGTGGCACCGTAGCTTCACTACTAGCTTGGCTTGAGGGGGCAGATCAAACTATCGGTATTCGAAACTTCACCGGGTTTCAACTCTACCAAGAAGACTTCGTTTCTACTTTGGAACTTCCCAATACTTGCCTTACAGCTTTGACAGCTAGCATCCATTGTGACAGTCTCCTAGCTACTTACACAACACCGCAATGGGCCGGCTCTTTAGAGAATGATATGCTCACTGATTCTGTTTGTGATCCTGGATGTGGTTCATCTATTGCTTTCTACTTCAACACAGTTAGTTCTTCATTTGCGGGCTACAATATTACAAGTGCCCCTCCAGTGATGCTAGGTGGATTTGTTTGGAAAGGTTACAACGAGACTTGCTTGAAAGATCCCACGAGCGGACTTTATTGCAATGGTAAGACTCCCTCTGATCCCCATTTACCACTTTTTATCAACATTAACAAATTGCTACAGACTTGATTCTAGACTTCACGCTCGTTTCCGATGTTTCTGAAATGCCGCGGGATGAAATCTGTTCAACATGCTACATACAGCGCCTCAAAATGATGCAGTCATCTCAATATTCAGCTTACGCCGGAACATATTCATCAATTCTAGCTTATGTTGCAGAAGCTTGCAGCTTAGGATCTCCAACAGATATCTTGCCTCCACTGATCGAGGAAGCACCATCTCAGGCTTCCCCTTGTGTATCGGAAAACTACTATACAACAAGCGCCGGAGACACTTGCGACATAATCTCACTAGCTCATAATATATCTTCTGCATCTCTTTTTATTGGCAATTCAGCCATCACAAGTTGCGCCAATATCATCCCTGGAACGAAATTGTGTCTTCCCTTACAATGTCAAAGCATATACACCCTCCAGCTCAACGATACATGCGGATCTTTAGAATCAACGTATAATCTTGGACCATTTGGTCTCCGAGACTTTAACCCCTGAATAAATTTTGACTGTAGCGGACTCCAGCAAAGCTCCACGGTCTACGGTAGGATTCTCTGTTTTTCACCGCCGGGTGGGCTTTACGAAGCATCCACAGTAAAGGGTGGGCATAATACCAATCCATTCAACAACGATCAATACGCCGATTCCATTGAACGCCCTCCCACAAACTCCACTATCGCGAACGGAACTACCTTGAACTGTGGGGAGTGGTATACAGCCGCCTCAGGTGATGATTGCTCATTTCTCAGTATGTCTTTCGGTATCACTGCGGAGCTACTCATGGGGATCAATCCTTCGTTACCAAGACAAGATTGTAGTTCTGGAGTTAAAAGAAATATTACCTACTGTGTTTCTCCTATATGGGCTTAGAATGCAACAATAGTAGATCTTGAGACTGAAATTGATGATTCAGAAGATCTTGCCGCTGCTACCGCTTCTTGGTATCTTCTTGGTCGGCAGCTCAAACAACTACGAGTAGTTCTGCACCTTATAGCTCTGCGCCGGTGAGCTATGTATCAGTGGTGTATACTCTAGCGGGTTATGCATCGGTGGCCTCCTAAATCCAAAGATTTGCACTGACTTTAGGCTCCAGTTATGTAATTATTTCATCTTAGCATTGTGACGATTCTTACAGCAAAGGTATTCCGAACAGATAGATTTCATTGAGAGGGTTCATTCTAAGTTATGCTGGCGGTTTCTTGGTAGGCTAAATCAGTACTGCCACTACTCTCAAGATATTCAGATAATACAATTACACATTTAGATCCCGTGTTTCTTCCACTCTTCGGTACTTGATTCAATTTTCACAGAATTCATCGGAATCCAGAGCTTTAACCTGTGTTCATTCTGAAAATTTTGACGTTATATGTAGCGAAACGTGTATCTGAATCTTGCTCGACTATTATGCACTAAGAGTCAGGGAAACTCTCACTACTACCGGTGAAGAGCTAGTTAGATTGGGGGAATAAATGTCTCAAGTTCGATGATTCTAAATATATATCACGATACAGTCGGTCTCATGAGTGTTTTTACAAACTCTGCTATATTCGTTTCCATTGCGTGTAGATAGAACACACATCTAAACTCCAAAGCGGAGTAAATGGTCAAAGTATTAAATATGCTGCTCCGTGTTCTCCCGAACCCACGCTAGAAACAACTTATATGAAATATTGGAGCACAGTCTTGCTAAGTATTAACGGCGCGTTTTCAAAATGAATCAAATGGTTTGCTAAACATGATTGAGTAGTAAAGAGTCACAAGTAGAATCAGGGCATATAATTTGATTATTTGACAGGTATTTGCCTTGCATTTTCATATACCAATAAATCATGGACCCAGAAAGTCGGTAACGTGATTCATATGCATGCGGGCCATATCACCATGTGGGCCACTTTCACCTCAATTCCCACTCACTCAATTCAACACGCGATATATCAATCATTTATTATGGAATCTACAAATAAAAAAGTATAACTCCTTTTAGTTATTGAGGTTATACAAAAAAACAAAAAACTAAGTATTCAAAAAGTTATTAAAGTATATAATATATTATATACTATAATTCAACATAGAATAAACAAATCTATCTTTTATACCAAATATTGGTATATATTTTATAATCTTTTAGAATTAAAAGAGGATATTATTATTTAATATATAATCGATTTAGATTTGAGAGATTTTGTATTTAAATATAAAGTAATAGAAAATATAGTTAATTATATTTTTAATTCCAGAGAAAAAAAAAGAGTTAAAAAGCAATAAGTATATCGATTTATAAAATATAATAAAAAGTTAAGGATATATTTTAATTGTATTTATAATTTTCAAAGAGTTTTTTACAAGGATTCTAAGTTTATTGTAAATTGGTTTCAATTTATTTTGAATATACGGGCTAAATTTAGTATTCTTGATTATGATTTATAGAATTTCAATAAAACAGATTTTATAATAGGAATTATAAATGCTAATATAATTATTACTAGCTTTAAGAGATTTAATAGAAGTAAGATTATACAATTAAGTAATTGAGAATAGGCAATAACTATTATATATAAAAATATTATTAGGGAAATAATATCTTTATTTTTAATAATGTAAGAATAAATACATTTTTCAAATTAATATATGGAAATTAATCTTTTTATAGATTAGATTATTAAATCTATAAGCAATAAATGAAAGAATAATAAAACTAACTTAGAATAATTAAAATATTTTAATAAATATATAAGAACTCAAATTAAAGGTTGATATAGAATACTAATGCTAAATAGGTATAAAAATTATAAATTAATACTATTCCAGATCTATTATAAGAAGAATGATATTAAATATATATATTTATTAATATATTCAAATTATTTAATTCAATCTCTTAATATAGATTATTTTAATATCTTAAAATAAGAATATAATACCCAAATTAAGGATTTTATAAAGATTTATATTAATTATATTTCAAAGATCGAATTTTTTATAACTTTTAAAGCTATATATAAAAAATCAATTATAAATCAGAATATAAAATCCGAATTTTAAGGAATAGAATTAATTTTATTTAATCTTAAAGCTGTATTTTCTAAACTAAATATTTATTTTTATATATCTATTTCTTCTTTTTTCAATATAGATTTATGGATTTTTCAAATCCCTTATAATCCTATAGAAGCTTTTTTTCAATTAATATTAATTAAATTTTGAATAACTTATTATTAATTAAGCTTTTTTATATTTATATTTAAAATTATATTAGTTTTAGTTAAAGGTATAAAAAGATTAGTATATAAAAATACACTTTTAAATATAGAAAATTATATATTTTAGAAGATAAATAAAATATTAAGTAAATATTAATATACAAAAAAGATTTAATTATATTAAAAAGGAATATTTATTAAATAAAAAGCTTTTGATATATTATTTTAATAAAAGATTAATATTTAAATTTAATATGATAAGTATTAAAAAAAAAGAAATTCTAATAAAAAAGTATTTTTTAATTGATGTTGTAGTAAATATAGATTGATAGGGTATAATATAAGAATTTATTAAAATAATATAATAGATTCTATATTATTAGATTTTTAAAAGCTTTAATCAATTGAATTAATGATTGTTGAATAATATGAATTTGAATATGGGAATTGAGGTGAAAGTGGCCCACATGGTGATATGGCCCGCATGCATATGAATCACGTTATAGAAAAATTATTATTTTCTAAACCATTAACGTAGTTTATTAGTGCGTGCACCATATCAGTGCATACACCACTTTTACCTCAATTTACACTTTCAAATCTATATTATTCAACAATAATTGAATTAATTGATTAAAACTATTTAGAATTTAATAATCTAAAATCTATTATATTATTTTAATAGATTCTTATATTATAATCTATCTTTTTATATTTATTATAATATTGAATAAAAAAAAATTTTATTAAATTTTTTTTTTGGATATTTATTATATTAAATCTAAATATTAATCTTTTATTGAAATAATATATTAAAAGCTTTTTATTTAATAAATATTCCTTTTTAATATAATTGGATTTTTTTTATATATTAATATTTACTTAATATCTTATTTGCTATTCGAAATATATAAATTTCTATATTCAAAATATATTTTTATAAATTAATTATTTTGTTTTTAATTAGAATTAATATAATTTTAAATATAGATATAGATAAATTTGATTGATATAAATTATTTGAGATTTAATTAATATTAATTAAGAAAAAGCTTTAGTTGGATTATAAAGGATTTGAGAGATTTATTGATTTAATTGAAAAAGGAGGGGATAGATATTAAATTCGAATATTTAATTTTGAGAATATAGTTTTAAGATTAATAGAATTAAATTTATTCTTTAGAATTCTGATTTCATATTTGAAAAATAATTTTTTGTATATTTTTTAAAAGTTATAAAAACAATTTTTGAAATATAATTAATATATCTTAATAAATCTATTAATTTAATATTATAAATATTTAGATTATTAAAACAATTTATATCAATGATTAAATTAAATAATTTAAATACAATATAATAATATATTTGATATTATTCTTTTTATAATAATTCTGAAATAATATTGATTTATAGTTTTTATACCTATCCAATATTAATATTCGATATTTGCTTTTTCTTTGATTTTTAATATATTTATTAAAGTATTTCAATTATTCTAAATTTGTTTTATTGTTTGTTTATTTATTAAATATAGATTTAATAATTTAATTCATAAAAAGATTGATTTCGATATATTAATTGAAGAGATAAATCTGTTCTTGAATTATTAGAAATAGGGAAATATTTTATTCTTTTTATTTCTATATATTATATTATAATCTATTCTTGATTATTTAGTTATACTGATTTGTTTGTATTTGTATCTCTAAATATTAATAATAATTATTGTTATATATATAATTCCTATTATAAAAGTTGTTTTATTAAAATTATAGAAATCTTTATTCAAAATATTATATTTCGCTTATATATTTATAATTAATCGAAACCACTTTTTAAAAAGCTTAGAATTCTTATAAAAAGTTTTTGAAAATTATAAATACAATTAAAATATATTTTTAATTTTTTATATTGTTTTATAAATCAATATACCTAAAACTTTGTAATAGCTTTTCCTTTTCTCAATTTCGAAAAATTAATTTATTATATCTTTTATTTTCTTTAAATTTAAAAAGAAACTTTTTGAATTTATATTTAAAAATATATTAAAATAATATTTACTCTTTTCATTTTAATAAGTTTTCATATTTTGTAATCGAAATTCAATTATAAAAGTTTATTCTATTTATTCTTTGCATAACTATTATATATATAATATTATATAGCTTAATAGTTTTCCAAATCAAAAAGTTTTTTGTTTTTTTTTATAGTTTCAATAGTTAATAAGTATTCTCCTTTTTTTATTATTTGATTATATAATAAATAATAATTAAATTGCATATGACATTGAAGAGTGTAATAATCTGAGGGTAAAAGTGGTGCACGCACTGATATGGTTGTACGCACTGATAAACTACGTTAAAGTTCATACTTCTAACAATATCATGGCTAACTTTGAAACTCGTAGGCATTAAACGGCCCAATTGGTCATTTCGTCAAAGAAACGAGAGGGTCGTGATATAATCCCAGCTCAGTTGCAACCTTCCAAACCTGGTCAGGTTGCTTCTGTGCACATTCCCAAAATTGGTTCATACCATAAATTTCTTCCTTACGTGCAGCATAAAACCAAGTGAACACTGAGGTGGATGCAACCTTCAGCCTGCCATCGAATTTCGTGACAGAATCTGCTTGGATCGGAGCCGAGGGGTCAAAAGTCGTATCGAACGCCCATATCCATGGAGTAATCGAGCTACTCTCAAACGATGCGACTACTTCAGGCGTGATTAGAAGGAACGTGTTTTGAATAATCTGCTTTTGAAGTCCAGGGCTCAATCTGACCACGTCCTGGAAAGCTCTTAAGAAAGTTATTATTTAGAATGCAAGATTTAGTTTTGAATTCATACCTGTGAAGACCTTCGTGGTCATTCTCATCAACAAATTGATCTTGCCAAAAAAGTTTTCTTGTTTGATTGATCTGTTCTCCACCTACTAGCCAAGACACACCTTCAAAGAATGTAGTTTCTAGTTTCTGAAGAAACACCTCCCAATCTTCATTGCTGAACTCTGTCTTTGCATCTCGGAGTACAACAAATCCCCAAGAAGGCTGCATGCTAATAGCATTCAGAGGTATTGATCTGTCGATTAGTTTCTCTACCCATGCGCATGGCTTCCCATTATTGTCTGCAGCTTTTTGTAGTGCGACTCGCAAAGCTTCACTCTCCTGCTTTGCAATAGAATTGCCTTGAAGACTTGCGGCTCTCCGGATAGCATCTTCATTCGGAGTCAAGATAGCAACTGTAGCATCGATACTAGCCATTTGATCTTCGAAAGGCCAATTCATCTTGTTGGCTGCCATAGCCTCTGGCTGATCCCAAATATGATATCCATGTCGAATCAGTCGGCACTCCCCCTTGGTCAAGATGCGGAATTTATCAGAACTTTTTTCTCCAGCGCTTCCGGTGTCATTCCAGTAATTTCCAGGCAATTCGAGAGCTGAGTGGCCGAATCAACAAGGCCAAGAATGATGCGTCTTTCTTCATCTGTGATCGCCTCGGGAGTTTGAACTGCTTTACGCCAGAGCGTTCTATCTTCTTCTGTTGGTAAAACCATGACGAAATTTAGAGTCCGTGATCTTTAAAGGCTCCCCAAATCTATCAATTTATGTCAGATAATTTCCGCTGTGAGTAGAGCGTGTATAGGCTAACCTTTTGTTTGGCTTAATATCAGAAGTGAGGATATGAATGAAAGGCTAAAATTGTGGGTTTGGTGGACAATCAGGAGATTCGAAGACGTGGTTGATTCTATATTACCATAGTAGACCGTTGGCTGTGTTGTGAATTTACTATAATTCTCTGTACTGTAATTACACGAGCTTTCAGTGGTGCACGACACTCTACAGTGAATAAAGTGAGCTATTTTTTGGTGGGGTAAGAAAATCATGTCACGCAGCTCTTGCACACAATGCTTGCGCTTGTTGAATTTCAACCATGAAACATCAATAGTTAAAATTATTAAAGTGGTCTTAGATTAATGAGTGCGATTGTATATATTCATATTTTTACCTTCCTATAATTGAACCGGACACTGATACTTGAATATCTCTATCCGGTTTAAGCATTGTTACTTCAATATCCATACTTGAATCAAGAGCTCGACTCGGACTCGGCTTTAGATGATATAACACTGCTCTAGATCTCTTGCAATGCAAGTATGTCTTCCCAGATCTCTCATGCCCTCCTTAGCTAGAGACTCAAATCCATCTCTGTCATGACATCCCACATATGCAAACCCCGTGATCCGCTTAGATTTCTTCCCTTCATCTGACCTCCCCTCAGTTTCTAAATCCTTGAAATCAGTATCTCTAAGTACTGCCGCCCTACCCATTCCCGCTATAATGGCAATCGTATCGCCATCCCGAATCATCGGCGTAGCAACACCTGCAAATCCTTTATCTGTGACAAAGAACTTGCGCTTCCTAACAATCGGCAAAATTGCATCTTGAAACATCTTCTGTGCCTCACCATCTTGCTCCGGAACACGCCCCATCAATACTTCAAAGGTTCTGGGGTAAGTTACTATCAACTCATGATCGGTATTGCGGATACCAATAAGTGTGTGCCAAAGAGGCTCCCTTCTAGGTGCTTGGACAGCAAGAAGGGCTTCGATCTCCTTGAATCGCGAGACGTAGTAATCACGATCGCCATCGATGAAAGAAACGATATGAGTGACGCGACCAAAACTGGCCATGTAGGCGCAGAGCGTAGTTCTGTCCGGGGAAACGGTAGCTCTGACACCTTCAGGCCATTTCCAATCGTGGTTTGCACAACCCCCACGCAAAAAAACTGGATTATGTTCGTCGTTAAAATCGGCCGAGATGGTGAAGTCTGGGACCCATGAGGGAAGGGGGGTTTTGAAATGTCGTGTTCGCCAAAGAAGACCAAGCAGTGCTAGGCCCTTTGGCTCGTGCTGTATGATGTAAATCATCGTCGGTACAAATGTCCATTCTGGCTGCTTGTGGTAGTCAATGTGAATTGCGGCTCTGGCTTCCTCGCTGAGCAAGCCGAGGATACCATATAATTTGTCGCGTGGATCGGTAGAGCGCAAGTTCATTGTACATTTCAAGACAGTTTCAAGGCTTAGAGGCTCTTTTCGTATGTGGATAGTGCCACGAGAGTGCATAAGAAATCCGTGATAGGTGATTGGAACGCGTTTCATGAGCTCCATTCTTCTCCAAAATGCTTTCGCTTCGACAGAATCGTATTGAACATGTCTCATGACCGTGTGTCTGGCTCTCCATACCACTGGATTGAGATGGATATCTTCAGCTATCTCTAGTACAGTATAGTAAGGTAAGTCCTGCATGAAGTTTTCTCCAAAAGCACTCCTCAGCCCTGTAATAACGCCTTCTAGAGTGGTCTGTTCTGTTCCCACTGGTCTTGTATTAGCAGTCCGAATCCATTCAGGTCGAAAAGTCTCTACCACCGCATCGCGATATGCTCTTTTGTATTTATCTTCCATGATATTCCCATCGTCTGAGAAATGCGCCCATGCTGTAATGAATGGCAACCATCTAAAATGAATACATCAGCAGTCGCTCGGCCAGCACTCAATACTCTCTCAGAGATCTGGAAGTCTTTGGCAAATGTTTCAAGCAAATGCTCTAGAGTACAAATTTTTATAAACATTCACACTCTCATCTGATATTTTGGAAATAATAAATTACCATTGACTCACTCGACCCAAACATTGCCGCATCCGAATACAGGATTTTTCATTCTTCCATCCACGATGCTATGCTTTGCCATGACGAACTCCTGCACCGTCCAAATGCGTGTAAACCAGGGTCGAAACAAGATCTCCATAAATTGGGCTTGAAAATCATACGTTTGCCAATATGCCTTGTCAAATCTTTCAACACTCCGCATTGCTTGTTCGCTGCCCTCTGCCTCCGGTCCGAGCCATATCAACACAGTGTTTGCCTCAGAATATACTCGTCTCATAAGTGCAACCTGTGATGCACGTTCATCAAGATCATCCTGATTGATACATAAAGCGTCAACCCAGAGAATACGAGGTGCGGCAGGAAGACGGAGGTTGCGCAAAGCATTGTCGAGATTTGGGCCAATAGCAACCAGGCGATCACCTAGGTTGATGGTTTTGGTTGGTGTGGTTAAGCCCCATACATATGAAAGAGCTTCAAAATCTGGGCTTGACTCCAAAGAAACGACACTGAGTTGACTGTAGAGAGGATCATCGAACTTGGCAGCAGGTTGAAGGATCAGACGCCGGATCTGGCACAGATCTGAGTTTAGAGGTGCATATAGCGTCATGATCAGTAGCTTATGATGAATGCAACTTTGATTTCGCGATTCTCTAGTTATTTATTTAATTAGCAGTCAAAATTAAGATAGCACTTGGTACCTTCGTCTCCGAGAGCGGTATGTCACGTTTGGCATCGACTTCAGCGTGGCGTTTGGGGGGAGCCAATAATAACTTACAAGCAAGCGTTTGGTGTCACATTCTCTGCAGCCTATTATAATACAATACTAGAAATTCTCTAGAAATTAGAAGAGCAGAAATGCATGCTGCCATGCATAGATCAGCTCATATCCCGTTTTCATAAATAGCAAATCCGTGGGTAACGATTCTTTGGGCTCATGTGGTAACTTGACAGTTTATAAATTTGAGATTATCCAAGTCTCAATTTTCTCGTTATACAACCCAGCTTGATTTGGCAGTTTTTTGACTGATATGTCTCCAAAATTTTCGAACCCGAGTGATCTCTGCTTGTCATTGCTGTGACCCTTTATCTGGCCATCAGACGACTAGATATTGCGTTGCATGCTCCCCTTCAATGATTCATCCTAAGTTACTCGTTCCAGCAGCTCGTTCCTTTTTCTTGGACGTAAATCTGTATTTGACTTTACAGTTCAGATAGAAGGAAAACTAGATAATGTCATTATCTAGTTGTATTTCTGATTCAGAACTCTGTTTCCCTCTAAGTCATCGTTGGAGTCAGACAGCGGCGACGGTAAATTCGAGCGACTAAACCACTTCCACCGGATAATTAACCGTTTACCTTTCAGTCTCTTTTACTCCGTTGACTTCACTTGAGTTTGGAGTTCCTCCTGAGTTCGATGCTTCTTTTTGTACTGCAGCTTCTTCCTCCGGTACAACAACCCGTGGGTCGTTTTCCTCCGGAGCCTCAATATTTTTCTCCAATAAAGCTTCTTCCCTCTTTTTAGTCTCCCAGTCCTAGGAAGTTGTCAATCCAGCAATTTCCTCCACAGATATTGATATTCTTTCCGTAGGTTGACGGCAAAGACATTTTCTGTCGGTACCAATCTAGGTCCTCTAGCACAGATTCCCTATCAAGTCTTGGTTTCATCTTTTTATATTCGCTTCTTGCATGTTCAGGTCTGTTGAAATGTAAAGAGTTCGACTTAGTTTCTTCGACTTGGACATCTCTCTCTTGTAAAGCGTCCCCCCATACAATACACTTCCCTTTCTGCAAACTACTCTTTCCTTCCCTCAAGAAAGTCTGGTGAGGATTATCATGCTTCCTCTGTGTTTCGGAGAATCGCTGTAAGTACTGTGAATTAATCTTCTGCCGTTATTGCAAATGATCCATCTGTGCGAAAAGGTCTTGAAATTTCCCCTTGTAAGCTTCTTGAAAAGCATCTTTGTATTTCTTCGAATCTTGAATGATTACCTCTGCATTAAGCTGTTCCAAAAAAATTCTCTGGATCTCTTGGAAAACTTCCATAGCAAGTTCGGAGGATTTTGGACCGCTCCCATGTAAGTACAAACCTGACCAAATGTGCTCGAATAGATAGTCTAAGGCCTCTTGATCTGATATAGATAAGGACAACCTTCAACTGCGAAGGGCTAGATCATCACGATCTATTTGACTTCTAACTTAGCGGTATGCAGTCCTCACGGGTTCGAGTATGCTCATTTGTTTGCGTGTCTTCTAGGGTCTTCGTGGTCTTGTATCTCTGAACGGATAGCATTTTCGTGTTCTAAATTCTACACTAAGAAAATGTACGGATTTGTATAAGTGGCGGAATAAGATATCGAATGATAGACTATAAAGATGAGAAGTAAGTTTTGAATCAATAGGAAATCTAAATTTCTAGTCCTTGATTATAATCTCTGGAGTTGACATAAGGATTTCAGAAACAAAGTTCAAATTGGACGATTGTTTAGGTTCTTCGAGAATTGATTTGTGCTTTATTTAGGTAACTATTTCAATCTTGCTATCGAATTCTGGCTAGTTTATATATTTTAGGGAGAGCTACTATAGCAAAGAAGACGTCGCACTCATTGTGATATAGTAATAGTGATATGAAGCAATAATTTAAAAATAGCTTGATTGAAAGCAGATTTAGCAGTTTTTAAATACATTTGTCGAAATACTCGAGTGCTCACCGAAATCTCTGGGGTTCTTTGATGTTTTCGCTTACCAAGGTGAATGGGAAAGATTCAGGGGAAATTCAGATGAGATCAGCTCTTCCCGTTATGCGATCAATTGATTCTCGGATTAGCCCGCACGAGGCCCGGTGCGGGAACACACCTTGATTTCAATCTGGAATTTTTGTAACTACATTCGTGTTCGATCAAGCTACTCTGCTGGAAGAGGAAAGGGCGGATCCGATCTTAACCCGACTTGTGATTTCCTCAAACTCTAAAATGACATCAAGCTTGGTAAAAGAACTGTGCAAAGTGGGGTAGCTGTCATCGTATGGAACTTTAACTGCTGTTGATCACCATCGAGAATCAGATTGGTTATAGTCCTACGTATAGCACGTAAGAAAGTGTAATTTAGACATTGACAAAGAGAGGCATAATACTGGTATTCGAAGCTTCAGATCTTCGATCTGATAAATATAAGAAATTTCCCATACCCATCGGTTCGCAATGACTTATGCATTAAATGACATGTCCATTGATGTTTGAAAAACTTCAAACACTTCCTATAACTACCAGGAAGAACTAAATGAAAATCCGCTAAAATTTCTACTCATACGAACGCAATGGCTGATACTCAAACTGGTACCAACGGCCACGCAGGTACACCGTATGAGGATGGGAGAAGTAGTGGGTTCCTCAGACTTTCTTGTACTTCTTATGTTGACAATAAGATATAGACGGCAGCACTAGATTAACTTTAGAAAAAAGTCGCCAGGAGGAACGAAATACAGATGGGACTTTACTTTATGACTGGGACGGCGAGAATGATCCGAAAAATCCGTAAATGAGCCTCCCTCCTCCGAATGCACCGCAAAGAAAAATGCTGAATAAGACAGATTCAATTGGTCTAAATTACTCAAATGGAGGCTAACTATAGCCGTCCTTATTGTGTAAGTAAATATTGAACAATTGATGCTTCTTCTAACAGATTTTGTGCAAGTCCATTCTTTTCGGCCTCCCAGCAGGTGCATACGGCGCGGGAAACGATGAGATGAGTGCTCTATTCAACGTCAGCAACTCCGGCTTCCCCTACTTGTTCTTCGCTACAACTTCCTGGAATATTGGAGCTGCAATATTTCCCTTATTATTTGTACCATTGACGGAAACTTCGGGTCGTATGCCTGGATACTTTGGTGCATATATCATTTTCCTAATCTTTTTGATACCATGTGGAGTAGCACAGAACTTCGAAACTATGGTTGTGTGTCGATTTTTTGGGGGAGGAGCTTCTTCAGTGGCTATCAATATTGTTGGTGGCACTATTTCAGACGTTTGGAAAGGTCCTCAACAACGAAGCTTGCCACTATCCTTATTTGGAACGACGAGCGTCATCGGAATTGCGCTCGGCCCCTTTGTTGGCGGTGCTATCACTTCCACATATCTCTCTTTTCGATGGATATACTGGGTTCTGCTTATAATCACCGGCGGACTTCTACCCGTTTTCTGGTTTCTTTTGGTGGAAACTCGAGGGGATATAATTCTAGCCAGAGAAGCTAAGAAATGGCGCAAAAATAATCCAGACGAAGAGCCACGCTATGCGGAAGCTGAGATTGATGTGCCACCTGTAGCTACTCGACTTAAGGTCTCCTTCAAGCGTCCAGTCAAGATGCTTTGCACCGAATGGGTCGTATTTTCGCAAACACTTTGGGTATCATTCGCGTGGGGTCTGCTATTCCTCTTCCAATCCTCCGTCACTCAAACCTTCTCCACAAATTACAACTACAACACCTTTCAGACTTCCCTTATTCAACTCTCTCTCAGCGTTGGTGCCATTATTGCCACTTTCGTAAATCCGATTCAAGACCACCTATATCTGCAATCCGCAAAACGTTCCAAGACAGGAACACCAATCCCGGAAGCCCGTCTCTATTCCTCCATTCCCGGTTCTCTTTTGTTTACAGCGGGTCTCTTCTGGTACGGTTGGTCCTCCTATCCCTCTCTTCCCTGGATTGTCCCCACTCTCGGTATCGGTTGTGTTGGCTTTGGAATATATTCCATCTACCTAGCTGTGGTAAACTATCTGACCGATTCCTACGAAAAATACAACGCATCAGCGCTCTCGGCAGCATCATTGGGAAGAAATATGTTCGGGGCCTTCTTGCCACTAGCAAGTCCATCACTCTACACAAACTTAGGGTTCCAATGGGCAAGCTCTTTACTAGGATTCGTAGCATTAGTGTTAAGTCTAGCTCCGGTCTTGTTGTTGGTCAAGGGGGAGGAGATTAGAAAGAGGAGCCCTTTTATGAAGGAGGCAACTTTTGCGAGAGAGAGGCACCCCGAACCACAGAGGACGGTGTGTAAGGGCAATATGAATCTATAAGAATAGAAAATACATGAAAACATTTATGTCTTAATGTGGGGTAGCACCATGTTGGTGGGAAAGAAGTAACGGGATCTATGGATGTTTTCTGAGCAAGTACTTTGAAATTTCTTGCTATTTCCAAGCCACATCGCACATAGTTTTTTCCATTGTATAGTACATACTTATTAGAAACCGTGTTTGAAAAGAAGAATTAAGTGACCGAAGCATTCTCTCATCTCCTGTTGGATCAACGCAAACAATCATGGTCGGCGAAGATATAGTAGTGATGGTGAAGTGTACTGTCGCAAACGTTGCAAGTCTTTCGAATTCATGAACATCAATCAGTCGATCAATTGTCCCTCGATTATTCTGCTTTTCAAAGGTGCAACAAAACTTTTTAGCTGGAGAGGACTGCTCACATCTGAGATCAAGGGAAATTAAAGTGAATCTCTTGGATTCTTCATGATTCGCTTTTCACTCGGCAATCCATTCAATTATTGCGCATGATCCGTCTCTCGATGCTAGTATATTCTTAATAACACGTAACTTTCTCTGTAAAAAATCTTTCATTTATGGTATCCCATGCACTTCTCAATTGATAAGCTCTTTCGCCTCCTCGCAGAATGGCCCCTAATTCCCTACTTTCCAGCATCCTCCTTCAAACTTACAATACGATTCAATACAATCTTATCATCCGTTGAATCCGAGTCCATTGCCTAGAGAAAATTAGAAAAGTTTCAAAGTACAAACATCGAGGAAATGGCTCACCATATATGCTACACGCATGGCCTGGAATCTGACAGATTCGGGACCTCCCTTTCCGAGCTCCGATTCTCCAGCAGCTTCTGGCCATGGAGCTCGTTTTCGTACCTCATCGAATCCAGACTCAATAACAGCATTAGGCCATACTTCTTCACTATCAGGGTTGATGTCGTTCAAGAAGCCACCTTCCGCATCATCTGGCTTTTCGCTCTTGAAGAGACTGTTAAATATTCTAACTTCGACATTCTTTGAACCTTCTGCAACCCAATGAATATAAGTCTTTGGCTTCTTGCCCTCCTTATCGTAAACCGCTCGAATTTCTGTGACCTTGTCTCCATCTTTAGAGAATGAGACTGCCTTGACTGGGTATGGAATATGTAATAGACCGACGGATTTTCCAGGAGCGAGACGGAAGTAATCTTTGCTATCAACTTCTCTGAAATCACTTCTCTCAATGTAAACAGTTTTAGTCAACTTGACCTCGTGGCTGCCCATTGCGGGTACTTTGGGTGAAAATGGGATGTCGAGTTCCAGCTCTTCAGCATCCTCGATGACGACAGGTACAGGATCCAGAACCAACATAAGCCTGGGGACTGTGAGCTCCAAGTATTTACGAACTGTCTGGTCGAAACGAGAGAGTTGAATATTGGTAGGAGCAGTGGTTACTCCTAGTTCGTTAATGAACTCAAGGATGGCTCCAGGAGGGACACCGCGTCTTTTGATTCCAATCAATGTATATAGTCTTGGATCATCCCATCCTCTAACATAGTTATCATCCACAAGTTTCTTCAGCTTGCGCTTGGAAAGCACAGTGCCCGTAATGCTTAGGCGACCATATTCTCTCTGCATGGGTTCGTATACTTTCAGTGTACTATTCAACCATTCGTAGGATACTCTTGATAGAATGAACTCGGTTGTGCAAAGCGAGTGTGTGATGTTCTCAAAACTATCGCAAAGACAATGAGTGAAGTCGTACGTTGGATAAATCTTCCATTTATCTCCTGTTAGATGATGTTTAGCATCCAAGACTCGGTATGCTGCCAAGTCCCACATTTGAGGGTTTCCGTCTTCAATGTTCTGCTTCATGCGCAAGAATGCCTCTCTAGGTTTGTATTCGCCATCTCGCATGGCTCTAAACTTTCTCAAATTTTCTTCGATCGATTGGTTCGCATGCTCGCATCTAAATCTCGGACCCCGTGCCTCACCTCCTCTCTGAGCTTTGATTTCAGCGTCTAAATCAAATCTATTAGTATTTGCCAGTGTCAAGCATACGCAAAGTAGTTCTTACCACCGCAATGGCAAACATAAGCCCCCCCTAAGTTGATGAGTTCCTCTGCTTTCTCGTAAAGTTTATCGAAATTATCGCTAGAATGTGTAATCTTGTAAGGTGTGAATCCCAACCATGAAACCATTTCCTTTATCGCTGTGAAATATTTCTCTTCCTCTGCTTCGGGATTGGTGTCATCAAATCTTAGATAACACTGGCCACCATGATACTTAGCAAATCCGAAATTGACGGCAATAGCTTTTGCATGACCGATATGCAAGTATCCATTAGGTTCAGGTGGAAATCGAGTAAAGACTGGTTTGACAGGACGCTCCTTGTACACTTCTGAGAGAAATCCTTGGGCGAATACATTTGATGGCTCTGCTGCTTTTGTCTCTTCTGGCTTCTTAGGCTTGGTTGCAGAAGCTTCCTTAGGTGGTGCTGCTGATTTTGCTTTTGCTTGTGCTGCTTTCTTCGCGCGTTTTGCCAATCTTTTCTTCAGTTCGGCCTTCGAGACCATCTCACCTGTCTCCTCATCAAGCTGGAGCTTGGCCGTTCCTTCGGTAATTGCGTCCGCCATATTGAACGATAAGATCAAATCGTTGGGATTCTGGTGTAGTTTAATGCTCTTGAGTCTCTGGAAATTCTTCAAGATCCAGGAGCTTCAGTGGTGGTTAATATTTTCCACTGATTGTTTTGTTGGTTAAGCTGATATGGAGGGGTTCAACAATGAGTCAAAATCGTTTTGTAGCAGAGGGCTGAAAGCACCGACATCCCGATATCTTTACAGGGATCCGAACAGCAAGACGAGAGTGACTTAGTGGCTCAGCTACTTAGCTGCAAGTGGCTGGAGCACGATACGGGAGTCCGTGCACACTCAAAAGTCTAATAGCTGTCGGATAGGTAGGCTCGGCAGCTAGGCAGCTGTAGCCTTGTGTTACGTAGTATCTATCTACTAGACCAACCTAGTATATAGGTAGGTAGGTATATTTACAATGTAATATTTAATTGTACTGTAGCCTTGAGTTCATTAACCACACTACTCTCTTTCTTCCTTTTGAACCGACTTTTTTTCTCCAACCCAAAACTTAGATCTACAACATCTTGTAGATGATTAGGAGCAAAACAATTATGTCTATTATATCAGCTACCGAGATACCGACTGTATCACTCCTCTATCACTTGAAGAAATTGACCCCCTACAAAACAACTGATGCAGACGAATTACCTCCAACTCCAAATCAATTCTTCAATGATCGCATCGGTTTGATTCGTGGTGATATCACCCATCTCGAAGTCGACGCAATCGTTAATGCCGCCAACAACTCTTTGCTGGGTGGAGGAGGTGTCGACGGAGCTATTCATCGCGCTGCTGGACCCGATTTGTTGAGAGAATGTCGAACTCTGAACGGTTGCAGGACTGGATCAGCGAAGATCACGGATGCCTACGAACTTCCTTGTAAGAAAGTCATCCATGCTGTTGGGCCGGTCTATGATAGCTATAAGCCTGAAGTCTCTGAACAAAATCTCGAAGGATGCTACAGTACAAGTTTGGATTTAGCGGTCGAGAATGGTTGCAAGACTATCGCTTTCAGCGCCTTGAGCACCGGAGTTTATGGTTATCCCAGTGATGAAGCTGCCCCCGTCGCACTTATGACTGTTAGAAGATTCCTTGAAAGTAAGAAGGGTTCGAAGATGGAGAAGATTATTTTTTGCACTTTCGTTCCTAAGGATGTTGCCGCTTACAACGAATGGATTCCGTAAGTCCCTTCAGTTTTGTGACAATTCTTTTGGTTAATATTAAATTTACAGACGTATCTTTCCGACAACCGAATCTAACGCCGACGACGATTGGGAGGAAGTCGACGAAGTTGAATCTGCTGAGAATGGAGCTGTGTTAGCAAAGGGCACTGGTTCAGCCAAGGATAGCTCAGAAGCGAGCAAGGTTGAGCTTCCAGAAGTTCCAACTAAGGAGCCAATCGAGGATGAAGGACCTGCTACAAAGAAGCAGAAATCTAACGATAATAAGAACTCGTGATGATTTATAAGAAATTACGATTAATGATACTTCTGGAGTAATGGTTTTCGACACTACTAGGTAGTTAGCTAGATTTATGAAATATCATAGCTCATCATACCAGAATTTTAATGCTACCTGAACCACGCGAAGTTATTCCCAAAAGCTACCCCTCCTTGAACCCTCTCTTGTGCCCCGCCTTTTTGTGCTTATTAATCGTCACAAGTATTCATCTTTCTTCATGAAATCTCCAGGTTTGGCTATCTAAAAACCCCTGGTATCAAATCACAATCACGGCCTCGATGATTTCTCTATAGTCATTACCCAGGTACCAGGTTCGTTCGATTTCATTGACCACGTTCGAAGATGTCGGCAGCTGCAAATATTTACAAGGAGGAGATCGACTTTGTCGCTCTAGGAAATCAAGATCCAGATTTTGGTAAACTGTAGGTTCTTAGCCAGGGGAATATCTTCTACATTGTTGACTTCGCCCATGAGAGATCATTTATTCAGTTTGCTATCGTAACTGCAATTTGTTCTATACTTTTCTGCGCCTGCTGAACATGTCCCAGTTTGAAGTCAAATGGCCAATTGGATTTTAGCGATCCTAAATCGGTCCAGCAGCTCACAAAATCGCTATTGAAACGGGACTTTGGTCTGAACTTAACACTTCCACAAGACCGACTCTGCCCACCAGTAAGTCTAATCTAAGCTCCAACTGTATCCAATTATATATGGTATTGTTGCTTTAAGCTGAATGGATCAAGGTACCTAATAGGTTGAACTACATACTTTGGTTACAAGAACTTATTGATACATCAAGTGATGTCTATACCGACTCTTACAATCCTGATAGACAAGTTCATGGGCTCGATATTGGTACTGGAGCAAGTTGTATATATCCGCTTTTGGGTTGTGCTCAACGGGCTTCATGGAGATTTACTGGAACAGGTCTGTCCTCTGCATTTTTGATTCAAGGATAAACATTGATTACATTCAGATATCGATGAAAGGAGCATTGCTTTTGCTAGAACTAACGTCCAAAGCAATGAACTGCAAGCCCGGATACAGCTCATCCAGACCGAATCAAAAGGTCCTTTGATACCTCTTGATGAGATAGGTTGTCACAGGTACTTATTGTTATCTTCATGAACTAAAAGGAAGTTTTGTTGATAACTCCAAGTTTAGACTTTACACTTTGCAATCCACCATTCTATACTTCAGCGGAAGACCTCGTATCTTCAGCATCTATTAAACAACGACCCCCGTTTACAGCTTGTACCGGTTCCGCAACAGAAATGGTCTGCGAAGGTGGTGAGGTGTCTTTTGTCTCACGGATGATAGTTGAATCCTTGCAATTACGAAATGGAGTTCAATGGTATACTTCAATGCTGGGAAAGTTCTCAAGTTTATCGAAAGTCATTGAGCAGCTGAAAAGGCACCAAATTGACAACTATGCCGTGACAGAATTCATACAGGGCAGTAGAACGAGAAGGTGGGCAGTAGCGTGGAGCTTTAATGATAGAAGGCCAAGTATTGCAGTATCTCGTGGTTGTAAAAGCTTACAGAAGAGTCTACTGCCATTCCCAGCAGAGCAAACGATTACGGTAGGTCTGGTTTGTCAATCGTCATGCTTTACAGTATCTTGAGTATTGAGTGGTCTTTAGGTCAGCACACGCGAAAAAGCTGTCATCACTACAAGGCTACACGATATGTTATCAAAACAGATTACGCTATGGAACTGGGAGTCAACGAGATTCATTGGTACAGGCTTCTGCGACAAAGCCGTTTGGTCTCGAGCGTCACGCCGGCATCTAAGTGAGACTAATGATGAGAAGCCAAATGTTACCTCGCCAAGTTTGCCTGAGGATATGGCTTTTGGGTTTAAAATCTCATTTGGGGACCACGAAGAAGAATTTCCAGGAACGAAAGTTGTAATTCGATGGTTGAAAGGACACGACAGTGTTTTATTCGAGAGCTTCTGTGGCATGATAAAAAGAAAGCTACAAGACATCTGATGTCAGGTTGATGAAACTCCCGGTCGCTCTTTGTCGATCCGCGGAGCTACACGATAACTGTGACGAGATACAAATGATAGACGCCAAATACAAAATTCCTCAATCTAGATACCAGTAGAAGGATTTTTATTCAAACATTGATCTTGTGAGGGGGCTCGATTCGGCAACCAAGGCACAAACATATGGATGTGCTCAATTGGTCCTTCAATTGAGAGTCGAAATGGGATGAAGAGGGTTGGATTGGTAATTCTACTCAGTACATAAATGGAGGAATTTCCAAAGAAACTTAAGTTATGAATTTTATTAATTTGAAACATTTCAAAAGCACGACAAGGCTGAGCGTTGGGATTATTAGTCAGTACGTAGTGACTTATACTAGGCTAATAGGCTAGTCCGTACTGTAATTATTTGTGCATGTAACCTTACCATACTCTTAGCGTGCCGTGCACTTATTTTCCCTTTCCCCCGCTTCCTCCTCTCTTCTCTAAACCACCCCCAAATCATTATCGATGATAGCAAATTTCTGGAAAAAGCATCTCTTTCACTTCTATGCGCAGTACTCGATTTAATTCAATTTCACGTTTGTTGTCTTGTTAGTCTTGCGATGTTTTTCTGTTACTTAATTCTCCCGAATAGCAATCAATGTTATTGTAGTGTTGATTGATATTCATTCGTCCATCACTTTTCTTCTGATTCACTACACCCACCCATTCATCAGTCCTTTATACTTTGATAAGTCGCCCATCACATTACCACTTAAAACAGTGACGCCCAAGGCATTGATTTCGGCCTTAGAATTACATCATTCTTCGATTTCTGTAGTCTACTCTTGACTGTACTACAAACGTCTGCCCAGGTTGGATCTACGCTTCTAGACCAGGCCTGAATCCACAATCATGACAACCACGATAACCACGAGATTCAAGAATAGCATTTCGCATTCAACAAGAGCAGACGATGGCGACAATACATCATCCAACCACCCCTCAATCTCTTTCATCTCACCTCCAAAAATGAAGAAGAGGGCGTTAAGTCAATTATCTAGCATTATTACAGCAAAATTTACTCAACGATTCACCCACTTCCCTGACCTACCCACTGAACTACGACTAATTGTTTGGGAATATGCATTACCCGATCCTCTCGTTCACGAATTATACCCTAGTTGTCCGACCAGCTCACCTTATAACTTCAAAACCAAACTTCGATCAAACAGGCGGCGAATTCCAACACTTTTGCATGCAAGTCATGAATCAAGAGAAGTAGCTTTAAAACATTACTGTCTAATGGCATACGATCCACCGCCAGTGACAGAGCCCCGCGAGGCCGTTGCTGGAATTACACCGTTCTACTTCAATCCTGCCATTGATACCCTATTCCTAAATTGTGTGGCATCGATATTTCTCGATGTGAGGTGGTTTTTGCTTGATGAAACACCAAAATCGATTGCACCGATGAAAAAATGGAAGAATGTAGCATTGGATAGCTTACACATGCGGTTTGTGGCAGTGGTTGCGAGCGACCTACCAACACCACAACATAGGATCCGAGAATTATTCCCAGATTTAGAGAATTTGAGCATTGCGGTTGACAGTAGAAATAGTGCCAGAAGGAGACTAAGGGCGAGTCTAAGGCCAGGACATGCGACGGAGCTGGTAACTGTAGGTTTAGATGACGTGGAAGGAAGTGATGAGATTGGCGTATATTTTGAAAAGGATTTTGGCATTGACAGCAATACTGGAGCAAGTTCGACAACAAACCTAGCGGCGAGCGTTACCGTCACTGAAGTGGACGATGATGAGGATGACATTCAAGAACAACAAGGGGAGGATAATAGGAGGCCGGAATTAACGATGTGCAAGGTTAAGAGAGATAGGTTCTACGTGGGCCTGAAACAAGACTTCGTTTACTCCTATGTAGGAGCTATACAATTACTGAGAGCTGCACGCAGAAGAATACTCAGAAGGGGGAGATAGGAGGGTTAGTGGATCAAGCTCAATGGTCAAGCTTTTGCTTCTGCAACATGTCTCGATCTTATGACAGAGAGTAACGAACCTGCAGTGCCTGGTAGTTTTTCGTTTTCGGACCGACCAAGTGTCTTGCACCATGATATTCTTCAGATGCTGTTTGATGATAAGAAACATCAACATGGTGGCAGGATACTGGACCAGTGTTCAAAAAGATTAGCCATCACTTTGGAAGTGTGGAATGGCGACGAAACTCCGAAGTATGCAAATAGGACAGGTAAAGGGTCGATAGGACTTCCAGGTCATTTAAGGATGTGGCAGGCTTATAGGCAATAATGAGGCAATGGCATGTGTTGACAACAGCATTAGTGGTTAGTAAAATCAATGCCGATTAGCATTCACTTAGGAAATAAAAGCTTGCTAAGTTACTTTTTTACTGTTTTGTCATCATGCAAACGTAGTTCATGTTCTCTGCTCCTGTTGATTTGCTATTCTTCCAAAACATAACGCTTCATCATATCAAGTCGTTCAAAATTAATCGCTTGCTCGCTCACTCATGCCAGAATTGACGGCCTTCCTATCTCTAGTGTCTTCCCCAAATCTACCACTTAGCCTCCTTTCTGTCCAAAAATCCTTTCAGGATGGCGATCAGGTTCTCCAATGCACTCAACCACACTCTCAAAGCACCCTCAACCTTGGAGTTATCATCTCCAAGCTTAACGTAGAAATCTTTTCTGTATGGGCAGGCAGACATGGCAGCGCTGAATATGGGCTTCACCATGAAGGAGTGGTGGGGTTTTAGTGTCTCGCCGTAGGCAGCACGGAAGGATACGGAGAGTTCGTCCGCGGGGGCGGCAAGGTTTTGTGAGAGAGCAATGCAGGTGAAGTCTAGACCACTGTAGGGGGACGGGCCGTTAGCTTTGAATTCCTAAGTTTGCAAGAATGGATAGAGGGGTTAGGAGTATTGTGCCAATGTATGCCATCACGTCGGCACATAATGATAGCAAGGATAATATATAGAATTGTATGAAAATGACATACCGAACCAACCAAACTAAACCTTCAGTAGCGGTGTGCTTCTTGGTCTTGAGCTCATTGACGACCAATTCTTGAAGAGTCTCTGACTCTGCTGGTGCAGCAAGTTGTCTCTCGCGGATTTTCTGCCAAATCGTTAGCATATTTGTATTCAATCGGCAGGAGCCAATCGTACCTTGATGTTACCAGCCATATCATTCTTGACTGGGTTGAATGCTACAGATCCCATAACATCTACAATTCATTAACTCTTTACTTCTCAATGAGACACAGGAAGGGGACCATACCGAAGAGAGTAGTGAGGGATTCGGCAGCTTGAAGAAACTCTGTGGTTGCAATTGCATTGTCCTTCTCCTTGTTGACGGGGACATCGACGAATGATTTATCGAGAGTATCGATGAAGGTTTGTCCAGGGGGAATTGTCTTAACGGTTGCCATTTTGAATGAGTTTATTTGATTTGATTGATTGGAGAAGACGGGTATTGAGATGGAAATCGAAGATGTTCAGGAATTGAGAAAGATTGCGAATGAGGGCTTTCAGGAGAAGAACAGATATGGGAGAGCTTTAAGAGGAACCCTTTCTATGAAACTCGTGGCATGAATTGAATAGATGGAGTCGGATGTTTGGGTGTTGGGTGGAATTGGTGGGGCAAAGGGAAAGCGGGGGTTGAGTGTTGGAAGTTTCCGTGCGAGGTGAGAACGGCGGTCATGGATTCAAAAGTCGCGGCAATGTGAAACTTAGGCAATCATATCGAGGGATTAAAGGATCTCGAGAGGATCTCAATGAAGATATATTATTTCGTGCAGACGATGATGTGGATTCAATCTAGAAAGCTCCATAAGATCCATCGTTCCCATGGTTCAAGTCCCTGAATACCTACAGATTACTGCTTACTTTGCCTTTTCTGTTTTAGTGTTATTTATTTCTATGGAGTATTTCAATGCATAGAACCACATCTTCGAATCCAGATCTTCATCTTCTTGCGACGTGGGAGAAGTCAATATCGCAATTGCGAATTGGGTTCCTTTTGCCCAAGATATTCCATCATATCGGCCTGTTGTGTTGTTTCTAGTGAAACTCATGAAGACCGGCTTGAAAATGACAGAGGCCTCATTCGTCCCATCGTTTATTGATTTGTAAATGGACAGGAAGTCAAGTAAAACGCCAACGGCGAGTCCTTCAAACAAGTGTTCGTGGCAACATAGATGAAAATGCAAGGGAGGTTCTTGTAATTCAATAAGATATATGAGATCATAACAGAAGGAGTTAAAATAACATATGGCTCTCTTTCACCTCGCAATACAATAGATTCCTTTTGTGAAAGAGGAGATACATGAGTCCATTGACCGTGGCAATCGGTATCAAACTTTAGTTTGCATCACAGTACCTATGATTTTTCCCTAGATTCACAAAGCATTCGTTTGAGGAAGGTCTATGTCGGAATGTATATAATGCTTGAGCGTATTTCAATCTTTAAACATATTTCAACATCAGAAGAGATTTCGATGTTTGAAGGTCATTCAACCTCTACAATTTATGCTCTGCAGAATCAATCAACCAGATGGCTGCTGATGCAAGGCGAAATGGAAGATAAAATTATATGATGCATTTTCCGTTAATTACCTTGGGAATTAATCATCAGCGTGAGGAGTTATTTCACAAGTTTTGAGGCGTACATATATTCGGCTTCGATGAAAAGCGATCAATTCTCGAGACGTTCTGGAATTTTCAAAGTTCTTATTGGCGAAAGATTGAGTGATCCATGACTCCTTGCTATTTGCGTCCTTGGTATTTTGATGTATTGTCATCCATGTATTATCATGACGCCTCGATCGTTGTGATTGACCCTTTCGCCGATTTGAGTTGCCGGCGATATGCAAACAACTGCATGCAAGAATATTGTGTAATCAAATTCCGGTTCCAGAACTCATCTTTCGTTTTCAGGTGGTCGATGCTACCAAGCAGGGGTAGTAGTAGTGGTCATTGGACAGGTGACAAAGCCTCTCTATGTGCAAAGCTTACATCGACATTCCTGGGGGTGAACATTTCTACAAAATGCGATTAGTAAACATCCCAATGCTCAATTTTGTGACAAAGCAGCATTAATCTTAAGAAGAGTCAAGGCTATCAGCTCTGCATGATTAAAGTATATATTGTCCCCATCCCTCCATTTCAATTCTCAAACTCATAAACATCAAATCGCACTACAAGATACATTATGTCTACTGAAGGAAAATCCGTCTTCTTGACTGGGGGCAATGGCTTTATAGCTTCTCATATCCTTTCTCTTCTGATTGAGGTATGCTTCCGTTTGTTATCATGCAATTCCAAGGCTATCTAACGGACTCCGCAGAGCGGGTACGAACCTGTTGCTAGTGTCCGGTCCCCTACGAAAGCCAATCAAATCCTCGAACTTCATCCAGAATGGGTGGGAAAGGTCAAGTTTGCATTTGTGCCTGAAATCACAACACCTGGAGCTTTTGACCATGTTTTTAAAGATCAAGCTCAAAAAGGCGGCTTTGATTCCATCGTTCATACTGCGTCTCCAGTAACATTTGCTGTCAAGGACGTGAAGAAAGACCTAATAGACCCGGCTGTTCATGGGTAATTGTACAAATCTGCACAATCTGATGACCAATCTCTAACATTCACGAAAGCACTACCGAAATTCTCAAAGCTACTCACGAACTAGGAGACAAGCAGGTGAAGCGTTTTGTTTTACTTGGTAGTGCTGTGTCCGTTCTTGATTCATTCGAAGATTTAAATGCTCCTGAAGGGAGACCTTATACCGAAGATGATTGGAACCCTGTCAGATTTCCTGCTCTCACAATATAGCGTCGTGGCTAATCTCACTTTCAGGCGACTGAGCATGATGCAGTATCATCTCAAAATCCTCTCATCGGATACAATGTTGGCAAAAAAAATGCCGAGCTAGCGGCCGTAAGCAAGCCCCCTTCCCACCTCCAGACTAGAACACCCATTTTCACACCGACTCGGTGATCCTTCTTTAATGCTGTTAACACAATAATGGCAGTGGTGCTTCATGAAAGAAAAGAAGCCGGCTTTTGAGCTGGTTGTGATCAATCCTGATGTAGTCCTCGGCCCTATACTCCAGCCTGTCCCCAGCCCGAAAAATGTCAACGAAACCAACGAGTTCGCTTGCTATGCTTTCATTAATGGCACTCATGAGACCGTTGGTGATGCCATGTTTGCCTTTTGGGATTTTGTAAGTTCCTCCCTCCTCGGTTATACATACTGCTTCCTCTTGCTGTTCACCAAACTAAAAAGTGCAAAGGTTGATGTTCGCGATGTGGCTCTTTTACATATCATCGCACTCACCTCCCCTCGTATGGCTAACAAACGTCACATTATCTCCGCGGGTCCTCTCTCGCCACAGTTGGTTGTAAATATTATTCGGAAGAATTTCCCAGAACTGGAAGGGAGGTTACCGAAAGGCGGTGATGAAAAGGAAGTTTTCCCCAAAGGCCTACGCCCCACTCAATTAAACAACGCCAGGAGTTTAGAAATAATTCGACAAGCCAAAAGCCAAGGTTGGAACTTCAAAAATTTAGAAGAATGCATTGTTGGCTCAGTGAAGTCATTGCTTGAGCTGGAGCAGAAATGGAGCTCTCAAGCTGCCCACTGACAGCAAAATTCTGAACGTTTGCAGCATTACGAGAACTTCTGATTTGCTCGACCTATCCCAAATACATTCTTTTGTTTTCAGAGGCGTGGTGTACAAACTTAAAGCTTTATCTATGACATATCAATTGCAACACATTCCTTAGCAGATTGAAAAGTAGAAGATTTATATCATACATTCTTGCTAAAACTCTCCAACACTACACCCATCTATCTTGTCTTAGAATGCTTGGATTGCCTTGAAGCAAGTTGTGAGGTCTTCGTTGAATTTCAGTATCACTATGATCATGACAGCTGTGAATTTCCATAAATACTTGTGACAGATGTCAAACAGCGCACAATTCATCGACCTTGCAGATTGACAGCAACTGTACCCATGAACCTGATGCAAAGGTTCGTTCAATATATCTCAGTCGAATTATCTGGCTCCGGCTAGCTCATCAACTATCCCCGTCTCGATGATGCACGCCTTAATATTGAAGTTCTTCACAGGACATATGCTGCTACGGCCATGGTAAAATCAAGTCCAGGGATGCCAACACCTCCAGTTAGGGGATTTTAGAAGAAAGACGAACAATTGGTAAAACGTCAAATCAAAGAAAAGGCATCTGATGAGACTATCGAAATGGTTGACAAGATACCCGGAGCATCTCGTCTAAAAGGCTCTCTCAGCTAGATGTTAAGATATACTGGACAGGAATAATTTGGCGACTAAATCAACTCTCTACTTAGATTGTAATCAATTACATAAATTTTAAACTCTCTCTATCTATAAAAGATCTTTTTCACACTTTTGAATAATATTTGCAAATATGATTTTATTAGAACCGTTTAAAATCTTTTAATTCTATTATATAAATCGACATACTTTTAACGACTGTTATTTTCAATGATTAATTCTAATAAGATTTGTATTAGTAGTAAAAATCAATAGAAGAAGCTAGTAATATCAAATAGGAAATATGTAAATATATTTACTTTATAAGTTCCGATTGTTATATCTAGACGATTACTATAACTAAAACTATTAAGAAGGAAGTTGAAGATAATAATTAATATATTAGTAAATATATAAATAGGAATAACTATATATACTTGTATACTAGACTTATAGTTATAGCTCGTTGTATTCTTTCTTAATTTATAATTAAATTAATAATTCCAATTCAATATATAATCTTAAATAAAATAAATAAAACCAATGGAAAAGAAGTAATTAAATCAAAAGCAATTGAGAGCTTTCAAAGACTATAATTGGTTGTAGAGTAAGGCCTATAATAGTAATGGAATTAATAGTAGTAGTAAGGGCTAGTTTGAATATAAAATCCGCGCTGAATCGACTGAAATAATCCATTCTTTATACTATTATGGATTCTATATTAACAATAATTTACTTCAAAAAGAATAGATTATTGATTTATATATCACATTTATTAAAAAATCTATTAAAATAAAATAAAAGAAAATAAAATAAAATACAACATATATATAATTATAAATTTTAATTTAAAATGAATCTATAACTTTAAATTTTATTTATTATAATTTTAGATTTTAAAGTTTATAAAAATCTTTAAAAAATAGATTATTTTAATACATTTAATAAAACCTAATTTTTTTAGTTTTTATTTTCTTATACAAATTTATTGAAAATTACAAAATATTTAATATTATTTTAATATAATCTATTTCCTTTTTATTTTAAAATATACTAAATTTATTAAAATATTGATTATTCAATAAAATTTGTAATTTGATATTCAAATATAAATTCAAAATGTGCTTTCAAAAAGTGTAGAATATCCACCAGGTTTGGTGCGGATTTGTACATCCAAACTAGCCATAATAGTCTTAGTTTTGATTTATATCTAAAAATTTACTCTGAGAGATTTAGAAATATATTTATTTAAGAGACTATAATAATATATCATTTATCAAAGGATTTGAATATTATAAAGAGAAGAAATATACTTTTTTAATTAGCAGTTATAAGTCTCTAATTCTGCAATATCATAATTCTATTATATATTTTAGAAAGCATTTCGAGTTTTATTATATGTAGGTTTGTGAATACTTTTCTTATACAGTTAGAGATGTTATTTGTATAATTATTTTACATTGTTTAGAATAGATGTGTTTTGAATTAAATGATAAAAGATTTTACATAATTCAAATTTGTTTCAAATAAAATTCAAATCTTTATTTTCCAAAAATTTCTTTTCTATTATTGTATTCTTATGCTTTTTTTAAAATTATATGTTGTTCCTCTTTTCATTTATACGATTGGTTTAATATTACAGGGGATAAATTATATATAGAGTTATATGGAATATACACAAGATCGATATCGAATTTATTTTATTAAAAAAGGTTCTAAAGGCAAAGGCAATAAATATATATATATATATTTACAGAATCTACCCTTTTGTTATCAAATTTTAATCTCTTTTTATAAAACTTGATCTCTCTTTTTGTAGAATCTAACCTCTTCTTATGATAGAATCTGATTTAAGATGCTTAACAACTTTTTTTTTTTTCAAAAAATCTATTCTTCTCTTAAAGAATCCATTCTCCTATTATAAAATTTCTTTTTTCCTCAGTTAAAGAATCTAGTCCAAAATGTGTAGATTTTTTGATAAAAACTCAGAAGTATAAAAATGGATTACATCTAAAATTTAGGGTATAAAATAAATCAAATGAAGTTTGGGGGGTGTGAAAGTAATTTGCCGTTCATTATAATATTTTAATGAGTCTTTTAACTGAAACTCCTTTTAATAACAAATAAAAATATCAATTTCAAAACACATATGTTTAGGGCTCGTTTGATTACAAAATCCGTATTGAATCCACTGAAATAATCCGCTCTTTGTATCACTATAGATTCCGCAATAATAATAATCTATTTCAAAAAGAATAGATTATTGATTTATAATTTTATAATTTATATATTAAATCTATTAAATAATTTATCAAAATAAAAGGAAATAAAATATATATATAATATATATACAAATTAAATAAAATAATTCGAATTTTTAATATATTATTATTATTTGAATAATTAAATAAATAAATATAGAAATAATTTTATTTAAATTTATATATAATTATAAATTCTAATTCAAAATAAATCTATAGCTTTAAGCTTTATTTATTATAACTTTAAACTTTATATATTAAAACTTTAGATTTTAAAGTTTATAAAGATTTATAAAAATAATAAATTATTTTAATAAATTCAATAAAATCAGTTTTTTTTAATCCTTGTTTTCAATCCATATTTTCATTTTTTTATATAAATTTATTAAAAAATACAGATTATTTAGTATTATTTTAAAATAATTTATTCTTTTTTTATTTCAAAATATATTAAATTTATTGAAATATAGATTATTCAATAGAATTTACAATTTAATATCTAAATATAAATTCAAAATCCATTTTCAAAAAGTATAGAATATTCAATGGATTCAGCACGGATTTGTACATTCAAACTAGCCCTTACTTCAAAAATACATTTTGTTTGAGCAATCTTATAAAGCCTGTTATAGATAAAAAATACTCTTTACAATTAATTCTTTATTTTGGTTACAAAATTTTTTGATTGATATATCTCTATATTCCTTAAAAATCAATAAAATATAAATCTTAAATCTATTTTCTTAAGAGAAAAATCAATACTGCTATTTTACCTACTACTACTACTATTCAATTATTCACAATTCAGCTATTCTACGCTTTTACTGTTCTATTATGTCATCATAACATCCCAAAAATGTAAAAGATTTAAGGAGTCTAAGGAATCCAAGAAGTCTAGAGAATCTAAGGAATCTAAGGAATCTAATGACATCTAATAAATCTAAAAAATCTAAAAAATATAAAAAATCCTGATAAATCTAAAAACTATGATGAAACTATAAATTCTTATAGGTATCTAGTAAATTCTTTGATAAACTTCTTAATAAATTTGTTTCAAATCCAATTTTTATATCAGTTTACAAATATTCTGTTGAACTTTTCCATGGATTTTTCAAGTCATTGGAATAATTCAAATTTTTGTTGAATCCACAAACTCACAAATCTGTAGATCTAACATTGCACATCCCTTCATTAATACTTTTTAAAGCTTCTAAAGTGATGAGAAATGATCATTTCACTTTTCTAAACCTTATTTAAAGGTTGAAGACTCAAATGTGTTTCTTCGAACGATTGATTTATGGAGAAGATGATAATTTATCGAGGGAAAGAGTGTATAACGGGGTTTATCAGCATGTGGGCCACTTTCACCTGAATTTACACTTTTCTCTTTCAATATGTGTTTTATTAATAATTTATAATAAATTTGAATAATTAAGAAGTTTATATACTTCTTGTTATTAAAGTTATTTGAAAAAACAAAAAATTAAGTATTCGAAAAAATACTAAAATATATGATATCATGTATATAATATTATAATATAAAATTAATGATTTTATTTTTTATATAAAATATTGATATAAATCTTATAGTCTTTATAAATTAGAAGAGAACATTATTATTAAATATATATTTAATATAAATTCGATAAATTTAAAAATATAAAAAATATAGTAAATCATATTTTCAAATCAAAAGATATAAAGAATATTGGAAAGCTTTTTATAAGTATTTTAAATTTATTAAAGAATAATTTCGATCAATTATAAATATATAAGTAAAATATAATATTTTGAATGGAAATTTCTATAATTTTAATGAAACCGATTTTATAATAAGGATTATATATATAGTAATAGTTATTATTAATATTGAGAGATATAGTAGAAGTAAATTAGTATAATTAAGTAATTGAGAATGGATTATAGTAATAATATGTGAAAATAAAGAGAATGAAATTATTCCTCTATTTTTAATAGTTTAAGAATAAGTTTATTTCTTTAATTAATATATTAAAATGAGTTTTTCTATAAATTAAATTATTAAATTTATAGCTAATAAATAAATTAATATTAAAATAGATTGGAAATAATTGAAATATTAAAAATATTAAAAATCGAAGAAAAAGCAAATATCGAATATTGGTATTGAATGGGTATAAAAATCACGAATTAATAGTTTTTCAAATATATTATAATGATAATAATATTATATA